TAAGCTACATACCTGACCCACACAAGTGACATATTCTACAGCAAATAGATCCTCATCGGCAACAACTGGTCCAATTTTGATGTCACCCGGGACATCTTTGGCCAGAAATAAGCCTACAAATCCAGGCGAGGATATGGCCCCTGAATCATCAATTCTAAGTATTCGAGCATGGGGTTTTCTACTTAAAATTAAGGCAGCATGCAAACCATTAGGAGGCATTTGTGTGTCATCAGCATATTCTGCTTCTCCTGTAACCTGAATGTAAGTTATATTAACCCTGTAGCCAAGCATTCCGCTGAAAAGTAAAGTGCATAATTTACTGAAAGAGACGACATGTGCCAAACATAATAGAAAGATTGAGAACACCTAGTGAAAATGTGAAACTAGAGAGAGAGAGTCCAGGTAACATTCAACTATAAGTAACAATCGAGGAAAGACTCAATTAATGAGATTAGAATTTGCTTAATAAACTAAAAATATGGATCCAATATATTTCTATAAGAAACTAAAAATAAGGATCCCATATATGGAAAACATTTAGCCAACAAAAAGGACATCATATCAAATCTTTTTATTTTTGTATAAGAAACTAAGTCTGTGCCCATTATCGAACAGTCCCAGAAGGCATCGCTGCCAATAACATGCCAAGACAAGGAATGATAGTAGGCAAAAGTAGATGTAACAAAAATAGAAGTTGCGTTTTGCATATGATATATGGGGACAGCAGAGACAATACAAGTTTCTTCAGGATGCATCTCATGTTCAACATACGATTTCTTTACAGGATCACAAAGTAACAAAATCCTGCCATATTTTTAATTTCCACTACAATGTAGAGAAAAGTAACAGGATTCAATCTTTCATCCTATCACATCTTTGCAAGTTAAACAGCAAGACAAACAGGAAAAAGATACAATATAACTAATTTAGGGAATACTGCATAATTGTCAAACCTGAAGTCTTGAAGATAAATGAACCTCAGGAGAACCCACAGATGTCCCATGTTTCATGATTTCATAGTCTTGAGATGCTGTAGTTGGTGGACGGTGGACTGAGTGCATAGCAGATAGATGGGATAATGGTATACTCTCTTTGATGCCATCCATCTGATGAGACACCCACACAAAAAATTTAAAAAAAAAACTTAGAGTCAAAGATCTACGGAACTCTACCATTCCACCAGGAGCATCTTCCTTCAGTAATACATCATTTTGTAGGACTTTTAATGCATTTTGCAACAAATCTTGGTCCCAAATCTTTCCTATGACAAATTCCTTAGTTTTTTTAGCGGAAAGTGAAAATGGAGCCACCCCACCATAAAAAATTGAGGCATCAGCAACCACCCAGTTTTCACTATGTTCCTGCAGATGAACGCGAATACCTGCATTTACAATTGCAATATCATCATCCCTTCTATGAGACTGTTTAAATTCTTTCACAAACTCAAAGCTCCTACTCCATGGCAGGAATATTGACAGCAAGATTTCATCACTTTCCAAATCCACCTTACGATAACCTAGGAAGAAATTTTCTGCCAGTACTGTCCTGATATTTCCCTTATTGTTAATAATTTGAAACTTTGCTCTAGCTGCCATCCAGAGAGGATTCAAGTCTGATATTGGACTGGCAGTGCATATATTCCCACCAATAGATGCAGCATTTCTTATCTGTGTTCCAGCAAACCATTTCAGTTGCTCAATAAAAGCTTTACAAGACGAAGTTTCATGAGCAGCTCGCTCAGTTACAACCTTTCTGAAAAAATTCAAGAGATCAGATAGTCTTACTGCTGCACCTATCTCCAAGCCATCATCCTTTGCATCCAAGATATTTAATTCTGGCACATGCATTACAGAAATCAGAACCCGATATTGCATTCTCTTTAGTCTCATTTCAATTCCTACCTCTGTATTACCAACTAACAACTTTGCATCAGGATATTTGGCTTTTAAATCCAATACATGTTGAAGTGTTAAAGGCCGATACCACATTAGCCCACCAGATCCAGTCAAAGTTAACAAGGTTGGTGTCCTTAACAACAATTCAGGAGGAAAAATAAGTTCCTTTTCCGTGAATTTGGTCCCATCTATTTCATCATAGGAAGTGGGCTTATATCTATCATCACTAGCTACACATTTATCATTTACATTGTTTAAATTACACGAACAGGGTTTTCCTGATGATGGGCAAACAGACTGGCCCTCTGGAAGGCTCAACGAAGAAACACCAGTATATAAGCTATCGCTAGTTTTGGCAAAGACCCGGAATGCATCAAGTATTGGTCTGTAACCAGTGCATCGGCACAAATTTCCAGCAAGACATTCTTCAATTTGTTCTTCACTAGGTGGTGTTTGACTTGACCGCAATAATGCATACATGGACATAACAAAACCAGGCGTACAAAATCCACATTGCGAACCATGAGCGCGAGCCAGGGATTCCTGGAGAGAAAACAAGGGTAACTCCAAAGTATTGATGGGTAAATATAAACTTAAAATAAGAAGAAATCTCATAGACGAACCATTACAGCATGAGAACCAAACAACTAAATGATAAACACGCATGATAAAAGAAGATAATAGTATGAACATGTGTGACCTGGATAGGGTGTAATCCACGCTTGCAGCTTCCCAAACCCTCGACTGTAATCACGTGCATCCCTTCTACAGAATATAGAGGGGCTAAGCAAGCATTGATAGCATAGTGTCTGAAAGAACATTTTCAAACTAAAATAGTAATTGTGGTGTTAAAATACAAGAGAAGATAAATGTTTCACATTTATGAGCATCAAATCACCATGGCATAAGAAAGAAACACTTACGAACATTTCTTCAATTTTCGATCATAATAAGAAACCATAACTGTGCAAGCTCCACAACCACCTTCACCACACCCTAGCTTAGTCCCTGTCAGACCTATATCTATTCAACCAAAGAGCGTGGAAAACCATAATCAGCTTCGTTTTTATATGAAATAACCGAATCATCACACAATGAACAAACAAACAAAAAGGGATAAGACACGTTCCGTTTTTCTAGCGACCAATCAACAACCAAAAACTATGAATCCTAAAATAAATAAATAAAGAAAATAAAAACAATAATCTCTTCAGTAGAAGATGCCACGATTAAGCACGTAAGCTAAGATTTTAAACATGAATTCCAAAAACTGAAAAAGAAAAAGGATTCATAGAGAGAGCGAAACCTCTGAGATACTCAAGAAGCGTCAAATGAGCGAATCCATCAGGCAACACTCTACGAACTCCGTTTACATATAAGATAGCTTCAATCGACACCTTCAAATCTTCCTCTGCCTTTTCCTCCGTTTTCAACGATCCCATTTCAGTGTTCGTAACTTGTTCTTCTTCTTCTTCAACTAAAAACAACTACAATACTAAACTAATCACAATGAACTTTGTATGCTCTCTTTCTATCATTGTGTTTCTCGTGACAAAGCAAATCGGAATCACTTACGGAACCAAGCCAGAAATTAAATAAATTAAATATCATACATAACGTTACCGTATTTATTTAGTGAAACGTGCCCATGCTGCCTCATCATTCCCACAAGAGTACACTGAGAATGTCACATTGAGAAACTTAATCAATATTATTTTATTCGAGGGAAAAGAAATTAATATAAATGCTCTTGTTATAATAAACTTCTACAATAGTGACTTTCACATGTTTGTTTATTTTTTATCGCTTGCTGTTATATTATTCATTTAATTTTTTCCATACTTCTTTATTTGTCTTATTCTTTAATCAATAACATTAAGAGATTAACTGATAAAATCCAAAATAAATATAAAACTATGATTATTATTTATTCAAAGTGCTAACAAATAGGCGGTTATGCTTAGCCAGTTGCCCCGTCAGCTCTACCCAATACTCCCACTTTTGCCAGCCGCCTCTATCTAAAGGATTTGTCACAAGCGAACAGATTTACTATTATTATATGTTGATTTATTAGGCTACAAAAACTCCTTAAATAGCCTGAAGTTGTCTTCTTTAACTGAGCAAACTTTTGAAAAAAAATTATCTAACTTATTTAGTAAATGGCCCTAGTAGTTAATATAAGTTAAATTACAAGTCTCCTATTTATTTTTATCCCTTATTAAGAATTAGTCTATGGCTCTATGATAATAATTTTAGGTCGAAAGTCACTTGTCAAGCAAAAAAGAAAAGACATATAAAAGTTTTAACCATTTTGTTTTAGTTATACCTTTTTCATGAAAAAATAGTTTTTAAAAATATATTTTGAAAAACTATTTTGAGTCATTATAAACAGATAATTATAATTATTCTTTAAAATAAATAAATTGTTTTTTATAATTACAATTAAAGAAAAAATATTTTTTTTAATTTTTTGAAAACAAACAACTGTGTTTTAAATTTTAACTAACGGACCCTTAATACAATTGTTGTAAAAACAATTAGGTTTAACAGGCCGAAAGACAAACATACAAATATTTGTCCTAATTGATAAAAAAAAAAGAAAAAAAAGGCTAGTTACTTTTAAGATACACAGAGACAAGTTAGGTTAATGAAATTGTTATAAAAGAATGAAGAACTAATCAACTTTATTGAGCCACTGAATGCTTTCCTTCCTTTCTGAAGACATCGTATTTGTTGTACCTTTTAGCTAAAAGTTTTTATCTGATACACCAAAATGCGAAAAAAAATGTACAAACATGAATCTAATACAAAAATTATAATTTTTAATATTAAACCAATGTGAATTCATATCATTCAAATGTGAATACAAATAAGCACAAAAATGTGTTTCGTTCTAGTTCATCCATAAAAAATTTCCTTTACCTAAAAAATAATGAACACGAGATGTATGTACTAGGAAATAAATGTGACATTGTTTTATTTAACATTTAACAAATCCTATATTTTCAAGCCAGAGAACAATGGATGGAAAATATATGTAATGTACACATGCAATAGAGACATCTAATTTGTAACATTAACATGTGTGCTGAATCCTTGCTTATGTCATGTCTGAAGAAGCCTTTGCTTCATGGGGTCTTGTGTAGGTAAAACCATGGGTTTAGAACGCTCTGATTGAGATGAATGAATGAGGATTTCCATAATAACTGTGACGAGGACCAAGAAAAGCACTGTAAATAAGATGCCTTCCCATGAAGAGAGGATTGAGGACCACTGGAAGCATTTAAATAGAAGGAAGCCAAGGAGACACGACCAAAAAACCACAACCTGTTCAAACCCCAAAATGGTAATATTTACACGATATTAGGATATCAAATCTAATTGTGTTCACTTGTTTTTTTTTGCCTATATTTTAAGGTTTTTTTTTTTGGGTTATTTTTACAAAATAATAATGTATTTTTAGGATAAATTATATTCTTCTCTGCAATAAGTCTCAACGTGATTAATGAATAATTTTGAATATTTATTAGTAATTTTTGAACTTATAAAAATAAATCTGGGTTTTAAATAAAACTTTAAAATTAATAGTAGATATATTTAAAACTTTATTCTACTTTTTAAAATACTAAAATCAATAATAGGATATTAGGCTTGTGACACTAAAAGTTTTAGAAAACAACAAATAATATCATTGAGAGTCGCACTAATTATAATTCACCATTGTTAAGAGGTTCATTTAATCTAAAAGGACCTAAAGGATAACTTAAATTTATCTTTAAAAAAAACACCGTATATTTTAAAATAGGAAGAGAAAAGGGTGCAAAATTTAAACAATTTTTATAAAAGGAAAAAGTAACATACTCTTATTTTATCGGTTACTACCGAACACAACTTTTTAAAAAGTCATTATTTTGTCAAAGGAATCTGATACCAAACATGTGTTCATAATGTCTGTCATCTTACCAAAATAGAAGTTTTAGGCCGACAGATTTCTTGAAGTTCTTCTTCACTGAATAACTCCGTAGTATTATATTTCTCCAGCAAAGCATCCTGGTAATTTAGAAAACAGACATTGTTTACACATTTACCATAGTACAGGAAATTTCTAGGCATGCATGCATGCATCTGATTAAATTTGTATAAAGGTGTGTGTGTGTGACCCTTAATGCAGAATATAATGTTCTAACTAATGGAGTTGCAAATATGAACTATGAGAATCACAGAAAAAATATATGATTTTCAGAAACATGTAATACCTTGGCAACAAATATGTCTTTGCACCATTGTGCAATGCCATCGGAAGTTTCTGGAAGTTCCTCCATTTTGTGTCTCTTAATTTGAACCTTCACCTGCAAAACAAACGGAGGATATAGCTATAGGAATTATGGTAGTTAACTGTATCTACTGGTAGGAGAATTTTATGGGCAAGAAAAATTTAAATTATTGTTTCTTATAGAGCTGCGGTTCATGATATCAACGATGATCGCAATACCACAAACTAGTTTCAAGAGATAAACTAATTAAAAGACGAAACTAAAGACAAACATCATCAAAACCAACAATGAAAACATTCTTTTTCTTTTCACGAGTACAATATATCCAAGAGTTTCAACTTTCAATATAAGTTGATTTTGAAGGAGTACAGAAACAGCGTTGTGTATTTTCTCTAACTTAGCTTTTGTCGAAGTTTTCAGCTGGCTTACCGAACTAGATTGCCCTTTAAATATTCTCAACAACGTAGGTGAAGGCTCACTCTTTGGAACTGTATATGTGCAATCATAAATGGCTGGAATCGTTGCCCGAAGGTTTTTTACAACTGAGACAAAACCCTGACGATTATCAACTAAAAAGAATCAGCTAAAACACAATCAAAATGTGTAGTTTTAGAATTAGGGTGACAAAAAGTGAAAAAATTGAAATGGGAAGTTTTGATTGAAAATTGTGTCAGACTGCATTGGAAATTACGGAAATATTGTATTTACAATATTTTCTAACAAAAAATTTATGTTTTTAGTTTCTTAAGCAGAGCCCTAAGGGCATTATTTAGCATTTGCCAAAAAGTCATAGGTTATAGCATATCAGTTAAAAATTGTACTACTCTCCTAATAAACAAAGCTTCAATTTTGTTCACCTTTGTTCGAGGAATCAAAACATTTTTAGGTATAGGTAGCCCTTTTGAAACAGCAAACTCTTGTGCTGCTAAAAGCTTTGACTCTGTAAAACGAGTTCCTTCAACAAAAAGAGCCAACCAAAAAGGCATTGGCATGTGCTCTAGGTGCTTAAAACCTGACTGCCACACAAAATTCAAGACATTTATAAATAAAATGCTAATCGGGAAAATTGTACTAGATGGACGCATATGTAAATTAGGAGAATTTCTTTAGATTTACCTTCAGTGATGATTCATCTTTAGTCCAGTTTCTTTCAAGAAATATATATTCAGCAAACCACATTGACCAACCTAGAACCTGCATGGATGCATATAAGGTAATTATTTATTATCAATTTTCTATCGTGGTAGCTGATTAGCACCAATTTATCAAAATGCTGGTTATGATTTTCTGTTGCTTCAAACACTAAGATATTCTGAAGTTCAAGTGAGTTCTGCTACATGATCAGTTGTGTTGCAGTTTGTTGAAGCAATGGCTACGTTTTGATAAGTTCAAGATTGAAGATCACTTTGGATTGAATTACTGTGAAAATAGAACTCTCAACCTTATCATGATGCAAGAACTTACAAGATTCTCTGCTTCATTCCTACACCATAGTCACTTATTTATTTTCAAGGAAAGTCCTGTTTTAAATTATTGTTAAATTATGTTAAAGGATTGAGAAGTTTCTGCATGTAGCAGTTAAGTTTAAAAGAAAAGGTCTTGATAGAATCCCTAATTTATAAAGCACAAAGGAAGAGAGATTTACAGAAACTCACTGGAAGAAATTTGACTTCTTTCTTCATAATGGCTCTAGTGTTACCAAGGCAACCCGAGCGCTGTCAAAGATAAGTCATACGTGTGTGTTTAAATATATAAAAATGAAAACATGAGTCAAGAAATGATAAGTTGGTAAATGGTAACAAATAGTGTATGCTCATAAGCCATGCAACTTGTGTATACAAAAGATATGGTTAGAACTAGGAGAAGCACACCCTAAATTTCAAAGAAAAAAATCAAATTCAATATGCTTTAGACATTAACCTTGATGAAAAATGACTGCAAAATTGTTGATTGCATAGAATATTTAGACTGAAACAAATTAAATGATTCTGAAATTACATTAACTCGCACACTTTGAAGCAAAGTCCTCACACAAACTCAAAGATGTAATTTAATGCTATCATATATGACATACTTTTGCATTTTAATAAGTTCACAGAAAATAGGCACCTGAGCTAAGACCCATCCAATAAGCCAATCAATGTCACTCCTGTGGTTGCAGATCAGAAGGGCATTTTCTTTCCCTAAAGTTTTCTCGGATGAAAAAAAGAAAATTTGTGAGATAAGAATAAAAAATAAAATAAAATAAAATAATGATTTATAATCACTAAACCACGAATTGGCTGTCACTTACCCATTAGTTGAAAAGTTTCTGAATCTGTGTATAGATCAATCTGCAACCCGACCATGCAACTAGTTAGAATGTAGTGTGGATAATGCAACACTAATCTACGTTACATTAATCCTCAGCATGTCAAAAGATAGACACAGGTAAAGTATTAACGATGAAAATCCATAATTGAATTGCCAGAAAAAAAAAAAAAAAGTTATCCAAAAGAACAGCATTTGTTCCGAGTTTGCTACACCTTGATGCCAGCCCACCAATCAATGAGCCATATGAGCTCCAACCATAGTGATTCTGTCAGCAATTTGTTTATTCTTCTGTAACAATTCGTTGATAGTGGACGAAGAAGGACAAAGAATACTGCCTACAAATGCATATATTCACTGACATTAGGTGAAACAAGCAACTATTCAAAAGTTAAAATAAAAAACAAGATTTTGTAAATTAAGTTCTATGGTCAAGCAATTCCTGCTGCTTCTTTCTTTAAAAACTCGAATGCACAATAACATGGCAGAATTGATCAAGATGTACATAGAAAATTAGAAGTACAACATGCTTTATGTATAGAGAAGTAATTATAGCTTTAAAAGAAGAAAATATCAAAGGAATAACTAAGAAACATTTATGCAATGTATCATAACTGCCGTGTCAGTGAATCTTGTTTTTTTTTTTTTCTTCTTTTAACGGCATATTATTATTAAGGAGTCACCGGATCCAAATGCAGAGGCAAAGCAAAATAATGTGCAAGTAAATTACATAAATACCAGTAAGACAACTATGAATATCAAAAGGACCCTTAAAAAGAACAAGAAGAAAAGGAAGAATATTATAATGATTTGGGGTTGAATCTTACCTGAATTATATTTACAGTGAGGCCTGAAAGGATGAAAAGAATGCCTAAGGGAAGAATAACAATAGTAGCTGGGAATGCCATGCTTTTTTTTCTCTCACATGCTAAGCTACAGAAACAAATTCAAATGAGAGAGAGAGAGAGAGAGAGAGAGATAATATTTGGATTTGTTATGAATGAATAGCTGCGTCAGGGTGGGCGGTTAACGAGACCGGTTAAACAGCCATAAATACCGTTGCAAATAAGCAAACACCATGTGGAAAGTCGCATGCTAAGTGGCGCTTCTTCAGCTTGTCATGTACAATAACTTAATAATGTCCTTTTGAGATTTTGTTTATTGTCAATTTTTACTAAAATACTTTTTTTAAAATGTTTTTATTTTCTCTTTTATAATAATAATAATAATAATAATAATTTTTAAAATTATTTAAATAAAAATAACAATAAACACAGTTCTCTCTCGCACCATGTATCATGGTCATGATCATTGCGGGACCAAACATGCACATGACATAAATCGAGATATATTCATATCTTCTAAAGGCCAATGATATGTATATTTAAGGTTTAAATACGTTTTTTAATATATATTTTAGTGATTTTTTGTTATTCTTAATTTCAACAAAAAATTAATACTTGATAATATTTTAACAGACCAAATAAGTAATCGAAAGAACTGAACTGAGTGGCGTTGGAGGCAGTGTTCCTTCCCGCTTGGAGTATCGTTGAGGATGGCGATGACATATTCGGGCTATCATCAACCTTCGTCCATAGAAGAAGTTCGAACCCTATGGATTGGGGATTTGCAGTATTGGGTGGACGAAACCTATCTCACTCACTGCTTCGCTCACACAGGTGAAGTCCTTTCAATCAAAATCATACGAAACAAGATAACGGGCCAGCCGGAGGGCTACGGTTTCGTCGAGTTTGTATCGCACGCCGCAGCAGAGAGGGTTCTCCAGAGTTATAACGGAACGCAAATGCCCGGAACAGAACAAAACTTCAGGCTTAATTGGGCCTCTTTTGGTATCGGTGAGCGTCGGGCCGATGCGGGTCCAGAACACTCCATCTTCGTCGGCGATCTTGCGCCCGATGTTACGGATTATCTGCTTCAGGAGACATTTCGGGCCCATTACCCTTCCGTTAGAGGTGCCAAGGTTGTGACGGATTCCAACACTGGTCGCTCCAAGGGTTATGGGTTCGTTAAGTTTTCTGATGAGAATGAGAGGAACCGCGCCATGACGGAAATGAACGGCGTTTATTGCTCCACCAGGCCCATGCGCATTAGTGCTGCTACGCCTAAGAAGACCACTGCTTTTCAGCAACCTTATGCTGTTCCTCCACCTAAGGGTAACTTTAACCTTTTTTTTGTTTTGGAATTATGATAATTTTTGTTTAGTACACTTATTGATGAATCTTCTTGGCAGTTATGTATCCAGTGGCAGTGAATACAGTTCAAGTACAAGCAGATTATGATATAAATAATGCTACTGTAAGTTGTAATAGGTTTACATTTTCGTGGTTTTCATTTGCCATGGTACTCTTACATACTCTGTGTTGCAGATTTTTGTTGGTAACTTGGATCTTAATGTCTCAGAGGAGGAGCTGAAGCAAAACTTTCTGCTATTTGGAGAGGTTGTTTCTGTCAAAATTCAGGCTGGGAAAGGATGTGGTTTTGTTCAATTTGGGACCAGGTTTTCTTTCCTCCCAATTATTTTAAGCATGGTTTTATGTGAAATGTTTTGAAACTACAAGGATTATAAGATTACGAGGAAGTAAGTTTCATGTGGCCTAGTTTTGCTATGCATATTAAGCTCTTTATTTCTTTTTTTATTGTACGACTCTCTGGTTTTTTACCTTTCCATATTTGATGTCTGTAGATCATCTGCTGAAGAAGCCATTCAGAAGATGCAGGGAAAGATGATAGGTCAACAAGTGATCCAAATTTCCTGGGGTAGGACCCCAACAGCTAGACAGGTGATTTTTCCTTTAGAAATGGCCCATTTCTGGACAAAACATTTATTTGAAAGTTTTCATGATGTAACTGTGTGCATCGGTGATACTTCATGCATTCCAATTTCAGGAACTCTTGTAATGTATATATTATATTACAAGTATTCCAGATATTCTCGGTTGGTAACATAGCATCCATATGTGGTTTTAGATTCTACTGAACAATCGTGAGAGCAGATGATGATATGCAGTAAAATCTGAATGCTCAACATGGAATGGTGAGAGCTTTTTAAATGGGCTAATAGAATAGAAGATGACATGTTAACATGATATTTATAGATGTGGTAGTTGAAGGGGTAGTCAAGACTTAAAACTGTAAGGATAGATCTTACTTGGAAAGGTATTTATTTGGAGGATGACAAATAGCATTTCATCAAATGTTTATGTACACAATTATTGATAGTTTAAACTTAGGCTTGGTCTTGATTATTTTATGAACATAGCACTTCCATTACAGACCCCTCTTATGACAACTTTGAACTTGCATCATGAAAGCTTTTGCCTAAACATTATATTAATATTCGAGGTTCTATATGAATGAGTTTAATACCTCTGATTAGCTCAACAAGTAGCTCATGTATTTTGGTCCTAATTTGTTCTAGGAACCTGGTGGCTGGGGACCACAGATGGATCCAAGTCAATGGAGTGCCTACTATGGGTATGGACAGGGTTATGATGCCTATGCATATGGGGCTACTCATGATCCTTCATTGTATGCATACAGTGCATATGCTGGCTATGCACAATACCCCCAACAAGTATGTTACCTAATGTTAACTTAGTTTAGATATTATTTTGGTTTCTATGCAGAGAATAACGTTATTGTGCTACTCATGTCTGGGGATTCTTTATTTTTTAGGTTGAAGTTGCCCAAGATGTGTCAGCTATGCCTGTGCCTACCATAGAACAAAGGGAGTTGTATGATCCCTTGGCAATGCCTGATGTTGATAAGTAATTTTCCTCCCTTACTGTGTAAAACTTGGGAGACAGACACATTTACATGGTCATATTGGCTTCTTGTGTTTCTGATAGATCCCTGATTGCTTTGCCAGGTTAAATGCTGCATACCTCTCAATACACGGAAGTGCCATTTTAGGGAGATCCCTCTGGCAAAAAACCTGTTCGTCTTCCTTACCACAAGCTTAGGATCTATTTGTACTGCCCGGTCAACTGTGTGCATTATATTTCTAAAACTCTGCAACTGCAGCTAAAATGTAGTCGGCTTAGGTTTAAATTCCTGTTAATACAAATGAGTCAATCCCAATGATTTTTCCTTGAACACGGTTGGCTTGTGTAAAGAATGGAACCCAACATACAAGTAGAAATAGTCTTCGATCAAATCAATCCAATTACCAATGTTAATTAATCGTGTTTATGAAGCAGGGATACATCTTTTTTCGTCATTATGATGAGCAGTTGAATTTAAAATTGCAGAACTCGACTAGGTTTTAAGTTCTGGTTTTGCCATCAGTATGTATTGATGTTTTGATGCATGATACGACTATATGAACGCTTCTGCCCTTGTGATTGTATATAGTTTTGTTTTTTAATTCTTGCTTCGAACAAAATTTTACAAGAAAAAAAAAGCCGGGTCTTTTCATTAAACAGATGTAGCATCAAACGGATAAATTATTTCGAGGTACGATGATGATTATGAAGTCATAAAAGAATTGAAAAGAAGTTTGGGGCAAAATTGTTCTTTTAAGAACAGAATGCAATTCTCCTTTCCTACATTAGATACTTCGACAACCAAGGTAGATCTTTGCAGTCTCTCAGCGCAAAGGCCACATCATCACTGCCAAAAGTAAAATGAAGCCAGTCAAATTAATGGAAACAAGTCAAATGTAGGTTATGAATGCTGCAAAATAAACAGGATATATAGTTAGACGACTTATGTACAAATACAATCATTTACTCTTGCCACGGAATTGTGCTTCAGATAAATTGACCAAGACGATGACGGTCTACAGGTAATAAATTCTATACTGGAAGAGAAAATAAACGGGTTGATAATTATTATATCCCAGTCATTAAAGATAGGTTATCCCTTCGCACTACTGTTTAGATCTTGATTTTTATGCACACTATAAGAATGATTTAAGGCTGGATGGACCAACTTAATTTTGAAAAAATGATCTACTTATCAAAAATAAAACATCAGAGAAACTCGAAAAAACTGACTTCTCCCCGGATTGAAAATTAACATACATGTACGTGGCTCACATGCAAAGGATAAAATCGCGTTCAGACTGCAAGATAATTTTGACTAGTATGCTTTATTGGACTCAGAAAAATGCACTACTCATAATCCCGTCATTTGTTTCTATGGAATAGGCTAGAGAACTAATAAGGGCTTTGAGAACTAACCTCGGGAAATTGAGCTGCAATTTTTGCAACCTGTGCTTGGCACCTGCTTCGCATAAAATAATCCTGCATTCGCCTAGCTTACAGCTGCAAAACGAAGGAACAGAAACATCTCAGATTTAGAAAGCAAGAACACCCCCTCCCTGGGTCTCAGCCACATCATTTCAGATGCGAAAAGAAACATTCAAGTCTTACCCAACTTGCAAGAGAGTATCATATCCAGGAAACACTTCTCCGTTGCTGGTACAGAGACATGAAACCGTCATTGCCAACTGCATTGTCAAGTAAAACCTTACATAAGAACGGCAAAAAATCAATCTTTTACCTTCAATTTTCATTAAGGTAAAAGGATATATGGGGGAGGGGAAGGCATAGAAGCGCGTGGGATCGGTCAAAGGATAGGTAAACCAATACTGCGATCAATTAGCTTCTAACGAATTCTATTCGTGTAAAAAGCAAATATCAGAATATAAAACTTTTAAATTCACCTAGAGCTTTTATAACTTAGTCAAATATGCATGACATGCAGAAAAAATAAAAATAAAAATAGTCATGTAATGGTGTTCAAGTGAAAACTGAGGTTTAAAGGTGAAGAATTCTATGGCTGATCTGAATGCAAATCAAGAAAAAAGAAAATAACGGAAAAAAAAAAACTTCAGAAGCTGACCTTTTCAAAAGTGGTTTCTCCCATTCCTGTTTTATAAAGCTCGTGCACCATAGCTGTTAGGAAAATTTTGCTAAGTCTAGAACAGCTTTTCATAACCTTCAAAAAGAAAGTATGAGGTAAATGTAAGACTGAAATAAAATGTTAGCATCGTTCTACCAGATAAAGGAATATATAAAGGACACTAATAACATTGATTTCTTAATTTACTAGTGTATCACACCCTACGACCACTGGCCCCAAAAATTATCAGTCATGATACCGTACAAAGGTATTTCAAGCATCAAGAAATAAATCAGCACATTGCAAATTTCAACTCACTTGAATATGAGGTGCTTGGAACATTTCTTGAATGGCTGCTTCAACATCTGCCATTCCAACATTTCCCTTTCCTAGAGAGCAGATATAAATGAATTAGTAGGCAGAAGCACCATCTCAAAAGTAAGGAACTAAGGAACCCATGCATACAATTAATGCTGATCATTAGTTTAGAGTTAATTCAAATATTTCATTATAGATGTCAGAAGATGAAGCGATGTGAGATTTGTAAATCAGGGCAGCTTACATAGGCAACGGCAGGATAACAAATCTGGAAGAAAAGAGGCTAAAACATCAGGTTCACATTGTTTTCTTAATGTCATGTTAATATGATATCATACATACAATTCCTAAGCAAAGCCCAAAAATTAAACTTTTTGATTGTTGTGTAAGTCTATGCCTATAAAACAAGAAGTGCATAGTGTGTACAATAAGATAAAACAACACTTATCCAACTACCCACCAAGCAATGCATCAGAAGACATGCTATTTCTCTCGTATACGGTCAATGATCAATGTGAATATAGAATGATGATGTAAGTATATGCCTGGACCAAAACAAACAAGCATTTAAATGTATATTAAACTATTGACAATTCCCATCAACAATTACAAACACATTAAAAGGGAAATTAACATAAAAAAGAGATCTTCCTTGACATCTTGCACATGATGCAAATTAATTAACAAAAAGCAAGAAACACTTCATGATCCCCCACCCCTCTACTGTGATGACATGCAAAATTTTAAAGACATGCTCATATACCTGCAGAAACAAAATCAGGATTTGAAATTAGCTTCATACGATAATCCGCTATTTCAGCTGCACGTCTGCATATCTCCAACGCACGACGCGCATCTCCTGAGATTGCTGCAACCTAAATAATAAAAACATTTTAGATTTAAATCAACAAGCTATTCAACCAAAACAAGTGTTTGCATATAAAAATCCAGAGAAATCAATCTTCACAATGGCATAGAGACATGCCTTTCTTGAAGCAAATTCTATAGCTTGCTTTTCAAAGACATCAATTCCCTTGAGGCGACTTGAAATTATTTCTTGAAGCTGCTGGTAATTATATGGGCCAAAGCAAAGTCTCTGTATGCCCATTCGACTTGATATACGAGGAAGTAACTTCTCTGGAAGATCCATAGTATTTGCTATCCCTGAATTAATTACATTATTACTAGAGAATAAGTTTTCGCAGTCTACAAGAATCAAGTTGTTATAATCATATGGATTCTTGTTTTCCCACTATTTTAAATTATTTCTGCATATTGGAAGAGGTTGGTCATACCTATCACAATTAGCTTGGAATGTGGCTTAGTAGGCCAGTCAAGAATATTATACAGAACCTGTGATGAAAGGAAAGTTATTGCTATGTAATTCTTTGTTAAAGAATGTGGACCTAATGACAAGTTTCCTGTTACAGGATTTGTAGATTACCGACTGGTTTCTGGTAACTAGAAGATCAAGTTCATCAATAAGCAAAATACATGGCCGGTCAGCCTCTTCTCCAGTTTTCTTCCCCTCTACAAATCTCTCATTTAGCAAGTAGAGAGCCTTTTTCCAGCTGACCCTGTGCCCATTTAATGCCTCATATATGACCTAAAAGAATATCAGAACTATAAGAAAATAACCAAGGAATGCAGTTGTATCAGGAAAAAAAGTATAAACTTCAAGAACTTTACCCTATAAATATTCTCTGGTGATGCCAATTTCAGACCATTAATCTCCACAAAACAGTAGGGTTTGATATTTCCTGCATCAACTTCTGACCTCAGACTTCTCATTACTGCTAGTACACTCATGGTCTGCAGTTGCACATGGATAAAAGAACTAAGAAACAAGATTTGCTCCATGATAGCTGAGTTAAAGCTTCATAGGATAGTGGGCTATAGAAAACATATAGCATATACAAAGATAATACCTTGCCAGTTCCTGGAACACCATGAATGTAGAGGCAACGCCCCAGACATTGATCATCAGAAATAGCACCTTTGATGAATGTAGTTATCTCCTCCATTTCTCTAAATAAAAGAATGTTTTGATTAGTGACTTCAGAGAGATATAAAATATTTAAAATGGTGTTCAAACTTCAACATACTTATTTCTACAAGGTAAAGATTTAGGCTGCGATGCTAACAACAAAGTAGCCTTTGCTCTCTCAAGATCTGTCTGTTTGTGAGACCTTACATGCTCAGGAATTTTCTTTGTGCCTATCTTCTGAAGTCCAAAGAACTGTCCCTTGTGCAGATTCTGTATCATTTACACATTTATTTTCTGTTGGTAATAACAAAAACGGATTTTTTTTTTTTTTGGGGGGGGGGGGGTTGAAGCACATGAGTACACAGAGTGGACAATAATATACATACTGCAGCTAACTGATGGTTTGTTGATGGCTGAAATTGTGCATTTCTAATATTTTCTTCTTCATATTCAACATCATCTGTATCAGAATCTGATTCCTTGTCAAGATTCCAATCTTCGTCACTGTCAGTCTCTTCACCATTCTACCAAGCAAGAATAAACTCATTAAAATTGGGACTACTGAATAGTTAACTCTTTTAATGAGAAGGATCTTGCTAATATTCTGTCATGTTTACCTCTCTTTTATTGTCAATATCAGCAAGACGTTTGAAGCTGTGCCAATGGATGTCATATTCATATTCACATAAGAAAATGTCGTCTCCTGCATCGCTAGCTTTAGCATACTCTTTGGGGATCATGACATAGCAATGTCTAAGGACAGATTCCATCTACAATAAACATGGGAGCGCCATTATGAAGTACAGGAGGATAAGTTCCTAGTACCGTTAACATAATGTCTGAGGCTGTAGAAATATTAAAAATAGCCATGAAATACAGTACTCCTAGTTATGTTAGGTTTTGATATAGCTCTCTACTTGATTCTATAATGTAGGCATTAGCTTCACAAACTGTTTCACTGTTACAACTTCTAAATTCTCCTTTATTTTGTAGCTACTATAATGAACACAAATGATAAACATATTTCCTGGAGCAATGATGATGAAACTTAATTGTTCAACTTCTTTCCTGACAACTTAAATTAATGTGGCATGATTTTGCACTTTATGTTCTAACTTAATGGCTTAGCCCGAAAATATAATTTCCATCTCTTATGATAAGAAAGAATGCAAACAACCCAAGCATGTAAAGGATGGATAAGATTCATAAAGGCAAATAAACACTGATCTATTTATAAATACGTGATTGTAGATAAGTTAAATTAATTAATAATGCAATCAATCTATCAAAACAAGCAACCAATATATATTATTGACGGCTATTATCTACTCAATTCTAGTTGTATTCTCTTTCGGTACATCTAAACAGCTTTGGTTTGCTTTTCCAAATCAAGAACTAAACTTGAATTGTGTATAAAAAAGAAAAAGCAGGCCATCTAGATGTACTAAACGATTTCAAGGATTGCCACCAAAACATGCTAGATTCAATTTATTAAATATTAAGCTCAATACATGGCAAGTTAGACTAGAAAACGATGGTTAGCATTTTACTATCAGAATGCAAGAACCAAAACAGTGATCATCCAGTACCTCAATGTCTGCAAAATCATTAGTTCGATATAGCTCCCTGCTCAGGTTATGTGGTTGTCTCCCGACAGAAGTCTCTTCTGGGATCATATACCACCGCACCCGACACCAATAGTTGCCATCTGTCTCTTTCCATATACTGCTCACATGTCCAATTGGCACCAACATGATTAGTATTTGACAAAAGAAAATGCAGTGTAAGTATATGTCATAGAGCAACATAAGAAACACCATACCTTTCAATATGAGAAGCCCACAAATCACTTGAAAGAAGCTTCTGCCTCATTGTTCTAGCCAGCTTCTTTCCCTCAGGAGGCTTTGGAAAATTAACATCCCTACCCATCTTACTAGCCTCACAGAATCCACATACCCAATCCCCTTCAGGAACATCCTTCAATGGCGGCGTCAAGCATCGCAAATGAAACCCACCTAAACAATTGTCGCACTCAATCATAATCTCATCGCCGGAGAAAAAACACAACCTACACTCCTCCACTTCGGGATCTTCGTCATCAGAGCTAGCATCTTCTCTCCTCTTCACATAAACATCATCCCCCACTTCAAATTCTCCCCCATCGTAAACCACTTTTTTGTAATATACACGCTTCTCGGGCAATCTCGCCCTCTTTCCCCGATTCGCCGATTCCCCTCTTCTCGCAGCCATAGCTCTAGTAACAACCGTTCCCTCACCCTCCCTCTTCCTCTTCTTGGTTTTCTCAGATTGTTCAGGCGATGCCGGAGCGAGCGAAACATCGACGGAAACCTTCCCATTTCGCTTCTTCGATGCATCAATTGAACCGTTTGTTCTAGCTGCACTTGTGCGGGTTGTGAGTTTTTCTTTGCTAGAATCCTCACCGTAATTGATGCATCGACGAGGGATTCCCTTCAGAGTTTGAAGTGAATTTTCAGAAGGTGCGTGGGGAGGTTTGGGAGAATCGAAGAGGAGGGACTTGGCGCGTGTGGATCTGCGAGTAGGTAGGGTTTGGGGAGTGAGCGGGGTTATGGCAGGTGAGGCTTTTGCATTCGATTGGGATCGTAGTTTGGCTTTTGCATTGGAAGGTGTTGAAGCCATTGACAAGTGAAGGATTGAGAGTGAGATGAGTGCAGTTAGGGTTCAGTCAATGTGTCAAGAAGAACACAACAGTGCTTACAAGTTACAGCTATGAGAAATGGCGCCAAATATTCCCTCTCGTTTTCTCACCTTTGAACATTTTTTTTTATACAGAGATTCTTCGGGCCGACACCCCTTTTCATTTCGGCTGAAAAATTATAATTAATTGATGAGAAAACACTTAATTTATACTGCCAAAAAAACAATTGTTGGAAATAATTTATTATTTTTAAATCACCAAATAATATTTACTTATTATGATAAAAAATAATTCTAATAACATCTTTTATTATACAATACTAGGAAGGTAACCCATGTGATGCACGGATAAATTATTATGTTATAGTATAATATGATAATTAATTATTATAAAATAAAAAATAATTGTATAAAATATTTATAATAATATTTAAATTATTTTAAATTTTTAAATTAATTAATATATATTAATATTATTACTAATAAAATTATTTCACATATTATATAAAGATTTATAAAATACTTTTAAATATTTGTAAATTAACTTTAAAAACAAAAGAATTAAACTCAAATATTATTTCAATTTATAAGATTATAAATTTAATTTTATAAAATTTAAAAATATTCTTATAATTAATTTATAATAATTTAATATATATACATACATACCACAACAACAAAAATCCATAATAAAAAAATAAATTTTAATATATTTAAAAAATTTTGAGACAAAAAATATTGAAGGAATCAAATTGCATATCTTAAATTTTTTAATATTAAGATATATGATGTATAAATTATTTCAAAGTTTAAAATTAATTAGTACATATAAATTATTACTAATAAAAAATATTAACTATTTGAATAAAAGAAATATAATATATAATTTTATAAAATTATTTTTCTTTCATATTGGCATTAATTAAAAAAGAAAGTTATATTATAAATTAATTTTATAAATATACTAAAAAAAAATTTTTAAAAAATCATTGAAAGAATAAAATTATATATCTTATCTTACAAAATTATATAGTATATAATTTAAGGATAAAAATATTAATTCTTTTATTGAATAAACCTATTTTTTTATTGTTGAAACCACTCTCATACATTATAATTTAACCTCTTATTATTGAATCATATATTTGTTGCTTATATATATATATAATTTAGTTTTGAAATAATTATAATTTAAATATAAAATTATTTATTTTTAATATAGCAGAAAGATAAAAAAATATTAAATGAAATTTTTTATTATTTTTTAAAATAAATATAACACTTAAAAATAATTTATATGTAACTTTAAACATTATAAATATTATTAATAATAAATTAATTATAAATTAGTAAATATATTTATATGTCACAAAAATTTATTTATATTGTACATTAGTATATATTAATATTATATTATATTGAATAATATCAAATATAAATAGATTAAAAAATAAGATAAATAAATTTTCATATGCAAATTTTTATGTATTTTATATATTTTAAAATTTTAATTAGAATTTAAATAGAAAGTAAAAGAGAAAAATAATTTTATTGAATACAAAAATAAAATCTTATATCAATTAAAATTACACATGTTGATATAATATGAAATTTATGAATTACATATAAAATATAGACAAATATTATCATAAGAACAACTTTATAAAATTTTTATAATAATATTTAAACTATTTGAAAGTTTAAAAATAATTAGGATATACTAATATTATTATTAATAAAATATTAATTATTTGGAAGAAAAAAATAGAATATTTAAATTAATTTTAAATATTCTTCTTTAATTTATGTATGTTAGACACATAGTCAACATTTTTCTAATTAATTTTATATGAGCTGGTTTAGTTACGTAACAAATATAGTAATATCAAAAGTTAAAGTAATAATAAAATTTATTCATTTAATCTACTATACCTCATTAATTAGATACTAATTAGCAGTTTTCAATAATAAAATTTACATAAACTATTAATATAAAAAATTACAATTGTCATAAATTTTACAAGAATAAATGTATTAATATGTTAATATTAAAGTTATAAATACTAAATTAATATTAATTCTTATTATTTCATTGTTGTATGACATTTTAAATATATAAACTAATTAATTATAATTTATTTATTCAATAATTCTCCATGAATGATCCTATATGTTAATATTAAGATTAAAAAAAATGTACATATATGTTAATATATATACACACTAAATAAAATATAAATTTTTTATCTTTATTAAATATTTTATGTTTGTCCATATAATTCTCGTTTAATTATTTATAACAAATTTAAAAATTACATACATGACCTTTAGAATATATATATATATATATATATATATATATATATATATATATATATACTCATCAATTCTTTTTTTTTCATTTCACTATTATTCATTAATCATGTATAAATTATCAGTTTTTAAGAATAAAATTTAAAGTAAATCATTAATATTAAAATTAAAAATTGTATTTAACTGTTAATTAAAAAAAATGCGCATCTCGAATATATTAAAATTGCTAATTAGAAATGAATGCATTTAAGTTTTTTGAATTAAATAATTCAAAATGACCTTAAACTTTGTAAGAATAAATGTATTAATATTACAATACTAAAGTTATAAAAAATTAAGTAAATATGTTAATTGCACTAATATACCCTGACTAATATAAATAATGCATTTCACAATGATAATGAAAGACTTAAATCAAAGTGTGCTAAAAAAAAATTTAAAAGAACTTAAAAGTTTAATTTATATATTCAAAATCTTGTCTACTCACATAACATTGGTAGAGAATGCAATGATTCAGATATATTAAAATATCAGCAAATAACTTTACAACTAAACATCAAAAAACAAAAGAAAAGTCACATATAAATAAAAGGAAATTAAATCCACAAAAATTAAACATTTAACTTCTTTTTAACGATGACCTTCTTTAAAGACTTAGTTATTCAACTTTGTGTTTGTGACTCTTCAATAACTGATAAACTCATTTCATTCTCATTCATTATCATCTTGAAAGGTTGCTTGGCACCTATAACTACTTCAACAGAAACTATCTGGGAATCATAACACAATTTAAATTATATTCAACATTTAAACCAATACTTTAAAAATATTGTTATTCATTTGAAGTTAATTCATTTTTTACCTTTGTAATATTAATTATTTGCTCATCTTCAACATTACTCATGGTTAAGCCAGCACTTTCATTCAAAGTCTTCATGCATCATTAATTAGAAATAAATACATTCAAACTTAATTTAAAGTTCAAGATTTTTCTGTAATTTTATTAATTATTATTTTTTAATAATAAAATTTAAAATAAACATTAATATTAAAGTTTAAATTTGCCGCAAATGATGCATATTTTGAATATATCAAAATTGCTAATTAAAAATAAATGCATTTAACTGATTTGAATTAAATCATTCATATTAAAGTTCAAATTTACCGCAAAAGATGTATCTTTTTAAAGATAAAGATATATCAAATTTGTTAATTAAAAATAAATGAATTTAACTGTTTTAAATTAAAATCATTTAAAATGAACTTAAATAGTAATTATTAATTATTATATAAAGATTATTATCTTAAAGAGTGAAGACAAATTCTCTTCTAAAACTCATTATAAATTTTTTTAAAAAACTCATATACTTTTATATATATAAAAATAAAGAATTAATTTTTATTTTAATTAAAAATATTTAAGATATTTCACACAAAATTTGCCTATCCACCTTTCACTGACTTTAAACTCCCAAAATCTTTTATTGTATTTATCAAACTTAATCTACGTAATAAACCGTGCAAAGGACAAATAGACATCCATTAACTAAAGAACCAAACTTCAAACACGGTACTGAGTTTGAGCTTGATCATTGTATGCTACAAATACATGTTTAGTACCATTCATCATATTCAATCACATAAACAAGGGAATTATACTACTATAAAGCATCTCTACTCTATTTTAAACTTCATGATATTAGGTCCATCAATTTTATTCGAAACACCAACAAAAAACTAAGCTTTCATTGAGAAAATTAATGTGTCTAAACTCCATGAAGACCAACGTACAATTCGAGGAAGAAGTTTAAAAAATTGAACAGTCTACTATTTCTTTTTGTGCTTCCAGGCTTAAATAAGGCCATGCAATATGGCCCAATCCCCTTAGATAAGCACTTTTTATGGGCACCTAAGACTCGCCTTTGTGGTCATTGAAGCATTGACACGTGGTGCCTAAAAGAGATTCCATCAATATTTGGAATTTTTTTACTAAGTTTCCACGTTAAGTTAAGACACGTATATACGTCTTTCTAACAAATTGGCATATAATTTAATATGTGCAAGTTGAAAGTGAATTTTAAGATGAAATTTTTTTAAATTAAATAAGATAATTTATCAAAATCATTATTATTTTATTTATAAATTATCTTTTTAGATTTTGTTTGCGAGTTTGAAAGAAAAAAAATTAAAAAATATAGAAAAAAAAGAAAAAAGAAGAAGAAGTGAAATAACAAAAAGAAAAAGTTAAATCTCTAGAGTGATTAAAAATTTAATTATATAAGTAATATTATTATATTTTATAATTTTTTATTTATATTTTTTATTTTTATAAAAAGTTAAAAAATAAATATTTTTTAAAAAAGTTTAATAATTTTATTTTTTAAAAAATAAATATTTAAGAAAAAAAAGTTAAAACTCTATTTGTAAAATAGTAAAAAAGTAGGAAAGAAAAAACGTTCAAAATAAAACAACTTAAAAAATTAAAGTTTAAAAAAATTCTCAAAACCTCCCTTCCGAATTAAACCATTTTCAAACAAAAACTAAACCTTCTCTTCTCTCCCCGCTCATTCTCTCTTAAATACAAATTTGAACATACTCTTATGAGATTTTGAGTTTGAGTTTTGTAAAATGACAAAACAGACATGGAAGAAAATTTTCGTTCACATAGATCCACTGTCATCATATTTTTGTATATGAACCATAGCATATCCAAAGTATATGCAGTATCTGCGCTTCCTAAATTGATATCGATACTAATAAAAAGGATACTCATTACTCAGTAGATTTTTAAAGGCTCTACAATAGCTTTCTTGCTGATTCCTTATTCATTGAATACATGACTACTAACTCCCCAGCTTTCCAAGTGTTTTCTATGCAACTCTTTTATTTGAGTGATGTAAACTAAACAATCCTTATATACCACATGCCCTTTAGGTATAGGCCGTTACTCTGGTAGTTACATTTTCTTACTAGGTTTGGAAAGGAGTTGGACCTATCTTATCTAACCAAACTCAATGTTGCCTAGTTCTGAGGTAATCAACTCAGACAGGGATAAGCTTTGAAGAGAGAACAGTATAGAGAAAGCATAGGAAAAGCTGAAGCCTTTCTTGAGTTTAATATCCTCCTCTTAATAAAGACTAATTCTAGCTAATGGTATACATAAAAATGTTACTGATATATATATATATATTAAAAAATTGTGTTAAAAAGACTTTTTAACTAATATTGCTCTGTAGTAAATATATGGAAGGGAATTTAACACTGGTTAGTCATAATGTTAAGGTTTATGCTTGCTTGTTTACCTTCTTTGTACCTTAATTTGGAGTCTTTAACTTAATCTGTTGAGCCTATAGTATTACCATAACTGTGATTAATCATTATATTATTTGAAGTCAAAGTAAATATAATGTTTTGGTAACGATATAAATTGGAACTCTGCGGTGGACCAATGGTAAAATTTCTTCCTTCCTTTGATAACTTTATCCATTCTACCTTATACCCAATCAAATCCTGCAACGCCACATTCCTTTAAGTGCATAATTTGATGTCCGAATATAGCATTCTTCGTCCCTGCTTGCCCATTTGGTCCCTCTAAGGGGATGCCACTTTACTAAATTGATCGAATATTTACTTTTCCTTGTACGATCTTGGAACTTTTCGAGAAGATATAAAAAAGAACAATCATAATAAATATCTCCAGAATGAATGTATGGAAAGGGTATCCATTATCCTTATCTAAATTGATTCTCCTTTTACTCTTGCAGGAGTGGGTCTACTTTGCTCCTTCTATTGAGGATATTGGGTGTTTTATTTTTTATACATTCCAATGACTTAGTGCTTTTGTCAATATACACTGTTGGAGTTAATCATTTGAGTAACGTAATTTATATAACAAAATTTTACAACAATCTACATACAAGAGAAAGATTATAATAGGAAAAAAAAAGTATAAAATAAGTGATATAATAGAGAAAAAAATTGTATTAAAATTGTTTTAAAATTTTATTACATGAACATTTTTCATTAATATTTCATTTTATGGTCTTTCATTCAAATGTTGAAACTCTCAATTCACCCCTTTAACTACCACAAAATCCTCTATATTTATAAGATTTGTCAGAAGCTCTTTCACAAAGTAGGGTAAAATAGGCAAGCTGCCTACATTCTAGTCATATTTTTCATAGGTACGTGGGTGAAAAAGTTAAAAGTATATATAATAACGACCAAAACCAAAGTAGATTTTGGTCTATCCCATTCAAGTTCGTTTTGCATCTTGTAATCCTGCACAAGAAAACTGAAATTGTCAATACATTTTGTCCTTGCATTAAAAGATGGTATGAGAAGTCAATGATCTGTTGCACCATTTCTTTCTTTTTCTCACATGATTCACCTTTGTTTGGAAAAGAATGTGCATGACAAAAACATAGAAGGCTAAAGTCCATATATCACTTGCTTAAATCACAATTTATAACTCTTTTTGGTTACTATTTAAGAAAGTTATCACTCGATCGCTATGCTAAATTACATCTTCTGTACATGTGTAAATGAGTGTTTGTATACGTATATCTGCATATACGTGTTAATCAGACTTTGTTGGCAATCCACACATGTACTTGAAGAAGTAAATTATCAATGATTAAAAGCAATTATACAAATGTATGAGAAACCTTAATTTATTTGGTTAGTGAAAGTAGCAGTGCTATGTAATTGGAATTGGCTTAATAATCAAGAAAGTAACTAATATTAGATCATCTAATGGCTGTGATTGCTTTCAGATCAGATCATGAGTTCTACCAGGTAGTGGATTCAACACATATACACAAATATATGAACAAACATTTATAATTATATGGGCCGGAAGGCTCCAAACATCTTCTTTTGTCACTTTTATTTTTGGGAATGAAAAAGTGTGTATATTATCGATTCACACATATTTGAGTGTGTTTTACTTTTTCTTGTGAAATTCTTTTTCATGTGAAACGTAAGCATGTGGATCTTATGCTAAAACAAATTAAATAAACTATAAATATACGCAGGCGATGTTCATTATTGTCGCCGACCTAGATTTTATTCATTATTCTTATATTTGTTCTGTGTACATATACCTTCAATTACACGTGTGGGAGAAAAGAGATTATGTGAAGTGGAAGCAAATAACTTGGCTTGGTTATAAAACAAACTTGTATATACGTTATATATATATATATATATATATATATATATATTGTCTAGCACCCTGTGATTCATGTGTGCGATGATTACCTTGTGAGTGAAGAAAAAATTGAAAAGAAAAAGACAAGGCCATGGAGTCAAAGACAAGACGACCACCCATCTTTCTCAATCCCTTAGGTCCCTCTCCAAACCGTTTTCTACTAGACTCATCAACCAACTTCTCTTTCTTTCTCTCTCAACTTTTTTTTTTCTCACTCTTCCCTATTTTGTAAGCAAACCCCATAACCATCACCATCATCATCATGGTCATCATTAATTGCCTCCCCATGAAGCTTCTTTCTACTCTTTCTCACTCTATAAATCATTCTCTTATATGTACATATCAAAACCAGTTGGGAGAGGAAATTGCCCTGGAGAGGAATATTGAGGGTGAACAATGAGGAAGCCAGAGTTGTGCAGTACTAAAAACAACAACAATAGCAAACTTAGAAAGGGATTGTGGTCACCAGAAGAAGATGACAAGCTCATGAACTACATGCTAAACAATGGACAAGGTTGTTGGAGCGATGTGGCAAGAAATGCTGGCTTGCAAAGGTGTGGCAAAAGCTGTCGGCTTCGATGGATCAATTACTTGAGGCCTGATCTTAAAAGAGGTGCATTCTCACCCCAAGAAGAGGAACTCATCATCCATTTGCATTCCCTTCTTGGCAACAGGTAGTATTATATCATCACAATGATTTTTAGTTTTATTCCTTAATTTAAAGAACTCAGCCACTGAGCACATGCATGTATAATTAATGTTTACATATACAGTATGAAAATCCAAGTTTATTTTTAAAGATACGCATTCCTGCAAGAGTAATAGATGTTTAGTGTTGAAACCACTAAAATGATCATGAATTCTAAAATGGTTTTGTTTTAGAAGGATTCTATTTGTAGGATACCACACAAGAGAATAAAAATAAAACTTTTAAGATATATTCAATTCAATATTTTAAAGAGTTTTTTAGGTTATTTTATAGAGTAAATAACTCTATTTTAAGTATATTAATAAAATTTTATTTATAAAAAATTGATACAATTTTTAACACAACACATTGACTCTCTTAATTCCCTTAATTAAGATGTAATTATTTATGCCCCGTGATTAACTTAACCAGACCCTTTTTTTAATTGCAAAAACCAATCCTAGAGACACCACTACACCTAACTAATCATTCTACAATTGAAAATGTTGTTTGCACAATATTTTTGTTATACGTGTTTTCATTGCTCTTGTTTTAAGATAATAATAAAATGAAAAAAAAAAAACACACATTTTAATGTGCATATTTTTTCCCAAACAAATACTTTTAACAAAAGATGCAAAGTAAAGGAAGGTGCCTTACAGAAGGATACGTGAGATTATTTCTTCTCCCCCCCCCCCCCCCCCATCTCTCTCTCTCTCTCTCTCTCTCTCTTTCTCTAGTGGAAAGGACATTCTTCAGATGTCGAAATCTCGTTCTCTTTAGTGGAGACACGGTTTTGAAGTTCAAATAACAACAGCGATCAGCGATGAATATATAATAATTATATTTTTCATATCTTATGTTTTGTATATCTCATTTTTATTTATTTTTCTATTACATTATTTATTATATCTCTCTCTCTCTCTCTTTTATATTTATTTTACAGCTCTTTATGGGATCTAAAAAAATTAAAACATTGGAACAATATTAATAAATAACGTTAGTTATACACTTTATCCTTGGAGCGTATAAAGTAAAAAGAATAATAAAAATAAAAAGATGATAAATAATATGACGTGCTAATAAAATAAAAGTGAAAGTTGCAAATATAATTGTTAGATATTAATTAGTACGTATGAACTAACAAAGAATTCGAGTTGAAGACACTCCATATCTGAGTTGTTTTGCGCTTTTTATTAGTTTTCCATGCAAAGCATTCCTCTGTAGCTATCGACAGAAAAATAAACATTTAGAATCTACTTATTTAAGTTAACTTATGCTATATATGTGAATTCATTGACCTGACATTTTAATATTATGTTTCACGTTTAAAGATGGTCTCAAATAGCAGCGCGCTTGCCTGGGCGAACTGACAATGAAATAAAAAACTTTTGGAATTCAACGATAAAGAAAAGACTTAAGAACATGTCGTCCACAACCACAACCTCAACCTCCCCAAATGCAAGCGAGTCCTCGTCAGAGCCTAGTAAAGACCTCAACATGGGAGGGTTTATTTCCACACAACATCATCATGATCATCATGCAAGCTTTGTGCCCATGTTTGGTTCATCTCCATCTTCAATGCCAACCACAGTTCTCGATTCCGTGATTGATAGGTTGCCTGTGCTGGAGTATGGACTTAACATGCCAGCTTCTGGAGGGTACTTCAAGGGCACAGGGAGCTTTTCACAAAGTGGAGTTGACAATAAAGGTTCTTTTTTAGAAAATGGAGTTTTTGGGAGTGTAAATATTGGAGTAGAAGGGGATATGTTTGTTCCTCCCCTTGAGAATGTTAGCACCTCTATTAATCATAACCAGAGAGTAATTGAGAGCACGTGCAAGAGAGAAACTAACGATTGTTACTTTGATGACATAAATAGTATGCTTAATAACTGCAACATTAACAACAATAATAAAGGAGCTGAAAATAAGGCTGGGATGGAGAGTTTGTTTCAAGAAGAGTTAACCATGGGAGAGTGGGACTTTGAGGAGTTGATGAAAGATGCTACCTCCTTTCCGTTTCTTGATTTTTCATTCTGATTGATCCTATAATTGTTAAATTCTCCACAGAGCCTATGCGAATCTTGCACATCTGGTGGATCTCCACAGAGCCTTGTACAATATATATTGGTATTTTTGCCGTTATACCAAGGAACAAGTTCACAAATTAACAAGCAGGTAGGTCTCAAAATAAAAAGTCCCAACATATATTCCTGGGTTCGAGATCTTGTAATTAGTCTTGCAGGTTAATTTGTGTATTATCAAATTTTTAGATCATCTCTCCTTAATTTTCCGGAAACCAGTTTAGTTAACAACAATAATATGCCATACCTGTAAAAGATATGTGAATAGTTTGTTATATACAATATTTTTTTTTTGTTCAACTTTTGTGATGATATACATTCATACATATGATCATACTTCTTGTTATATATTTCGTTTTATATAACCTTAATAACCAGAGATCGATGTACAAAATAATATTGTTACTGGTGACAAGTTTGTATATACACGTACATTTACAGGATATTCAATACAGAAACTCTCTAATTTTCCCAACTCAATTTTCAAATTGGACGCCATTAAGTTCGTATAGTAATAATCGATTGATACTGCTGTAAATATCCAGGAAGCAATCAGATTTGCTTTCATGATTGTTTATATACTTGGAAAGCTTGATTAATCATAAAAGTAAGTCCACTTGGTAGAAAATCACGGTTAATGGGTAATCAGTTGTCGAGGGTTCATCATATTATATGGAAGTTAGTTAAGCTAAATGGTTGAATTATTCCAAGAGCAATTATAACTTCTACTTTGATTTTAAGCCTTGAAAGAGAACTAAATATAATTATTATATTGACAAACGAAAAATATGCCATATAATATAGGATAATTATCAAGAAGTGAATGTAAAGCAACTAAATTTGAAATTGACGTCAAGTTACACCAGTTGGCCGTCGTCGAAAGGGTCGGTGATCGGAAGTGCTTTTTTATATCATTTTCCATCATATACCATAACTAATGCATTTTTATTAATTATTTCAATTATATTTTCCTGTTCTTCAACCTTTTATATATATATATATAAAGAGAGACAGATGGGTTGCGAAATGGACGAGAAAGAGAGGTATAATGGGTGATATATGTGATAAAAAAGAAAAGGAAAAAAATGTATAACAAAATTAATATAAAAATATTATTATTATCACTATCATTATTATTATGTTTTTGACTTTTGAAGCTACCATAGCCAGTCAACCACACTAACTTACAGAAAATAAACAGCGGTTCTTTTCGCAACCAGACAAATTAGTGATTCAACTATTAGTTATATATAATATTTACATTAAAATAATTTTAAAATGTATTTAAATGTGCAACGTGCTATTCATAATCTAATGCTCTAACAAAGTCAATGATCAATTTGAATTTAGGAATACAATTACGCTTAATTATATCATGTGCTTCTTTGGTGAAGCCTATTGATTTGCAGTTTAAAAACGAAAAGGAAAAAATACGACAGTGAAAGTATTTTAAAAAAGAATCAAAGGTGTGAAAATCAATTGGTAAATAATATTCAGTATTGATTTCAGTTATCGTACCATTAAAGTAAACGAACTTTAAAAACAAGAGTCTCTTAGCTGCCATTGTTGTATTAATTTGTGTTGGGGTATTGGTCCCTAATTTGGGCCTATATCCAACACCCAATTCTACTTTAGAACAAAACACGATGACCAGACAAGCCTTGTTTTGAGATTGGGTTACTAATTTCCTGTTTCCTCGTAATCGTAACTATAGGTGGCTATAGGGTCCAATTGGTCTCGTATCATCTCGCAATTATATATGCTAATGATCATATTATGTAAGTTCCTATTTAAATGAATTTTTATTTTTAAAATTAAAAAGCTCGAATAAATGTATCAAATTGTTAACGTGTGTTCAATAACACATTTTCAATTTAAATATTAATAGATAATAAAATTAATAACATTTGATGTTATTTATGTGTTGAATCTAATGATATTTTATAATTTTTAATAAAAATTATATGATAATTTTTTATTATGTACTTTTTTAAAAATATCATAAAATTATAGTTAAATTTGTTAGTTTGCAAGCCCAATTTTTTTATATAGTATTTATGATTCAATTTATTTGTGTTAGTTTGCCCAATTAGTCTTTTGTTTCAAAACATTTATTGGTTTAATATTCACATTTGAATTTAAAAATATATATATAATTCATAGTATTCTTTTGACAGATATAAATTCATTGCAAATCTTTATTAATGACTTGCCTTCTTAGAACGACCCTTTATCTTAAGGACACTTGTTTTATTTTATTTTAAAACCATAGTAGTTTTATCAATGGAGCCACCATCAATGGTTTGTAAACTTTGTATTATGACATAAAAAAACAACTAATACCGCAATCATTTTGTCATGGAGGTAGTGCCTAATGTAGGTGACTGGGATCCACTGCCTACACTTTCAATGATGTTTTGAAAATACAATACTTTAACCTTTTTTGAATTAGTTTCATTATTAGAACATTCAGTAATTGTTATATAATTATTAAGTTTTTACACACACATATATTAAAATATTCTCCAAGATTAGTAGAGACAATATATCAGCTGTAAAAGCATATGTATTAATTATTGTTATTTAAAATCTGACCCAAAGATATTGAAGCTGACGAGGGTTGGTCCTTGGTGGAATATTACTCACCAAAGCATTATTATGCTGATTATGGACTAAGAACTGAAAGAGCGATTGGACTTGAGTTTCTGTCTGTGGGATAAGAAATGTCACTTTATCACTTTTATTCTTTCACTCTCTCTCTTTTGTCATTGTTCATCGCTTTTATTTAACATATCTCAATCGAAGATGATTAAAAAGAAATCATTTCCAGGACTTTTGATATTTTCTTTATCAAACACCTTTAGAGTATAGTTATGAGACTAATCTTTAAACGTGAGTAATGGCTAAACAAAATTCTCATTAATTTTTAATTATTGATAATAAATAAATTTCACTTAAAGCTCCACTTTCACTGCAACCATTGAACATGAGGGTACAAAGAGTTTAATTCAATAATCATTTAATTAACTTTGATTGAATAAAAATTTAAAAATTTTAAATTTAATTATAAAAATGATCGATAATTATTAATTTGAAAGATTAAATTCTATTTTTTTTATTTTAAGAATTTAAATAATATATTATAGTAATTTTAAAGATTAATTTGATAGTTTACCTGATTTAAAATTGTTCCTCTTAGAAAATTTATAAAATTATTTTGTTGGCATAAACAATTAAGATTTAATATGAAACTATAACACTCCCAAAGAGCTAAGGTTGAAAGAGAAAAATTAATAATTAAAAAAAACAATAAATCTTCATATAATAACACAGCAAGTTGTTTTTTCATATTATTCAAACTCGTGCCAACTAAAATGAAGAAATAAATAAAACTAAAATGAAAGGAAAGCGCAATGGAATTTACCCCTTGAGAGCTGTAATGGAGCATGCAATAAGCTTGGCCTGCTGGATTCTTACGCTATAATTTAGAATGAGATTATTCGTGATCATCAACTGCTTTTAGCCTTGCTATGGTTCTTCAACTTTTCAACGTTTCAATCACCACACCAAAATATTTAAACTTCATAAAAGAATAAAAGGGATTTCTCTTTCCGATTCGTTATCACTTTTTCGAGTGGTTTATCTTTTTCCCAATATTTTTAGTGTTATTTAAAATTTATAAGCACATTTTTATTATAAAGTAAAATGGGTTTTCGATTCATTTGAGCTGATTAATAGGTAACAAAGTATTTTAAAATATTTAAACTTAATATAAATTTATAAAAATGGTGTTTAAAATAGATAAAAAGTGTGAATCTCACATCGAACATCTTCATTTTGAGGACTTTAAATCATTCCTCTTTACTTTTCTTATTCTTTTCATATCCATTCATCTAAAAACAAATTCCAAAATTAAAATAAACAAATTTAATTGTCTCATTTTAATATATTTCTAATAAACGTGTGTAAAGCACTATCACAATATTATACAAAAACTATTTACACATTGATTTTTTATCTCTTTTCATCGTATCACTTATTTTATCTTATATATAGCTGGATATATACATGCATTTGTTATATAACTATATACAAAATCTCTATATAGTCATTTGTTACCCTATATTATTACCGTGAATTCCACACGTCTCTACCGTGATTTTATGAGGGTGAAGAATATGGACCAAAGAAACCCAAATCGAAAATTGCTCCTCAAGTTTTCTACTGTGTCCCTTCTGAGACTCCTCATATGCTAATTGCCTTTATTAATTTCTCATTCTCCCAAAAGTTTAGCTGATTAAGCACCATTCTTTCCAAGAGAAAACAAAAAACAAAACTCCAAATCCTGAAATTCAAACTGCATTATCATGTATGAATTCCAAAATTCCCTTTTGTGTAGTTCTCCTTATTCTCTCACAATGTCATCACATCGAGCTGCATTTGAGATTTATTTCTGTTTTCGAATTGCTAATTCGCTATGGCAGTTTCCCCATCCCCAATGCTCGAACTTCTCGTGTTACTAATTTCACACTCTTAGAGATTGTACAATCGTTGCTTCGCCTCAAGTTCAATATGACAGACAATCAAAGAAGTTTTCAACCGCAAAGTAAGTTCACTTTTTATTCTTCTTGTTTTTTATCAATTTCCAAAGGAATAATGAAATGTTGCCTTCACAAGTTGTTATATCACTTATATGTATAATGTATTATCATAAAGGACAAAACACGTCTTAAATTCATAATCCAGTGTTCTACAATCCCTGTTTGCTTTACATCGATGTTTTCCACCCTTTCCTTGATGGTCGTAAAGTTATATAAAAAAAGATGCGGTGGAAGCCAAAAGGAAGTCACTTCATGAAAATGGAAATTACACTTTTTCATAGGACTAATGGTTCTTATGAAACTGTTCGTCACAGGGTTTGTATCATTAATAGGTAGAGTTTTAGCATCTTCAGTTCGCCAATTATGATTGATTAGATGATCGTTTAGCAATTGATATCTAGGTTTAAATAACTTGTGTTTAATTTTGGATACCTGTTAAAATCTTGCATATCCAATTCTAAGAGAACAGAGGAAAATATGTAGAAACGTGATAAAACATTGAGCAGAAGTCACGGGCATGGGATATTTTCTAGCCATAAAGTTGAAGTCCTGTGTTCTGTTTAGTCAAACTGTTTTTTGCATCACCTTCTAAAAATTATATTTTAAAAGTGACATACGAAATATAATTAAAAAAAACTAGTTTTGTAGAAATTTTATTTTCAAATAATAAAAAATTAACCTAAGTAATTAATAATAGTAATTTTAAAAAAATTAATAAAAAAATTTCTGCTCTTAAATACTTAAACATAACTTAAAAATTGAGGTTAAGCGAAAATAGCTTTTGCACTTTGAACAATCTGGAGTTCTGGACAGCTAATATTAGGTTTTTGCCAAACCATGACCTCACGCTCCCATATAGAACCAACACAAGCAAACCCATGTATCTGCCCTCCAAGGCACAAATAACTTGAATACACATTGCATTCAACATGTGTTTTGATTTAATGGCATTATTAATTACGTTTCTATTAAAGTCGTAATACTCATTATTTCTTTGGATATTACTCTCTATTATGGATGTTTTAAATTTTTAATGTTTTTTTAAAATCTTTTTTCAACAGTTTTATTGTTTTAGATATACTTTTTGGCATTTCCTATTGTTAAACATTTTCACTCTTAATAATAGAAATTAAAAGTATTTATGTATAATTTCAGTCAATAATATATATATACACTCTTACTTTATATATGAAGCAGTATACATGAAAATATAAAAATATTTAATCCTACTTTTTTTATTTATTTATTCAGATAAATAAATTCAAGTTATTTAATTAAAATTAATTGTTAAAATTACTAATTTATCTTTTATTATTGTGTTTTCTTTTGACTTTTGGACTATTTAAATATTATAAACATTTCATTATTTTTAAAATTTATGTTATATTACACAAAATAAAATTTCATATATAAAATATTTTTATTGGAAACCGAGGAATTCAAAGTATTAATACTATAAAAAATTCATTTTTAATAAAATTTTATTATTTATTAATTTTTATTACATTAAATTGAAAAATTGATATTTTAATATAGACAAAAAGAGCAGGAATAATAATCAATATTATCTTAAAATTTAACACAAATAGAAAAATAAAATAAAGGTATTATCTTTATATAATAATTAAAAATATTATAAAAATAAAATGTAAGAAAATATATAATTAATTTTAATGTCGGTCAGATGACATATAATAAGATTTATATACAGTACATTTTATTAAACTTATAACATTTAATATATTGATAATATTAAATACTATATTTTTAATTTTTTATTCATTATTTTTAATGAAAATTTCTATATCTTTTAATTACTTTTCTCTTCTATTTTTTTTTTCTTATTATACCTTCACTATTTAAAATTAATGAATATAAAAGGTAAAATTAAGAATGAGATATCAATTTTTATATAAACTAAGACAATAACTATTTTTTTTTAAATTGTGTAAAAACCACCTTAATTGACAGATTAAAAAATGGAAGGAATATAAAATACGTATTAAATGAAAAAATATGTATTTATCATTTTAAAAATATAAATTTTATTTAATATTTTCTCAATTTAATAATTAAAAATTATAGGCATAAAATGTCAAAAAAATTACAATTATTCTTTTTTTAATCTCTTTGAATTATTGAACACATATTAGAACAAATATTTATTTATTATTGTGAAATAAAATTTTCTCATCAAATGAATTATATATTATTTTTCAATACAAAAGCATAACTCATAATTTAATGCAATTACGTAAAATATATTAAAAATGAATTTATTTTCCTATTTTTGTATGTTTATACATTTTTAATTATAAAATAAAAATTATGAAAGATTTTTTAATATTTTCAGATAATAAACACGTATAATTTTTTATTTAATAATTATTTTATAAAATAAAATAATTAAAAATACGTAAAAGGATACTACTGTAAAATTCATTAAAAAACATATGTGGAGTTTGTATGATTCGAGTTTCACAATAATGCTTAGGGTACGTAACGTTTGAAGTTCCCGTCTACCAGTGAGTGCCGTTGACGTACGAGTCTTTACATGGAAAGTTTTTATCTTTTTCCTTTTTTTTCGTTTGTTTTTTTCCTGCAAAAGGGACATTCCCCAGCGGAATGTGGCACGACACGTGGCAAACGCTGGTAAGCATGCAATGCCACTTCGAAGCTTTTGACGTCGATGGAGCGGTTTTCTTGACTCTAGCGCTGCCACATGTTTTAGCAATTCATGGCACTGCTAATTAAATGCGAGCTATGATATGAAGCATCTTCTAAGTGCCCCAAGAAACTGAAAGCGGAAGCTAGGCCCGCGTGATTTTTGTGGACAACTTTTTTTTCCCACCATCATATTCATATTATTATTCTGTCATGCATATTGCATATTTCGTGACATGGGCAAGCTAACTCTCTTGTTTGTTTTGTTGTTTGTTCCAGTTAAAGGGCAAACTTGACTTGCTTTTTGGGTAGCTTTACTTCAAAGCTTTAATTAGAAGTGGATCACGTTTTTAGTTAGTAGTATGGGTATCTGAACTGCAGTTTTTTTTGTCTTACTTGTAATTGGTTGATTTGCCTCTTTTTCCAAACTCTCTTGCTGTTTCAAAATTTTCAAAGCTTAATTGTCCAAGTTGAAGTTTCCCTGTTGAGTTTGAATATTAACTGGATTTAAGAAAAATCTTTAGTTAAAAGCTATTTTCAAAGGGAATTCATTTTACAGTAAAGTTTATCCAGGTAACTTTTTTTTTTTGTATACCCTTTATGCGGTTTTTTTCATTCTGATGGTTTATTTAGTTTGTAATTTTGCTCAGAGTGAGAAGAATATAAAAAGGCATCTCCTTTACCAACCTTTCGTCACTGTTGGGTTGATACCTATTCCATGATACATATTCCATTATGACTTGACTTGATTTGTTGGCTGGTAGCTAACCACATAAATATGGAGATATTGTGTATTATTTGCTCTGGGCCCTAAATTATGATAACTTATTTGTGTTAATGTTCGAGCAACAAGGTTAATATATTGGAGCTCGTTCTGTGTCTTTTCATTTTGGTATCACTAATTGCCTTACCACTCATCAATAGATTCTGGTAGTTACTCGGTTCGTTTGATTTCTCAAACAACACAGTGAATTTGGCTTCTCAGAAATGGCTGAGAAAGAGGGTATGTATTCATCAAGGGATTGGAGGAGAATACCACTCTGCACTTTCTTTAAGGATGCCAGGTATGATACATACATACTAATACGATATAGCATTTCTATAGTACATCCTTTTTCGAAGAAGCTAAACGGGAAGTTTCAAGCATTAAACAGAAACTGCATATTTTAAACATTTTATTTTCTGAAAATTTTCGTCTATTGTATTTTGAGTGCTGTGCTCTTATGATGAACGCCTATGTGTAGCTTTTTTCTTCTAGCGGTTGTATCATGATGTTTTTCTGATGTAGCTGGACATAACTCGTAACTTTCTTCTTATTGTACAGACTAGTTTTCAAATTAGACAGTCTTGGCCGGGAAATTTTGTCGATTGCACTTCCCGCAGCAATGGCTTTGACAGCTGACCCTATTGCTTCACTGGTTGACACAGCTTTTATTGGCCAAATAGGTATGTTCTGTTTATAGTTTATTAGCTTTGAGCTTATTGCACACAGTTTTCCCTGTCTAAGTAGGTCATCTGAAAAGTAGATGGGGATGGCTGTTCAAATCAGTAAAACTAGAATATATGTGGGTGAGTGGGTCTGAGATGCTTCATCTAAACTGCTTATCAACCAACTTATATAAATGGGACGAGCTTATATTATGAATTTATGACAGAACAATAGGAACAGTGTGGGTTAACATGTGAGTGACTAAGGGATGAGTGACTGAATTAAAGATAATCCACTAGAAAATTGGAAAAGTATTTATTGGCAAACCTGTTGATCTGATTTGAAAAAATTAGATAGAAAAAGTATCAATGATCAAGATTACTTTCCTTGAATGTATTTGAATGTCTTACAATGTATCGAGTGTTAAATATTGTTGGGCCATGCAGGTCCAGTGGAGCTTGCTGCTGTAGGAGTTTCCATAGCTCTTTTCAATCAAGTATCAAGGATAGCAATATTCCCACTTGTTAGTGTCACAACCTCTTTTGTGGCTGAGGAAGATACCCTCAGTGGAGCAAGCCCTCAGATAGAGGAGAGTAGATGCTTGGAAGCAGGTCCCACTATGGATGCTGAAACCAAAAATTTGCTACCGCAGAAGGGTACCATTCCTCCGTTGTTTTGTAATTTGATTGGTTTCATCCAAGTTTTCTAGGATTCCACTTCACAGTGATGTCTTATTGCTCTATTGGAAAACCCATGGAAGGTTTTTCTTTTGTATATTGTCAATTGATAATTTAGATCCCTTCCATTTTATTTGTTGGTTACAGGCGGAAATGTTCACAATTCGGTTTTAGTTGTTGAAAGTTTTAATATAGTTAAGGAGGAAAATAAGAGAAGGAATATCCCTTCAGCTTCATCAGCATTATTTATTGGTGGCATCCTTGGTCTCATCCAGGCAATATTACTTATATCTACAGCAAAACCTTTATTGAACTTCATGGGTATATCCTCTGTAAGTATTTCTGTATGTAAATATGAAGGGATGTTACTTTTAGGCCTGATAGCACTTTGGCATTTGTTGTACCTTGTTCCTTGTGTGATTAGACCTTATAGCAGCATTGGATGATTGACAAATAATATGGATTATTTATACAGGACTCTCCTATGCTACATCCTGCACAGCGGTACTTGACATTGAGGTCCCTTGGTGCTCCTGCAGTTCTTCTTTCATTAGCAATGCAAGGAGTCTTCCGAGGATTTAAAGACACTAAAACTCCTTTATATGCCACCGGTATGTGATTGATAAACTTAAATTGTTATTGATCTAGTGTCACGATATCCTTCTATTATCTCATTGTAATTGTTTTCTTTGGTGTAATCCAGTGGCAGGAGATGTAACCAACATGGCACTAGATCCTTTATTCATGTTTGTATTCCGTTTGGGTGTCACTGGTGCAGCCATTTCCCATGTTATTTCTCAGTATGTTTTATTTAATTATAATGCAAATGCTGTTATTACACTCTTGTCCGTTGTATCTTATTTTCCTTTTGCTTATTATGACCCTAGCATCTCTTATTTTCAACTTAAAATGTAAATGTAGGTACCTAATTTCAGTTATACTCCTGTGGAGGTTGATGGAACAAGTTGACCTTATACCTCCAAGCATAAAGCATTTGCAATTTGATCGATTTCTTAAAAATGGTAAGCATTTATTTTTCTGTTGACCAAATGATCGATAAAGAAAAAAGGACCCATGTTACTTTCTTTTATTGAGATTTCATCTGCTGAACCATAATCAAAATTTTTTAATGGAAATTTCTAGTGTTTTATTTTTTCTTTCAGTAAAAATCTATACTTCATTTAATTGTTTATCTAGGGTATATACAGGTCAACTAGGAGTTCAGCATTGAGATTTGGTGTCATATTTTTCATTATTGTCATCCAGGTTCTCTATTATTAATGAGAGTCATTGCTGTAACATTCTGTGTGACACTGGCTGCATCATTAGCTGCAAGGCAGGGATCAACATCCATGGCTGCATTTCAAGTTTGTCTGCAGGTTTGGTTGTCAGTGTCTCTTCTCGCTGATGGTCTGGCTGTTGCAGGGCAGGTTAGATATAATTACTTTGTGCAATAAATGTCCTGCTATGTTACTTGATGATGGCTGCATGCCAAAACATTTAATAAAAGATATCAACGGCCTCTACTTGAATAATGCTTTCTTGTATGAAAAGATTCTGGAAAACATGATGATTGTTTGAATTTATTTTCCGTGCACATATTCTTGCAAAAAAATGGGTATGAAATAAATAATAGAAGCCGTAATTACATATTTATGTCATCCAATTGATTTTCTTTTATAATTATTTGTCCTATCTAGGGATGTAGTCACACTCCCTAGTTCTTTATATAATGCTATTTGCCATCCTTTAGAAACACAAGCAAAAGGCCTTTTTTTTTTAACTTTTCAGTTTGGTACTATGGCTCTATTAGTTCATATCTTCCAAAATAACATGTTGGTTTCAGGCAATTCTTGCAGGTGCATTTGCTAATAAGGACTATGACAAGGCGACCGCAACTGCATCCCGAGTACTGCAGATGGGTTTGGTTCTAGGATTGGCACTTGCTTTCATTCTTGGAACAGGATTACATTTTGGAGCTAAACTGTTTACAAATGATGTTAAAGTTCTCAACCTCATTAGAGTTGGGATCCCGGTAATTATTCATTTTCATATGGTAAAGGATATTATTGGTTATTCATCTTTCCTGCCCCCAAAGCAGTGGACTTACATTTATGTTCATTCTTTACCAGTTTGTTGCATTCACCCAACCCTTGAATTCTTTAGCATTTGTGTTTGATGGTGTCAACTTTGGGGCGTCTGATTTTGCATACTCAGCCTTTTCCATGGTGAGTATTTTTTTTTCTCCATGTTCAATGTTACATGATGGCATATTTTTTAACTATACAGTTTCCATATCCAAACTCTTGCTAGAATGCTTTATTTCCTATTGTAATAAGCATGAACCGAAGATGTTGATTTACTTGACTATGGTTCCTCTCAGGATGTGGTAGCAATTATTAGCATCATTTGTCTGCTTATATTGTCATCCGTTGGTGGTTTCATTGGAATTTGGGTTGCTTTGACCATCTACATGGGTCTTAGGGCATTTGCGGGCTTCTTGAGGTAATGATTTTTAAGGATTATTTTTCCAAATGTTTTCCACCGTATTGAATTGATTATTCTAAGACACCTTTTAGTTGTCACACTTATAACTTTGATGAGAGTTCAAGGCAATCTTTGTTTTATTATTATTGTTGTTATTATTATTATTATGACAAGGCACTCTCTTTAAGTCATTTTCAACTAATAAATGAACTATTTTGATGCAGGATTGGAACGGGATCCGGACCTTGGGAGTTCCTTAGGAGTTCATGACGGCACAATAATTTTAGCTTCATATCTGGCCAGTGGTGTTTGCTAGTTACATTACAGTGATAAAAGTTTTCCATAGGCTTTTAAATCTCATAGATATTTTTTGAAAGAATAGACACTTTCTCCCTGCTTGATTGTGCTTGGGGCATTGGTTGACAAATCTACCTCTGCTTCAGAATATGTACAAAAACATTTCTAATTCTGTTATCATAGTCTCACAATGAAATGAAACATAGAATCAAACTTCTATTGTAACCCTACAACAAATATAATTACATGAATAACATGAAAGTGAAAGATTGCATGGAACAAGTACTAGTGCTGAATAAAGATGCATGACTTTTTGTTTATTGGATGTTTGTATAAGGTGGTTCCTACATCAGCGTGGTACTACTCTTGTTTTTTAGCCGTAACATATGCAAGACAAAGCAAATAACCTTGTGGAACGATATTGAAAAATTGAACATATTCTTATTTGTTTTTAAAATGAGAAAATTCTTTTTAAAAATACCAACGAATATATCCTAAGTTCATATTTTTATACTTTATTTGTTTGGAGAAAATGGAAATAGAAAAAGAGAGAAACGATGGATGAAGAGAAGCAAATTGGGAAGGAAATAAGGATGAAAAGAAACTTCGAATTTTTTCACTTATTTGATTTGGTAGAAGAGATAAAAGAAAGAAAATAAAATTAAAAGATCTATTTACTCTTGAGACACTGTTTGGATTTATCGAAAAGAAGAATAAAGAAATGATTTTGTAAAAAAAAAATTATCATTTTGTGACAGGAAAATAATTAAGCGAGTTTCATTATTATAAATTATATTTTTTTATTCATCTAAATAAATAAATAAATAATTCCAGTAGTACATCATTTATATCTCTTTTCTCATTATTTATTTATCACAGTATTTTTTTCTTACTCATTTTCTATTTCATCCTAACATATTAATAAGAGATGGGCAGACAATAAAATTTAGCAAACTTACCATCTATATATTCTTTCCTCCCACCTTTTCTTTTTGAAAATCAAATGAGGAAGGCGCTGTATTCACTCTTGCATTCTCTCCTTAATTCTTTCTCTTATATGAATATAAACACAATGTTAGAGTCATGTTAGACATTTCTTTTTTAATTTTAAGATTAAAATGACAGTTAAAAATAAAATGAATTACAAAAATAGAAGAGTGAATTGGAATTTATATTAAATTTAAAGAATGAAATGTTAATTTTTCATTTATTTAGTTAACTTGTATTGAAAGTTTCAAATTACATTTTTACAATAAAAATAAAATAATTTATATTAAAATATATAAATAATTTAATGAATTTTTGAGTGATATAATATTGTCAATCATTTTTGTCGATTATTAAAATTACATATAAGGCCTTTAACTAAATATATTTGAAGGACTATATTGACGTTTAAATGCATATTAAAAGATCACAGATGTAGTTTTTATCTTTTCAAAAATAATCTGATCGATGTATATTTTTATAATTAATAAATCCATTAATTTTATTATAATTAATTAAATATTTATTTTATCACAAAATAAAGATAAAATTGTAAATTATAACTAATTATAATAGTTTTTGTTCTGTTATGCTTTACAACTCGTTTTGGGCTCAATCTAAACCGAAATCTATCCAAAATTAAAAAACTGGCCCACTCAATTGTGTACCCATTTTTATTTTGTTTTAAAATGGAATGGTGGGCCGAGACATGGTGTTGAAAAAAAAATCATTAACGTGAACAGAGACATGTTTTTGCTCCTTCGATCGTAGTTGGCAATCTGATTGGGGATGACGAACCTTAGTTCCCGCGAAACCTAATTCGCAGTGCTCTGTTTCCTTGTTACTGGAGCTCTTGTTTGAGACCTCGAATTTGAGCTGTTTCGAGAAGATCATTACAGATTAGCAGTTAATTTCAAGTACTCCTGAGTTTGGGTTCATTTTCATAGCACTTGGTAATATAATATTTTCTATTTTTATTTGGTTAATAGACTGAACAATGATTAAGTATTCTTTAATAGTGTAGACGGGTGAGTCTTGAAGATTACTGATGCATGTGAAAATAGCTATAGAAGTGAAAGATATGGACTCTGTTCATATGGTCTGAATCTGTTTACTTCTGTTTCAAGTGACTTTGTTCGGCATGCTCAAACAAATTTTCATTTGTATTTGAACCCTTTTGAAAATGGTAAGTTAATGAAAAATTAACTGATATAAAAGATTATAGGGTTAGTAGGCATTGGTGATAGAAAGGTAAGGACGTTAATGTTGGAATCCCTCACACTTGGTTGTGCTTGTTTGAAATTCGTTCATTTTGTAATTTTGGAATCCTGGATGAACCAAGACCATGCTAGATACTTGCATGTGTTTTTTAGATGGGAATTTTAATAAGTGGAGTTAAATTTTCTATTTTATAATTCCTAGTTAGCTTATAATTCCTCTTATGTCTGACTTTTCCATAGGGATTTTAACTCTTGTTTTCTTTTTGGGCTGCTAGCTCCTTTGATCCACCGAAAAATTAGTTGCTCTTCATTTTGTTTGTTGTTGAAAATGGGGCGAAATAGCTGCTTGATCATTTGTATATCATTAGAGCTTTAATCTTTGCATTTGGGTTTTGCAATTGCTTCAGAAAATTGGTGTTGGGTTGTCTTTCAAACACTAAAATTACTGATCTATGTGCATACTTGTCCAGTTGTCCTTATCATTCAAAGTGCAGTGTTTAAAACTCTCTATCTGCTTTCTGGATTTGTTTGGATTTAAAACTTTTTCTCTTTTAATTTGATGGTTGCATTTAGTACAAGTATTACGTTTCCATCTAAATTCTGGACTACTTACTAATCTTGATGCTTATTTTTCCTTTGCAGTGCAAGAGTTGCTCTATTTTTATTTTTATTTGTTTGGATTTTTTAGATTTTATTATTTTTACATTTTAGAGGTTCTTTCTTGTGATTTTCCTTTTAAAAAAAATAGATAGTTCAACCTGTTTAACCCACCAACTTAGAGATTGAACTGGATTGACTTGCACACTATTATAATAGACAAGTTGGTTTGTTTTGTTAAGAGTTCAGCCCATGGTGAGTTGGCCCATTTTGACAATTCTACCCACAGTTGGGTTACTTTTTGTATATTTTTAACTATTAACTTTACACTAAATAATTGGTGAGCGGTATATATTAGGGTAACAAGATTATGACCAATTACTACTTTGATAATTAATTAATATCACATTGACAATATGACGTGTCTTGTTTTCTAGTTATTTGTTAATGTAAATTTAATGTGTAAAAATCATGTACCAATTGTTTTAAAGTATTTTTTTATTTTTTTTTTGTAAATTCTCAGTTTTAGGGTTTCCTCTTTTATATATTTGGGTAGTAGTCACTGCAGGGAAAGAGAAGAGAGGTTTAACAGCAAAGCAATGGCAAGTGCATTGGGTAGCAGAGTTGAAACTGTTCGAAACTCTCCCTTATTAAAGTTTTCACTCAACTTCATGAGAGTCCTCAGCTCTTCTCCTTCTCCTTCTGCTGCTACTTCTGCTGAGAATCCTAAGAAATCGAAGCGAAGAAAGAAGAAGAACTTGTTTGAGGTGGCTCAGTTCTTACCTAACTGGGGACTGGGCTACCACATGGCCAAGAAGCACTGGAATGAAGTTTCTTACGAAATCACTAAAATCAATCTCTATAAGGTGGTTCTCTTTCAATCTTCAACTGTTTTTCTTTACCTTTTATCATTTTTATCAAATTTTAAACACATATTTCACAGTGATGCCGTTTATTCCCCCATTCTTCTCAATTCTTATGTAGAGTCTAATTTTTATTTTATATACGTATTTGCAGGGTGGAAGACATGGAAAAGCATGGGGGATTGCTTATAAAAATGGTTAGTCTCTTATGTTGCATTGGCATTGTTTTTGACTTTTGGTTATTCAGTTTTTCATTTCATATTTACAGTATATTCTATTCATCAAAGTCAGTGATAATCTTGCTGCAGTGCTATTCTTTGATGACTTTGTAATCTAGGCTAAGAATGCCATTCTGAAATCTTACATAGGACTCCTTGGGGGCATTTACACTTAGCAATAGGATGATAAGCACCATAATCAATAAAAAAATAAGATTAGTGAAAACTGAGAAGTGTGGAAGTCTCTTGTTGAGGACTAATGAAGTGTTTGAGTCTCATCTGATCAGACAAGCTTCATTACCTTTTTGAGTTGCTAAATCTGTTGATTATAATGACTTAGAAACTGTTATCTGTTACTTAAGTTGTGTGGTTTCTGTTAAAGACTTTCCACACGTCTCAGTTTCTGAGCAATATTGCTTGTCATTACTTTGATAATACTGTGGTGCTAATGGATTCTCAGTAGGGAACTCTCTGTGTTTACTTGCGTTGGTTTATGTTCTTTATGCATTCATTAGGGGATTCTGTTGGAGTTATATTGCACAATTAAGCCTATATGGTTGTTCTCTCTCTCATAAAGCCAAATCAATTCTCTGTTATGCTGGTTCCTTGTCTTAATATACTTTCTTCAAACTTTTTCAGATTTGTAGTTACTATGTGCACAAAAAAATCCAAGGTAGTTCTCCATGTCCCATTCTAACGGCTACCAAAAATAAGAATGGTAATTATTTTTTAATGACTTTTGATAGAAGTGTTGGTAGTGTTTCAAAAGGAATAAGTCTAACATTGCCTTGGTGAAGAGCCCTTGAAGAGTATATTAATTTATTTTGGGCTTAAGAACTTGTAAGAGGATTGTGTGCATAAGTTCAGGGAAAGGGTGTCACACGAGCACTCCCCTACATTTGCACACGTCTAAGTTGTCTGTTTCACTTATGTTCCATGTCAAATTATTTCTGACCTGTTATTAATCTCTCATAAATTTTGCATACATGACAATTGTGTTTCTGTTATTTGTTCGAATTTAGAAGCTTTATTTGATACATTCTTACAGTGAATATTGTATGAAGCACAGTTTACCAAAACAAAGTGTATATTGTATTGTGAGTACTAAAGCATTTACTTGTTTTCTGACTTGATTTGGTATCATACAACTTATTGCAGGCTTGCCAGCAGCAGATGCTCCAAAAAAAATCAGTGGAGTTCACAAGCGTTGTTGGAGGTACCTACCAAATGTAGTAAAAGCATCAGAAAGCTCAACAAACTTGACAAGTTCATCAGACAGTGGCATAAAAGTTGAAACTCAAGCAAGTTGACGCTTTCTAGTGACTTTGGGTTTTTCAGGTTATCGACATTATCCCATGTCTTAGAGTTGATTTTCAACTGGCATAGTTGTTTTCGACTATGGTAGCATTTTTTAGTCAATCATGAAATACTCCTTGCGCATTCATGCAAGGATGTTAACATTTCTTTAATTTCTTAATTAAATGAACTACCAACCATGAAACGTGCTTTGAGACAGTAATCTGGATGGATTTATTTCTTTTTTCTTCATTTGTGTTAGTCTTTGACCTTATACTTTATATCCATTCTAGTAAATCACTAAATTTATATATTCAACAAATTAGTTATTAATTGGTTTGTTGATAGATTTGGACTTCATATGAAAACTAATTTTGGTATTCATATCGTCTTGTGATGCTCATTTTAAATTCATCTACGTACGATATTATTTCCTAGTTATTATTAAAAAGAAGTGTTTTTTTACACGCTAGTACTTGAAGAAAACATATTTACATCTTGATTTAGTGATGGGTTGAACCTGCTTTGTTAATCAAGCACGGTTCACTGTGATATGATTCGTACACCAATGCAACAATCAAAGGCCTGTCCCATCACATGTTTTGTCCCAATTGGGTACGAGACAGCATGAGTGATTGTCATATTATATACTTGAACACTCACATAAAATTGTGGGAGAATTCTGTAAAGCAAAGTCACAAGATATGCACAATGACACTTTGGACTGTTAACTCTGTAAGACAACATCTATAACCTCGTCGCATCCCATCTTCCTAAGCAATAATTATATATACAAAATAATGAAGATAAAAAAACAGAAGTTGACAAATGAAGAATTACTGAATAGTATACAAATTCGTGTTAAAGAAATACACGCAGCTATTTATTTATTTTATATTTTCAAAATTTTACATCATGACATTCGTGGTCATCAATGTTTGACCACCTTATACATTTTTCTTATTAAAAATTTAGTGCTCCTCCGGATTTGTTATGTATATGCTTGATGTTCAGTCGAGATGGATTGATGCAGTAGACAATGGGGATGCATGCCCCAATTAAATTTTAATTGTAAATTAAAATTCATTAAATTTAAACAATAATGCTTAAAATAATAAAATATATAAAAATATAAAATATTTAATCTAAAAAATATGCAATGTGTTAAAAATAAAATGAATCATAAAACATTTTTATTTAAAAATGACTTCTTAAATTTACAAGAAAAAAATGAATAAATTTGAAGTTCATAGAAGAATTGTTTCAGTCTAATGGTGATGTAATTTTTTACCCGGGAAAAGAAAATTAACTACTGAAACTATGCTTACACTTGAGAAACCACTTAACATGCCACGTGCCGTTTATGGAGTTTCCACAAGTCCCTTTTTTTGTTATTGAAAATCACTGGTATGATAACATGCAAGTATGTGCAGCAATATTTCCAGAAAAGGATGCACATAGTAACATAGAAGCAGTTGATTTAAAAGCATGAGATGAGACTAAGAGAAGACAAATCAGAAACTCTAGAATTTTTCCAAGTCTTGCAATGCAATGATGGATAAATACTAACATTTAAAGTTTTGGTGAATATGTTTGAGGGTACCTATACCTGCAAGCGAAAGGAAATCGGTTCCGGCCATAAAATATAATATTTTTATACAAACTAGACCAATTTCAGTTTTATTTAAATTATAGGGGGTGACAATCAAGAGTTTGAGGCCTGGTGGAGAAAATACTGGATAGAGGAAGAAACATGCACCTAATGCTTGTAATATTTCCCCGAGAAAATGAAGGGGATAATCAAAAGAAAGGAAGAAAAAACTATATACACTTCAATTTGATTTTCTCTGTTTTCTGGTTTCCAGTGTTGTGCCATCTTTAAGACTTTCCTCCGCATCATGGTCCATCCCAAGGCTGAAAAGGGCCACTGCTTGAAGATAGAATGCAGTTGGCCAAGTGGGTGATACTGATTGAGCTTGCATGGCATCTCCTAGTGCTTCTTGTGCCATGTTGTTCATCAGGTAACAAAAGCACCTCCTTGCATACACAGTTGGGGATACCATGGTCCCACCATCGATGAACTATGCAAACAAGCAACCAGTTATTTCTCAGAAAAAAAAGAATACACTTTTAGTTTGGGCAGTTGCACAATAGGCTACTTTACTTGGCATGTCTTGTGAGTTGTGAGTAATGAAAGGCTAACTCATAATTCCAAGGCATTGACCCCTTTACCCTACGAGCTATTCATTCACTATCGTAGCCAAATACTAGTAAGTACCAACCCATAAAATTTAGTAGAATAAGGATGAACTTCGTCCCACATGAAGTTGATAATCAGAAGTTATTTGTTTTTGTAGAAAAGAGTGAAATCTGCAACCTATTTTGGGTGATTTTTAACGGATTCGTGTTCCACACATTTCTAGCTGACTTACTTGTGTATAGCAGTCAATGGCCTTAGAGAAGTCTCTGGCATGGAAAGCAGAATCTCCTTGCTTCTTATAATTTAATATTTCTTGTATTTGATCCGTCCACATTTGGAAGGAAAGCTGTGTTGCAATTTGCAAAGGAAAGACACAGCCAAAAATACAATGTACAAGATTAGTGAAGGTCAAGCTTCATAAGATCTGCACAACAATACATTTTGCAGTACTGATGAATTAAACTATTTTTCTAAAGAGGGGATAGAATTTGGGCGAGCAAACACATTAGCAATATAGGGTCACATATTTGAATGAATAAATTGACCAGGAACTAGAACATAACAGTCTTCAGTTATTTATAACCAGTGTCTTTTCAGCAAACAACATGCCTATATAGTTATTCATGACCAGTATTTTGCCTTGAGTTTTCAATATATATTGTGCAAGGCTATTAACTTTACCACTCTCCTCTTGAATATTTCTGTATGTATCTTTCAGGTGTCTCTTTTAAGTATTAACTTCATTTTGTAATGATAAGATTTTTACAACTTTCTCTACTGCTTTGGGGATCGAGGTTTTATGAAATGTCAGATTCTTTTATATTTATAAATCTGTCACGAGAGAAAAATCCAGGGAAACATTGCATTACCTCATTTGCAACATCTTCATCATCCTTGTACCCCACCCTTTCCAAAATTTCATAAATTGAAGTGAGATCCCTTCTAGAACAAGCTTCACCAAAAGGTGTCAACGGAACTGCTTCCTTTGATGGGGCACTCTCATCTGGAATGCCCAACAAAACATGTGATGGAACCTGATAAGTAACACCAGGTGTAAACCAAATAAATTTCAATGCTTCCATTGGGCTTCACTAATATGGTAAAATACAGATCAATCAAGCTACTTTTGAACCTTGTGATAGAGGGCATTTCAGACAAAAAAACTGAGAGAAAAGGAAGGCCTTACTGTAGTTTCTTTCTGAAGGGGAGTTAGAGCAGTCACAAGTGACTTGGCATTTGGCCTCTCACGAGGTTCATACTGTAGACAACGCGAAGCTAATCTCACTATTTCAGTTCCATCATCATTTGAAATATGACCTTCCAAACATGAGTCCATCAGCATCAGAAAATTTTTGCCCCGTATAAGGTCAAGTGCCTACAAGTAAAAGGATTATGCACCCATTTTACTAATGAACTCCAACTGTGGTGATCATTTTGAGCCAATCTATCATAGGATGCTACTGTAAACCCAGTAAAATTCAAGAAGAAATTGCCCGAATTGTAGTAGATTCATTGAACAAAATACCAGTGTGAATTAAAGCAAAAGAGAAAATAGGAAGCTGGGAGTATACATGACTGGGTGGAATATGCTTGCCACTCAGAAGATCAAGCAAGAGTGTGCCAAAACTGTAAATTACACTTTCTGGGGTGATTCTTCCTGCCAAATTTCAAATTACTGTGTTGGCTCAGTTAAGAAATTGAAAATTTCAATAAATAACAAAACAGATATAGCCCCAATCCAAAAACTAACAAGCTAACACCAATCTTGAAATAAACAACCTTTTTCCACTTCAACAGAGAGAAAAAATTGTAAGAATATACAATGCCTATACCAATGAATATGTCCAATCATCTTACTTTGACTGAAGAGAACAGGCAACTTCTGCTCACACAAAATGAATGGGGAAAAAACTGAAGGCATAGGCAGTAATACTATATAATTCAACTAGATTGGATACAGGCTACAGCAATCTTAACTGCTCTTTTAATGAAATTCACTCCCTCCTTCCTGTGGACAGAAAGGCGAATACTACATCTTAAGACACCCTAGTATGAGATCAGATTTTGTAAAAAATAAAATAAAATTGTACCGGTCCTCAAATACTCAGGAGGGGTGAAGGCTAAATTTGTACTGTAGCTTCTGCCATCCCTGCTGTTTTTCATGAGTCCAAAACAAGAAAGCCGAGGGTTGCCATCCTGTGCACCATTGATACCATGTAAACAATAGTTACTAATAAAACATAATGACTTAAAAAGAGGCATAAACCTGGTCATAAAAGCTTACATACCTGATCAAACAAAATTCTATAAGCATTAAGATCATGATACAATGCCCTTCCTCTACTGCTGCAATATTCCAATGCTTGTGCTAAACACAAGGCCACTCTCAGCCTCATTGCCCATTTCATGGGCTGTGTTTCCCCTACCAGTTCATTTCATCAAAATAAAAAACTCATTGGTCTACATGAAGTTTAAGATTTCACAAACCAAAATGGGAAGAGAGCAAATACTTAAATTCAGCTCCTTAAACAAAATGTGGCATGGAATCCATGTCTATCATTGCCAGCACATAGCACATCTCAAAATACCTCCCCAATCTGTTTTCCAATGACTACTTTGCCCTTGTTGATTGATGAAGAAATGCAGTCCAGTATGAAACAGAAATGAATGAGAACTCACAGTGAAAGAGATGTTTGGAGAGAGTTTCATTGGGCATAAACTCTGCAACAAGCAATCTCTCTTCTCCTTCACAGCAACAACCAACCAAGTTAGCTAACCGCTCATTCCTTAGCTGCCCCACTGCACGTGCTTCCTCCTTATATTTCCAACCAAACAAAGTAACAAACAATGAAACAAACACATCAAACATCAACTTCCTCTCACAAACATGCAAATGCAAATGCCAATGCAGAGAGAGGAACACGAACTATGAACTGTCGAGAATCAGGCCAAGCAGACTTGTTGAAGCGCTTCACAGCAACCAATCTATCATCTTCGATCTTTCCTTTGTAGACAACATTGGGAGCCTTCTCACCATGTTCTGAAACAATGTTATCGGGTGAGAATCCTGACGTGGCAGTTTTCAGTTGGTCCAAGCTGAACTCGATGAAGCCACCCCATGAATCCTTCTTCTCATCCTCTGTATACCCAGAAACGAACCCGTGTTAAAAAAATAAAACTTTAATTCGAAAACACAATGATATAGTGGAAACAGTGACTTCTTCTTCCTGTTATTCTATTGGCCCTCAGTGTGTGAATAGTGAGTAGAGATGAGTTCACCGTTTTCTGGTAAGTCTTGAAGATTGGATTGGGTGTTGGAGGGGTAACACCATAGACACAATTTACAGCAACAACCTCCCATTGCTCAAAATCAACCAATTCTTCAATTTCTTCTTCTTCTTCTTCTTCTCTCTCTCCCCCCCCTATAACTCTCCTTAGTCTTGTTAGATAAAAATAATAAGGTGGAGGCAAAGAATGAAATGAAAAGAGAAAAAAAAAGTTATTTTTTAAATGGGATTCAAGGGATTTTTGTTTGCGAGTATCATTCACCACTTCTCCATCATTTACTTTCTGCTTTCATTCCTTCTAGCTCTGTCTCTGTTCTGCACACGCTTTATTTATCCCACTTTTTTCTGTCTATTTTTTTTTTCTAGTTTGAAAATTAATGGTAAAGATAACAAAATGTATTCTAAGTTTAGTTGTTTAAATTTATAACACTCAAATAAATATGATATTTAGGTTGAATATAATGTTGTATTCTCTTAAAATAATCAATGATTTATCAATTATTATAAACTCGATGCTGTCTCCATAAATCAAATATTGATTAAGTCAATATATTACTCCAAGAAGATATAAACATTTCTCTTTTAAATGATGTAAAAACATTTTTATAGCTTTTTAAAATATTGTATAACTTCTAAATAAATCAAAATTATTAATATTTAAGCATATTTGTAACTATTCGTCTTACAAGTTATAGCACATTTGATTTCATATTTTTTCCACTTTCAACGTGAATAACTTTAATATTACATAAAGTAATTTTTAAAATATAGCTAACGTGTGTTTATCATTAAATTAAAATCAGACATATACTTACCGTATGCCTAGTTTCGCGTTAATTTTTTTTGTAAAAACATGATTACAAGGCAAAAACTATTTTGGTATGCCCGTTTAAAAATAATATGTTGTGCTTAACGTTCTCTCTCTTTCGTTTCCATTGCAAATCTGTGGTTGGCCCAAATTCCTTTACAACTTTTTGTGTTGTCTGAATAGTAGAAACAACAATAATGTCTTATGTAAATCTTCCAATTGTGATCGAGCACGTAGTAGGTAATCGCTATCAATTGCCCGACAGATGATATCTCTACCTTGATATATAGGGTCAAAGTTCATGAAAAAGATAAGACTCAATAACGTGTACATGTTATTGTGCTCAAGCTGTAGATATAGTTGCGTTTGTAAGTGGCTTAATAATTGTGCAGTCCTTTTCACCATAATACTAAAGTAGTATCTAAACAGACCAAGACAGAAGCGTTTGCTCAACATGTATACCTTCAACAAGTATAATTCTAATTACGAAGAAACGCATTATTTTGATTTCTTCAATCATATTTCTTTGACAAATGTTGAATCTTAAACGCTGGATAAGAAATTAAAACAATGTTTTTATATATCCCTTTTGTTCTATAATGTCGAGTTCCTGTTTGGTTTTTATGACATATTAACTCATTTCAGTTTTGCTTACTTTCATTTAAAGCCTTAATCATCCATGTATCGGCTGTTCTTTTATCTAGAACTAGCTTTATTGATTTAATGATCGCGTAATCCCTTGATCTATGGATTGTGATTATGTGGTAATTATTTTGTCTAGAAAGCAGCATCATGGCCTTTGTAGAAACTACAAACAGCTTTTTCTCCAGATTTTTTTAATTCTTTATGAATTGTAATTACTGGTCATTTAAATGAACTCAATTTAGACAATAATAAAGCATACCGGTAAGTGTGCACGTTTAGAGCCGAATATAACTTGTGGCCTTGTGAATTTGGAGTTCTGATTACTTCCCTCAAGGATGTATTACCCAAACTAGGAGCTGAAATTGAGTTGACCTTGATTAATATATACAAATTCAAAGCATGCATATACAAAGTGACAAAATGTTTGGTGTCTCCATTCTGGTATTATCTAGAGAGAAGGGCGAAAAAGAATTGTTATATCATATAGTATGCGCCACGCATATCTTTATATGCTGATTCCATATACAAAGTAGTTAATTTTTTATTTTACTATATACTATGCAACTAGATTGTGATTTTTTCCCTTTCATTTTTACTATAATGTAAAATGTGCAGAGACGACGTCACATCCCAATCCAGCTACTATGCAAGCAATTGTTGCAGCATACTCTAAAAGTTGACACTTGACACGAAGGGTCCATTTTATTTTTCTTAACACTTCAATTAATAATGGAGATCTTTTGAGAGACACTTCTTATCTGGTTTTGGAAATCTTCGATAAAGGGTCATTTCTTAACCAAAATTTCCAGCTCACTACAACCTGAACTCACTCAACTGGGCCTTTGTGGCTATATGCCATTATTATATAAAGTATGCAAGAACTGTCCACCATACAAATAGACTCTTTTGCATGCAGCCAAACTTGCAGTGTGTTTGGCATTTCGTTTGCACGCTTTCTAATGCAAACATGCAGAGTAACATGTCTCTCGGTGTTTTTATGCAAACATTTGTTTAAGTTACTGTTTAAATGCACAACTTATTTAATTGTGTGGTTATTCAAAGTTGATATACTATCAAAGACGGAAAGGTAAAAATGACTCATTCTCAAAAATTTCTTGGGTTTCGGACTAGCGTGGGTGAAATTTTTGAACCAATCCTCTCTGATTAGTAACTAGATTAGCTTAGACAATAAATATTCAAGTTATACCAGAAAAATAAACATTAATATAAAATATAATTTTGTGTTATTAAGTTTGAATTTAATTTTTAACACATTGTCATCGTTGTTTATACTTTAACTAAAGATTATTATATATATGATTTTTAAAATAAACATTATAAAAACAATTTGTAATTATATAATAATTTATGGTTGAATCATAGTATAAAAAAGATTATATTGATATTATGTTCTAATTAAATTCATTCATATTTTTTTCATAAATAGATTTTGTTAAGATGTGTCATAAGATACGTGTTAACAGTTAAGGAACAAAAATTGTATTGTTACTATACTCATCTCAATTACTTTTTAAAAACAAATTTGTGTGTAGTTTTCAAGTAACATCTATTTATTTTTTATTTATTTACATACGTCCTAAGTACATATAAAAAAATAAAAATATGCATAAACTTATACAATTTTGCTTAATAATCATGTTTTCTTTATATATTTAAAAAAAATGTATTCTTCTACTGTTTCAGCCTACCAATTCACTTATTTGCAAAATAATAATAATAATAATAATAATAATAATAATAATAATAATAATAACACTTTTTTAAAAAAATTATGAATTACCTTTTATCCTTTAACTTTTTCTCTTTTTAAAAGATTTTTATATAAACCAAAAAATTTGTAAACTAAAATAGTAACTTTTTTCAATATATTTTATTCATGTGCAAAATGGAAGGAAGGAGAAAATTTTTATCTTTACCTGACGCAGCAGCAATAGCCCGACTTATTGTATTTTGTCACCAAACAGCCTCCGGAAGTAAAAGTGCACAGGCATGGGTAGTAATAATAATATGTTGGATTTGAGTATTTGACATTGAAAGGGAAAGCTAGAGGAAATGTCATGTTATCAATATAGATACGACAGAAAAGGTAAAACAGCAGTGGGTTTGATAGGAAAGGAAATAATGAAAGCAATGTGATGTAACAATTAAGTGTCCCCTGTATCATACAGTATCCCATGGCAAGAGAATGCAAATGGAAAAAAAGGTTTTGAAAAGAATGGAAAAGAGTAGCAGTAAGCAGTCACCATTGCACAGTGCATGGAACATCAGACAATAAGGCATTATTAAAATTGCATCATCGGATCAAGCTACTGTTAGCATGAATTGAATTGGCCACTTCACGTGGATTCTTGTTTTGGTTACCTTTTGCCCACTCTCCCCTAACCGGCCAATCCCATCTCATCATCCTAAGAGAGAAGAAAATGCAAAAACATTATTAACCCCCCCAAGTCTTATTCCTTTTTATTGCCCACTCTTCTCATCCTATTGCTCTGTGCACTCTCAATAATGGCTTTGTTTATTTATGTACATGAAAGAACCCAGTGACACAAGTTTTTCATTTTAACTAAACAATTCTTCAATTATCAGGAGCCCAATTTAGGTCGAGAAAATGTGTTGGGCTGGGAAAGATTTTAAGTTGTAAACCTGAAAACCGTTCCTCACGCTCCATTATGCATCATTTATATTTTCTAAAATTTCTGACCTAATATTTTATCTAATAATACTACATGAATATTAAACGACAAAAAGTTGAAAAACTGAAACAGTTGCCCCTAATATCGAAGAGTAATACTAATCGGTCTTGCTGACGGGAATCATGCAGCAGAATAGGTATTATTTTTCCAGCCCTTGATGCATGGTATATTCTGCATACAGTTTTGGGTACTTGGTTTGTGCCCAAGTCCTAGCAGCGTTTAATCATTTTGAAATTTAAATTGATCCTCGACCCAAGAAAAAAATAAATTAATTGATCTGTTTATCCCCCACGAGATTCAATTTTTGTAGAACTAGAAATTCAAGAACCGAACATAACATAAACCGGCATGTTTGAATCCAAGAACAAGAAGCAAAGATTAAAAGTGAGATTAAGGATGGTAGGAATAACAATCCCCAAGAGAACTTGAACGGGTTCCTCGAGCCTCCTTTAGTCTGAGTTGATTCTATGACGTACATCGATATCAGAGAACCATGCTGTTGCCCTTTGGAAATTAAGTTTATTTTTACGGCATATTTACCTTGAGATGACAATTAAATCTAGTCACTTAACCATCGAGGAAATGCCCCTAGATACACGTTTATTCCGCGGTCAGTTAATAGATGCAATGAATATGCATAAAATAGAATAAGCTAAAATACAATTTATTCATACTATTCACACTTCAATTGATTGATGTTTGATGATTAGATTTATGATGGAGTCATGAATTATTTATTAAGACTTTCACCAGTATGCTGCAGATATGAGTGACACATTCATCAGTGCGGAGGAAAAAAAGATTCTTTGCTGATTACCCACATTGTGCATTTAATGGCAAGGAAACATCAGACATGACTTTATGTTAATTTAGGCCCTACCAACTGGTGAGACCGGAGGATAAGCCACATAATTTGCAGGAATGTCCTCAAAATTTCCAAAAGCCTTTGGTTCATCTGTTTGCACCAATAGACTTTCTCTTGGATTTTTAACTTCAATGCAGTTTTTTGATCCAGGAAGTTCATATGGGATCATGCCATCTACTAACGCTATGCAGATGGAGAAAGCTTGCAAAAGTGAGAGTGACGAATCGAAAGCTACCGAGTATACTCCAGGCTTAAAGGGAGAAAAACTGAAAGCAGGCTGGTTCTCTTCGTCTTGGTCATTCCCCTGTAGTTAGCATTGATAGTTACAAACATTACTAATTAATTATACACAAGATAACAAACAAGACCAATCAGCAAAAAGCTTAGAAAATAACCAATTAATCAACACACTATACCTGGAGGAAAAGCTCAAATGGATGTGGAAAATATGCTTTTGATATTCTTGATTTCATACGGGCTTGACTTTCATTTGCAAGAATCTTAAGTTTACAAGCCAAATCCCAACCACCACAGTCGCATGATCCCCCAGTTTTCCAGCGCTCAATCAGTGATGAAGGTCCACCATTACTTGGAAGACTATGAATACCACTTGGGAGCACAACTGTCACACGTTGAAGGTCTTGACTGTCATTCTGGCTATTGCTCTGACGTGCACAATTGATAAAATTGATAGCCTTGGGTGATTTGACAACGATGGCAGCAAGCTCATCATTTGGCTGATAGTCAGTGACCTGAGCATCTTCCTTCCTTAGCTTTACAGAAAACAAAACAAACACTTTTGCGGTAGAGGAGTCAACACAATTCTGGCTAGTGAAATCATATTGGCGTGAATCAGAAACCTTCATTTGGGCAACGACATGGTGAATGTAGTCAGGACCTTTGCTTTTGCCTGCTTGATTCATCCAACTTCCATTCTTCTTTTTAACCTCTCTAAAGGTGAAAAAGGTATAGATACAGTTGCGTGCATCTTTTGTTGAGACAGTCAAGTTCTTTACTGTGGCCGCAAGAATATTGCTATTGTTGTCGACAGCAAATGTGAAAAGGGGCTCACCATTCTTCACAGCAATTCTTAGAAGAGCTTGAAATGTTGATGGCATATACCTTTTGTACTTTGATGAATCAGCAGTATTAATTGTGGTACAACCAATCCTCTGATTCTTGTCCAATTCTTTCTCCGGCGGTTCGGTGGAAAGTTTCCCATTGCCTAACCTACAATTTTTATTTGTTAACACTGAATCTTTTTGAGATGATGCCATGGAGTGATGGCAGTTTGCTGTCTTTGTTTTCAGCAGTGGATCCAGTAATCGCCTCAAAGGGCTGGACCTGCTTTTGCCAGCATCACCAAGTTTGTCATTGCCTGAATTTTTTGAGCCAGCATTGCCTCTTGTATTGTCTGAACTAGACTTAATTGCTGATATGGAGCTTTGATGTGGCACATGTGCAACCTCTTTACAGCCAGAAACTTTACCAGCAAAGCCAATGCTGAAGTTAAATCGACGAAAAGGTGACGAACTTCTTGATTTCTCAGTAGTTACTTTCAGGTCTAATCCCTTGAGAGATCCATTTGCAGATGAAGAAGCACCCACATTGTGTTTCTTTTCTTCTACCTTTGTAGATCTGCATGGACTTGTTCCCATTCTGATCGGCAAGGATGCTGATAAAGTAGAAACAGGAATTCTAAAACCTTCTGGATCTACTGAACTGGATCCTGACCCTTTAAGCTGAGAACGGCTTCCATTAGTTTCATCTGGCAGAGGACACGAGCAGGAAGAATTGCAATTTGGATATCTACAGGAAGGTTCTTTAGGTTTTTCTGAAAATCTTGTTCGAGTAGGACTTCCTAGCTTTCCAACCAAAGATGTTTGCATATCAGGAGCTTCACTATGAATGTTCTGGGGGATGTCTCTAGGCAGAATAAGAACAATTGGTTTGCTTTTCCCTAGCATAACTTGCTCATCAGTGTCTATATTTGGTTCTCCCAAACTGTCCACTTTCTTTTCAAATCTACCATCTTGAGTGCTCATTTTGAGCTTAGAACATGATGCTGCCCCACACATTCGTTCATTTGGCAAAATGCCACTTTCCTTATTACTATGAGGATTAAGTTGTCTCCTGTCACATCCTTTCAGCATACAAGTAGGACGGTTCTGGTAATGATGATCACCAACTTGAGCATATTTGCTGTGTGTGTCAATATTACTGTGGCTTCCTCTAAGATTCTGACAATTTCCAGTACTTCCTCCAGATGATTTGATAGCTACATCGTAGTCTTGCATTGGAGGTGCTGTGAAGTGAGATTGAAGTGATGGACGAAATATCCTTTGATGAGAAGGAGAACAGCTAAGGCCTCTGTTGGAATTACCAGACAATCCCTCTGTTGAAACAGAAGATAATGCATTACTAGTAGAAGTCAAGCTCTGGCTACCTATGCGGGGTACATGTTTATGGCTGTACTGCCATTGTTCTAGACTGGCCCAATCAAGGACCCCAACATTTAAAACTTTCTCAGGATTTTTTTCTCCCCTCTCCAAGTAACCTGGTAAATTTGACATGTACTTAACCAGCTCATCTTCCTCACTTGCCCTTCTATAAGTTGCTTGCTTGTGCTGATTTTCGTATGGATTTAAAGAGCTGTCTTCCTCACTTTTGGTGATCTCGTGATGAAAATCAGCATATGACAAAGAAGATTTCTCTGGTTTCAACCCGTCATTAATTTTTCTATTCATTCTGGTTGATGGTTTCCAGAATTTCGTTCTGACCTGGCATCAGCTGGATAAACTTTCTGAGGTACAGCTTCGGACAAGTTACCACCTTTCTGTTGTATTGGAAAAATGCTACTGCTTCAGCTGCACAACTGGATTACATTTACAAATCAAACTTCCAAAAACAAATATTTCATGCTAAATGAATAATCACTATCGAAATAAACAAACATATCAACATCAAGGATATCTTTTACAACCATATTTTTACTTGCTCATTTTAATAACCACGGGAACCAAATGCAAGACCAATAAGCAAATTGCAATAACAGGGACTACTCCACCATATTAAAGACAAAGAACCAAAAATTAATCCCACTACATTAATTTGATCGGTAGCAGCAACAAATGAGAAAATCCAATCAGGTTAATGCAAATGGAAAAGGCAACGTAATGATAAGACTGAAAATCTTTCTGAGAAAAAAGAACAAGAAGCCTTTAGGAAAAGGTCCCTTACAATAGCTCCCACTCCCTTTACAGGCCACCCAGTTCAGATAGAAAGCAAAGGGTAAATGGTAAAGGTTGTAGCGCAACTCTCATGATGGAGCCTTTCTGCTTTCAACTGTTCCTAATCAATCGCATAACAATTGAACGAGGTAAAGATACGAAAAACAACCAGGGGAGTTGCACAACAGATTGACCTACGAAATTAAAAAAAAATTACACGTTGGTTTACGAGTTAGTCCAAACTTCAAAATTAAATTTGAAATAAAAAGCACTAGTGTAGTAGGGACAAATCCGAAATCATAAAATGTGGAGGCAAAAAACAAGTTGAAGTGGTCCATGCAATCCCATTTTCAAAATCCAAAAGATAAGGCATCATGCAACAACGACTCGTATCAAAATCTTTCGCCCCAAAAAACGGAACAGTCCAATTTTAAAGCGCACTCCCACTCCAATTTCAAATGACGGATCAGTAGGGCCTCGTTTGGAGTTTAGCAAATTGTTCACAACCACGAAAAGGAAACTAGAAAAAGGAACAGAACAGCTTTTTTAAAAAACACTTTTCCCTTCTTTCCCTCGCAAGTCGCAACTCTAAACATTATTGCCAGAACCGCACGATTGCTGAAAATTGCCAAATAGGTTTAAACTTAAAACCCTGGATAATGCAAATCCTATCAACATGCATTCATAAGATTAGAAGAATAATCTAAACGCCAAAGAGAATACCCAAACTCTGATTCGAAGCTCGGAATGCATACCGGAGAAGCAGTGAGGAATGCAGAAGCGAAAAACGCAGAGAAAAGGAGTGTCGTCTAGCTTGGAGAAGAAGCAACGAGTGTCGGTGTCGTCGTTCGGAATCAAAACGACGTCGCAACAGACTGAAGTATAAAGCGAGCAACCCCAAAACGCAAACACGAGACAATCACTTATAAATTGTCGTCCTCGAAAAATTCAACCTCAAACTCCGATGTCTGAGAAAGAGAGAGAGAGTGCGTGTGGTTCCTCACTTTCTCGATTGCACGTATCTGTCACTGTGCGCAGTGCTAGTCAAAGAGAGTAAGAGACTTGTGTTGTGAGAGAGTGAAGCGGGGTGGGGTCCCACGACTTTCATCAAACGGCTAAAACGAGTGGCTTATAATCGGATGGTGATTATTACATTAGGTATATCGAGAGCATATTCAGGGTCCCACGTGAAAATGTCTCTTGATCTGGTTGAAAGCGAAATATGGTTGGTGGGCTTCAAAGGGACCCACTTAAGTATTTCTTTACGGAGTATGGGCCTCCTATGAATTGGGCTCGGACTGGGCTACTCAGTGAATGGGGAATGAAGTGAAATTGCAGATTGTCGTTTTATGCCGTCCTTAGTGAGATCAATCAATCAATCATGTTCCAATACCACAAACAAAGTATATTGGTGTTCCCTTTTATCCCTTTCTTTGTCATCTCCTCACTCACGCTTCGGCTAGCTAAATACTAATTCTGATCCCTTTTACAAGAAATAAAGAATAAATTATTAAAATTAAAAAATTAATTAAGTCAGTTATATTTTTTATAAATATAAATTTTATTTTAAAAATATTTATAATATTAAATAGTATAATTAATAATTTGTATATTTAATTATACTAATAAAAAATTTAACAATTAATATATCTTAAATTTATTATTTATTTCTTATAATAAATATTAAAAAAATATTCTATTTTATTTTTTATAAAAAGAATCAGAATATATCAGGGCCAATTACAATTATATTCTCTTAAATTTGTCCAAATTGAGCTACACATCTCCACAAGTTTCATATTTACAGTAATTACCTTTAATTAGACAGTGTTAATTGATCATAACTGTTAAAGGAAAAGGATGTAATTATCCTTCACAGTTTTTATTTCGTCCCAAATTACTCCTCACGCTTACATGCAACTCAAGTATTTGAAATAGAGAGTGAAATATTATAATTTTTCTAAGAGGGACATTAATTTAGGTGGGAGAGTAAGATATTTATTATAAAAAGATGAAATTATGTCAACATCAAAAACTATATCCATGAAAAGGTAAGTGCTGAAATAATAATGCAACGGAAATTCATGGTGTTGTGTTTCGAGCATTAACCTATTAGCTATTAAGGTGACTAATTTAATGATATTATTATAAATAAATAAAAATGTCACAAGTTGAGTCCCACATAATATAATTATTATTTAATCGAATTGACAAACTGAGTGTATAATATTAGGGGTCTCCTTCAAATTAAAAAAATTATCGTACATATGTCAAACTTAGAAGGATATCGAGCATAATTCAAATAAACTCTGGGAGAGATATCATCGTAATTTGCCCTAAATACTAATATATCACTAAAAACATTATTTTTATTCTATATTAACTTGTTGGTGTTGAACACGTAAAGTTAGCTATTAATATTAATGAACTATAAATATTTTTATTTTTCTTTCACGTTCAAATTAAGCATATGATGATATTATTATTATTTTTGCTTTTTTTTTTAACCTTCTCACGAAAGACATATATGTACTGTTGATTCTTAATAATTATTATTATTGCTCTTATCTATTTAGTAAAAGAGAAAGGGAAAAAGTCTATTAATTTATTCTTATAAAGGTTTAACATAATGTTAATTTTTCTTTTTCTTTTTTTATCAACACTTGTTTATTTATATAAAATATTTTAACTTAGAAGACACTCAGTAACAACTCATGTATAGTATTTTTTCAATAATATGAATTTTAAAAAAATTATGATTTAAAAATAAAATTTAAGATTATTTAAATAGTTCAGAAGCCAAAATAAAACCTATTAATTAAAAAATACATATGAAATGATTGAATATTTCATATGAAATTAATTATTTGTGGATGGATAAATAGGTAATGCTTTGCAAATACTTGAAACACGCAAAAGTTGCGAATCAAAGTCTCGGCATTGAAGCACGCAGCCGCGCACTCATAAACCATGGACCAGAAAAAAGCACGCACTCATAAAGCCGAAAAGGAAAAATAAGAATGAAAGTGATTGTTGTATGATTATAAATTTAGTCAAAATTAAAGTGTTTGTTTAATAATTTTATAGAATTTAAAGGTAAATATCATTAACAAACGTGAAGTGGAAACAAAGTAAAGATAATAAATACATCATTATTACGCACCTTAAAAAAAACTCTTATTTCGAATAAGATCCACAACTGTAATGATGGTGCCTGCTTTGCTATGGAACTTTATACACAATTCTTGATATTGGTAGCACATGAACGATTACACATTTCACATCATAATTATTGGGTCAGGATCTTCTGTTCTTAACTCGGGTCAAATTTTGAAAGATTATAATATAAGTAGCCCAAACAGCCCAATGCGAATGAAATGTTTGTAGGTTTGGATACAATCCATGATACATGTTTCAAAAACACACCCTCTCCCCTAACAAAAAAATAAATAAAAATCGATGAAATAATTTTCACCTTTTAAAATTAAAAAAATCGAAATAAGGATTTTTTTTATTTAATGCTTAATTTATAAAATAACACAATTGTAAACAGTTTTAATGATTATATTTTGTATAAGTTGTATAATATCCTCAGAGAAAAACTTTAATTTGTGCACTGAAATTTTGTGTGAAAATAGGATCAGAGTGGGTATCACAGGTATACGTACATTTTTAATTATTTTACATGAGACTGACTAAAAGAAACCTTTTCACAAGACAAACTGTTTTATAGATTAAGTATTTTACTCTCTTTATTTCCTTTTGTTTGATAGTTTAACTATTGTTTTTATTATATTATAACTTTAGTTTTACAATAGTAATGAATAATTATTTTTTAATTCCACCCTTAAGAATAATTTGTTATGTGTTATAGAAAAAAATAATTAACGTGAGAAATAAAAGGGTAGACAAAACATAGTTAGTTTGTCACTCGTGTATTATATGGTAAAATCAAATTAAATGTATTTAAATTTAACAGATGATATATTATTATTAAAACATTTATTGCAAAATTATACATTTATTAAAACATGGGGACCTAACTCTTACGGCAATGCAATGTGAAAAAGTTTAATGATCAAGGCATGTGATTTACTTTATATTAAAAACCCAATAGCCATGAATACGAATTCAATGAACTTGCAATTGCAATGTCTCGAGGCCAATTATTAACAGCATATTAGCGAAATGATTAATGATGAAATCTTTTCGAAAGCTAAGTGTACTAATTACTCTGCACCACCTATCAGCTTCAGCGGATTACTTTTATTGGATCCTCGTAATCAGTGTACATAAAATATTGGTTAAAAATTAAATAGAGACAAATCTCAAAATTGTTACAAAATTTTCTTACTAAATAAAGTAAGAATCTCACGTAAGTCCTTTAACTATCGCAAGGCTTGTGAAATGTAGGAGTCCAGTGTTTGAGGAAAAAAAAAATGCACACTCCACAGTACACTGTGATTAGGAACTTCCAAGTTTAAAACGTTGAAGATGCTCAAAACTAGCTGAGATAAATAGAAAAAAAAGAAATGTTCAAAGAAAAAACCCTCAGTAAACTAGTTTCAATAAGAATAATTTCACTTGTTAAAAGTCAATGACACGATTTATTTAACGTATTTTTTTCAATAAATTTTTAAGTTTAGTCAAATTTTATTAAATTATATAAAAAATATGAGTTTCACCTTTTTATTTTTACTCTAATATTTTTATATTTTATAATTTTTACTAATTAAAAATTAACTAATAATTAAAAGCACGTAAAAATTGCGTTTTTAACATTTTTCGTTTTTCAACGTAATTAAAGAAGTAAAGCAAAATAATCTGAATAACATCATTTATATCTCACCTAGATGAAACATGGATTCACCATTTTTCTTTGTTTTTGAAAAAACTTTAATTACATTTGAAATGTAGTATTTGTATACTCTCGTAATGTTGAAACATGACTTCATCTTTCAAGGTTTTGTTGTCTGACGAAATTTGTACAGAAAAATAACAATTACATAATTTTTTCATGCTATGATTTTTCTAAATTCTTTATTGACGTAGATAGTAAAAAAAAAAAAAAAGTCTCATTTGATAAAAATATATGTGAAAAAGTATTGCAGTATGATTGGATCTATCTTTAAGAATAATTGTTTAAGTCTTTTCTGTAGAAAATATGAATTTTCATGTTAATTGGTACGTGAAAATTATAAAAAACAATTTAATATAAAATTTTAAATAGATACTTATGTCCTGTAAAAGTTACACATTTACAGATAAAAGAATGGTATAAATTGTAATTCTTATGTCCAACTTATGCTGTTTTGGTAACTTTATGAAAGTTGCACAAGTTTGGTAAAATTGATAAAAATAACTTTATCTTAAAAAAATCGATTATAGATAAAAGAATGTTAAGAATATATTTTTTAACTTGTCATTTGATAATATTTTTAATAAAATAAAATAAATAATTAAAGATATGTTAAAAAAAATGATACAATTAATGCAACTCTCACAGATAAGGTTAGAGTGACGAGTGATATCTGATCTGTGAAAGGAACAGATATTGGAGACATGAGAAGTATTTGACTAAATGAACGAACCGCGAAAGGTGAGGAATCTGACACCTCACAAGCCATATGCACACATTTATACATCAACGCCAACTACGAGAGAACGCCGCACTCAACTTCATTCTATTTGTACACGTACAAGGATATTAATATTATCTCAATTTTTAAAATTACAGTATAAGAATTATAAAATATATTTAATTACTTGTTTTCAATAAAGGCATTATAAATTTTTTATATAATAAATTTAAGAAAAGACAATTCATTTTATTTTTCTCTTATTTTAGATTCTATGTTATTTATATTCAATTTTTATTAATTTTAAATGTTATATATGCGTTAATGATTTGTAATAATATTTTATTTATTAAAGTATTTTTATAAATTAGCTGCTATAATAACTTTAATATTACTTAAAAAAATATTTTATATAAACACATTTAAGTTCGAGTAATTGATTAGTATTTGTAACATTTTGAATAAAAATATTTTTTTATTATTTTAATTAATAAAGTTAATTATTTTTATATGTAACTTAGTTTTTTTAGCACTATACTCAAATTTTATGACAATTAATTATATAGTGCGCATATATATATATTTTTCTTCTCATGATCCTATTCCGCGTTGATCAGTCAAAGAAAGAGAAATTAAAATGAAAAAAGAAAGCAAAAATAAATTGTCTTTTTGGGTTGATGTGTACTACTTCTGCATATTCTGGAATCTAGAACATTAGGTTGATTCCAAACTAAGAATTGGGGGCTGACATTAACTAATATTTTTGTTTTAGGAAATGCTTAAGAAAATCTTTAATTTTTTTAAAATATGTTTTTTTATGAGTGGTAGGGAAACAATAACAAGAGCAAGAGCAAGGAAATAAGAGTGAAGGCCACAATAAGCGGAGCTGAATAATTACAAAGGATTTTAAAAGACATCCTCTGTTTTGATTTAATTGGAACACACTCTAGTTTGCTTTGCCATACAGAGAGTCACAACTCCTGTACCCCAACACAAATAAAGGGAGAAGCAAAGTATTATTAAACCTATGCAAACTTGTACCCAAAAACAAGACATATTTATTAAAACTCTTGGTATTGATCCCTTATTCGTCGTACCCTGCTGGTAAAAAGATTCCCTCTATTGATCCGATGTGTTGCAGGGGAAATCCTTTTCTGGTTTATTCTTATTCATATTCTTCTTTGTTTCTTTCTTGAGTTTGGGTAAAAACTGCCAAAACAGGATTATTATTATTATTATTCTGTATGAGTGAAAAGAGGACTAGTAGGAAATGCATGTGCATCTAATCTGGCGTTCTTCACTTGGCTCTCAATACGTCCACTCTTGAGGCAGAATCATATCATTTTGGATGCTTGCCGGCGCTTTCATTGACTCTCGCTTTTGAAGTGAATACATGCCATCCCTGTTACTCACTAGCACATCTGCAATTTGTAATCACAATATCAGAATTCATAGTCAATAAAATGCCTATTATTACTCTCTCCTGTATCCTATTCTCCATTAAAGATTGTTTTTTTATATACTCTCTCGTATGTCGGACATCTTGCTATTTTGCTAATGGTAATGAACTTTCCAAAGCAAAATTGGCATCCTAAATCATTCCCATGCAGATTTGCTAATCAAAGGAATCTAATAGTTATAACATTTTTTAAACAGTTTTATTAATATCATCTCACAAGACTGATGCTAAGGAATTAAGAATATTTTTTAAAATCAATTTTTTAAACAATCATCATTTAAATTTTGAATAAAATTGAAAATTTTATTAAATATTTATAAAATTATGAAAAAATAATTATACTTGATTAAATTTTTTTTTTCACTTCATTGATATTTTGATTTCGCCATATAAAAAAATGGAAAGACAGAAAGAAAAATTGAAAACAAAATACTCAACAATTTAAAAGAAATAAAAAACTTTTGAGAATCACAATTAAATTGCAACAGAGGAAGCAACAAATAAACACCGGGTGTTGTTGGAACAAACCAAATCAAATCAAAATGGAAGTTGTCATAATTGAGGGGTACCATGAAGAGGAGGGAAGCCACCAGCTTTGGGCCCAGACGTGGAAGCCATTTGGTCAAAGTGGAGTTGCAAAGCCTGTACTACTCTAGCTGGAATAAGAACGGTGGAACAACCTTTACCTGGCCACATAACATTATCGTACATAATAAAAATCAATTGCCATCTAAGATGTGAACATGAAGAAATAAGAATCTTCAAATCTGGTCACCAAACTCTTTAACTGCTTTTTATTATTATTATTTTTCATTATTATATCCCCGTTGTGGCAAAAGGAAAAATCAAACGGACCCAGAAGGATCTTTGATCGTGCAGCATGTGACAATAGATTAGAGAAGATTCCAGTTCTAACTCCATAAAGAATATTGGTCAGCACTCACGGTTCACAAGCAACCTGGGAGGTTGGAGACAACATGAAACTTTTTTCTTTTATTTATCAATAATTTTTTTGGGTGGCTTAGACTATTGAATTAAAAAAAGTATATAAATTAAATTAAACTAGACATTATTCTAAAATATGAAAATAATTTTAGAATTTAAAAATAAACGAGTGGTGTAGCTAGATACAGAGTGGGGCACAAGAAATCGGAAATTAGCTAGTGCTTAGTGGGATAGGACACATTCCATTTCTTTCACTAACCAACTGGTTAAACAAGAGGGTAACAAACTCAACTGTAGTGATAAACTAAGAGCAACTGAACCCAATGGATGATACGTCTCCTCCATGTTACCTCACCTTGCTTGTTGGGTGATTCGGAGGGAACGGTGGGTCCACCACGAGGCAAGAAAACGCCCGTCCCACCTCGAGAACCGGGCCCATCCAAAAAAACCGCCCGCATGCCCTGACCCGCTTGCTGTGGACCGGGCCGTTGCGGGCGAGCCCTCCGTCCAACACCACCTTTCTTCGGAAATTGCCTGGGCTCCGCTATCTGAGCTTCACTTTTCTGATTTGGCGCGGCTTTCGGCTTCGGAGACACGAACGGCTCTTGCTTGAGCCGAGACAACTGTAACAAACAAGTTAGAATAGAAACACTTAAAAGGTCGGTTGTATAGTTAGCTAAAACGCAACAAGAGTAAACTGTGATCTTACTTCGATGGCTCGAATTTGTTCCTGAATAAGAGATTGGTAAGAACAGAGTCCCATATTTGAGCTCTGATTCATCTCATATCCTGGTTGGTGCTTCGATTTTTCTCTTCCGTCAAGCTTCATCTTCTCCAACATTCCAGACACGTCGTGGCCACTCTTCCAACAACACTCTTCGGGTGTAGCTGGCGGCGATGATGGTTCCTGAGAGGACCAACAAGACAAAGATTTTTTTTTAAAAAAAAATAATCTAAGTTAAGTTCAACTGTTGAATGAAACAGTACCGATTCGAAATTCTGAGACTGAGAAGCAGTTGATGAGAAGTCGAAAGTGTTGTCATCTGGAAGCACGAAGTGAGGCATATGGTGAGTTAACTCGGTGGCGAAATCGTCGAGGTTGTTGTTGGTCTGAGCCTGGGTGAGCGGTTTTAAAGGCGAGTGGTTGTGTTGGGAGGGTGAGGGAAGATCACGGTGGGGGTCTTCAGGGAGAATTTGAGAGGGAAGCGAAGTGTGTAGGTCAACAGCCATGATAATGATGAGAACTGAGAAGAAGGGTTTTTGAGGACTTGCAATTATGGGTGGAGAAGCTAGCTATAATAATTACTGGTTTGGATGAGGGGAATAGACATGAGTGTTGGATTTGGGTAGTAGGAAGCAATAGGGGTTTCGATTTGATGAATTTAATAAAGAAGGTGTAGTGTAGGATAGAACAGAAAGCCCCAGAATGAGAAAGTGAAAAGGGCTTAATGGAAAGGAGGGAGAGAATGATATTGATGAATGATGATCACCGAGTGTGAGAGTGAAATAGTATATGTGTGTGTATGAAGGGTGGTGGGCCCGTGGGTTTGGGTGCTGGGTTTATGATGGGAGCATTTTTATGCGCAGAGTTCGGTTTAGTAGTTGGACCATACATTGTCATTTACCTAGCTGTACAACTCAACTGCCATTTGTTGCACTCAGAATTAGTCCCACCCAAAAACATGCGAACTACTCCAACAGTCACAACCTCTGCTATTAATTTATCCCTGTCTCCTTTTTACTGCTTCTATTTCTGTTTATCTTTTTATGTAAAATTGTAATATAACATAAAATAAAAGAAAAATTTATTAAGATTAAGAATTATAATGAAATTTTATTCACAATTAAATATTATGTTATTGCTAATATTTTAGATATTAATCATTTCATTTCGTGGGGGTATGCGGATTCTACTGTGTAATGAATCCAAAATCCGATTGTGGATAGAGGTCCATGATCCATCGTAAATTTGACTTTGTGTTGGTTCAAAAGCTCATTCTCTCTCTGTTGCCGTTCCTGTTCAACAAAGCATTATAATCATATGACACGGGTAAACTATTAATTAGCACTAATAACGTGTTTGTAATTGTTATTTGTTAGCTACTAGATTTGGTATTGGTGCTCCTCAAAGTCAAAAAGTGTGTTAATGACTGATGTTGAAGGAAACTCAAAACAAACTTTGAATTGATGATGGGGGATAGATAAAGGAAAGGGTAACCCAAAGGCAATCCATAAAGCCAACTCCCAACGCTTAAACTAGTTGGATAAAATGTTGTTAATTAAAAATAATATTAAATTTAGGGTGTAAGATGGGCTAGTTTGAATGATGAAGATTAAATTTGGCCATAGGCCCTGCGTGAGTCACAACCTCTAGTCATCTTTCAGTTCAGCTGATTAGACCCGAGTCTACTTAAATTGGTGATATTTCTCACATTTTGTGCCCATGAATCACACACGCAGGATGCAGCTCATAAAGTAAGATATAAGCTATAAGCTATTTTTTAAAAATATTTTAATTATGATTTTTTTTTGTTATGTGTTCATAAATACATGATCGAAATTTAAAATTAATTTTTTATTAAATCAAGAACAAAAAAATATATAATAATTTTCTTATATTTAATTTTAATCTTTGTGAAATAAGAATTTTTATACTATCAATTAATTAGAATATAGGATAGGTATATTTTTTTAAAAATTAAAGTCAATAATTTTCATTTAAATGATAATTTATGATTTGATAGCAGTGCACTTTTCTTGGTATAAATATTTTAACATTGTCACGTGTGCAGTTATTTTTTGATACCAAGGGAAATGTAAGTAATCGGTGAGCCTATACATGTTATTTTCGAGTGATTGGGTATGCGATCTGCAAAAGCTTCTTTACAAATGCAACAACAATTAAACCGAAGAAGTCGAAGGATTTTGAATATTGTTCAATATAAGTTTTTTATTATTTAAATATTAAACAATTGACATATATATATATATATATATTTAAAAAAAAATTGCGTTCAAGATTAAGGAGCCCAAGATGTAACAACGCTCCAAATCCTAATAAAAGGATTGAATTAAACAGGTTTGGCAATGTTTTTGTCGTTAAATATGCAATCACAGTTTTGTTTAGGTAGTCGTCGTGTGTGTACTTGATTCAAGTACAATACGCATTCGTTCGTCAAAATTTAGTGTATATAAAATGATATTTTATGAATACGAAGATCACAGAACACTTCACCAGCAATGATAACACTGAAAATTGGTTCTGGTGCAATAACTTTTTGGTAAAGCAACGTTGCCGTTCAAGCAAGTCTAATTATATTCCTATATTAATTATCAGAGTCTACGATCTTATTATGCTGAGGCCTAGCTAGACACCATGTGATAGGTTTCTTCATTTCTACTTTCTTGTCTCCCTATGCTCGTGCTTAAAACTAATCAAACAAATCATGACATTGAATGTTACTACCATAAGCACTTTCTCATCTAATATTCCTCCCCCCTAATCAATTGTCAATGGCAAAGGATCGAAGTTCTATATTCAGTTTTCAATATTTATGCTACGTAGTTATCATTCTTTCCATCAGCTCTTTCATCTTATTTCTCTCTTGGAGTCGTTGTTGCGGCCAATGCTATTCGCCACACCAAATAATAGTACACAAGCAAAACCACCCAATCAACCTTCTCTCTTACCCTTTTGCATGGAACCACCTTATCTTTTCCTCAGAGCCACCTGCAAAGTTACTTAAGATTGCACTTTTTGTCAAGAAATGGCCACAGAAATCTCATGCAGGGGGGCTTGAACGCCATGCTCTCACACTTCACCTTGCCCTTGCCCGAAGAGGCCACGATCTTCACATATTCACCACTTCTACAAATTCTTCTCTTTCCAATTCCTCAATTGACAACTTGCATTTTCACTTCTCCAAACCAACACCAGCTGGTTACCTTGACCAAGCATTGGTTTGGGAGCAGTTTCAAGCACAAAACTCAACCGGTAAACCGTTTGACATTGTTCACACTGAAAGTGTTGGGCTTAGGTACACAAGATCACGGCATGTCACTAATTTGGCTGTCACTTGGCATGGGATAGCATACGAGACCATTCATTCTGACATCATTCAAGAACTCCTAAGAAGCCCCCAGGAACCAAAGACAAATGCATTGAATGAGAGAGCCATGAAGGTTGTTGAAGAGGTCAAGTTCTTCCCAAACTATGCACATCATGTTGCAACTAGTGATCATGCAGGAGATATCATAAAGAGGGTCTACATGATTCCAGAAGAAAGGGTTCATATTATTCTCAATGGTGTGAACCAACAAGTTTTCAAGCCAGATATTTCAAGGGGTAAGGAATACAGGAAAAGGCATGGCATTCCAGAGTCCAAGTCATTAGTGATAGGAATAGCAGGGAGGTTGGTCAAGGATAAGGGACACCCTTTAATGTTTGAAGCTTTGAAGCAGTTGATTGCAGAAAACAACACTTTCCAAGAGAGTAGCATGGTTCTGGTCGCTGGGGATGGTCCCTGGGGTGCAAGATACAGAGATCTTGGGGCAAATATATTGGTTTTGGGGCCATTGGAACAAGCTGAACTTGCTTCTTTTTATAATGCTATTGACATTTTTGTAAACCCCACCGTAAGAGCACAAGGTTTGGATCACACTCTGTTAGAAGCCATGTTGACTGGGAAGCCAGTAATGGCTACTAGGCTTGCAAGCATTGCTGGGTCTGTAATTGTTGGCACTGAAATGGGCTATACATTTTCACCAACGGTGATTGCTCTAAAGAATACTATGTATGAGTTATGGGTTGGTGGCAGGGAAGTTCTAGACAAAAAAGGTGAGGTTGCAAGGGAAAGAGGTTTGCAATTGTTCACTGCCACTAAGATGGTGGCTGCTTATGAGAGACTTTTTCTTTGCATTTCAAGTGCCAAAAATGAGCACCATTTCTGTGAATACCAACCATCAGATAATTAAAGTAGCATCAAATTTTAAAAAGATGGGAAAAAGGGGTTAAGCTTGTTGTTTAGCAATCAGTGTTTTCTGAAGTCAAACTAGTTAGTCATTAACTACTACGGTCTACATGATATCTTAATTCTTAAGGAAGTTCACACAGTGTTTCAGCCTAGGCAAGTGGCAACGAGACTTTCCTTAGGGAACTCGCAACAACCAGGAAAGTAAACATTTCGTAATGCTGCTACTTGCACGATACCCTGTCAAACACAAATTGTAAAATAATAGATGTGATTGCATCTAAATCGAATCTGACTTCAACATTTTACAATCAAGTTAGAACGTGATCTCATCAAGAATTGCAAAGCGCTCCACAAGGATAAATTGTGTATTTACTGAGTGCATGAGTAGGTTTGTCGCATCCCAGTTTGAAAAACTTCAGATGTTGGATGGGACAACAATTTGTTTATAATTTTCGTTGAATTATGTATTGATGAATTTTATCAATACACTTTTTACACATTTATTATTATTATTTGTTGAATTTTATGTAGCTATGAGGAAATAGAGGTATATATAAAATTCACTCAATAACACGGGATTTATCCTAGATCCCAAGACGCTTAGAGAATTACGCAGATTCAAGGTTCATTTCTTTTAGATTTTGATGAAATGATTTTGAAAGAAAGAGATTAAAAGAAATTGGTTGTGTTTAGGAATGATATCTCAAAAATAAATTGATAAAGTATAACATGTAAAATGTATATATAAATAGATTTTGTAGATTCCATACTTAAACTGAATTGTTATCAATGATAAATTTATAAACTTCCACTTATCTTAAAATGAATTTACTCAAGGAAAAGTTGATTTTTAAAATGAAGCTCAAACTTAAGATTTTGCTTAAAGAAAACTAAACATGTACCATTTACATTAAATACCTATTAATATTTAAGTAATTTAGTTTTATCATGTTTTTATTAAATAATTAATTACCAAAAATATTATTTTTATTTTAAATTTGTAAAGTATATAATGAAAACAACCTCATTGCAAGCCATGCTAGAAGAAATAGGGAGATGTGGGGTGATTTCAAGTATCTAAAGAAATAGGATTTATTTTTAGGAAAATATTTCTGGTACATCCAAGGTGAGATATCTTTTAATATTTCCTTTGACTTTAAGGACTATTTTTGAGATACATGTGCATAAAAAAAGATAGACAGTAAAAGAAAATGAGAGAGAATTATATTCGATATCATTTTTATATGTTCCAATAACAGATCTCTTATTTTTAAAGCATTATGATTTTGCCTTATCGGATGGCAAAATTCCCATTGAATTAGCATTTTCTTCAATCAGTTAGTTTATACAGCAAAATCAACTGACATCATCTAGCAGCCACTCGTACATCAGAGTCTGGCAAGCTGAGTCTAACAATCATTAGAGTATACAAATTACATATAAGTTCCAGCAAAGAGACAATTCCCAATGCACAATAATACGCTCCATTCCTTTTGAAAGCCCCCAACTGAGCAATAGTTCGATCTGCACGAACGACACAACGAAGTAGCGAAAAAGGCAAATATTACAACGAAACAAACAACTACTACAACTTGTTAGACTCCAGGATAATAGTAAAAAGGCTTACAATGAAGACGAAGAACTATCACCCTTGGGGAAGTCAAAATGCTCATGTATGGAGGTAATTGGCAGCCATCATTAGCTCCAGGGTTAATTCAGGTTCAATATCAAATTCCGTCTCCTTCCCACTGGTAAGCGTAAGATAATCTAGTCAATACAACTTTTTTGATAGAAATTAGCATGATATATAAACAGATTTCAGATCGAACCTCTAAGGCTTAATTACTTCCCAAAGGAAACTATTACAACCACACATTAAATAACATTCACGTTTAATTGCATTTTTGGTTCCTTTATAATGATTAATGTGCAATTTTCCCCCTCAAAATTTGATGGCACACACGACACATCAAACTATGTAAAGCGATATACTCTTCAACGGAGCACTAAATTCCACGAACCTCCATAATCATTAACAAAACTAAAAATCATCCAGTTAGGTAGAAATAAACACATTAATCTTTAACATCAAAGTAAAATCTAGAATCGCTTAGTATAATCAAATCAAATAATTTAACAAACTCGAATCCTCTTCCTCCCTTTGTTTTATGCTGAATGCAACCTCATAATGATATGCAACAAAGCAAAAATCAAATGGAAAGTACATTGTTCATGCGCAGCAAAGATAACTAGCAACAAGGTTGTTTGAACATGCTGGATTCTACACCCCTATATCACAATTTTTGTGCTCTGATCAAGGAGATGCTAGTATTACTCCGTACTTGAATACTCAGCCGAATTATTTTTCACAGAGAACCAAGCGAAATGGAAATATGCAGAGCTACAACAAGGATCAGACCCATTACCCATACCATTGGGGGAAAAAGTTTCACTAACATACGTATTGCATTTCGAGGTAATAGGTATCTTTTGATACAATCTAATATAAATACACACACGAGGCTTCCGATACAGCAGAATTCATATTCAATTACACAAACAAAAGTGTGTCAAAGTGAAAATTGAAAGATAAAAGGGAAGACCTGGCGAATTGGAGATGCCAATAGAAGTACTGGCAAATCTTCTCGAGAATGGTGGTGCTGATCTCAGGGAACGTAACTTCGCCGTGTTGCCTTTCAGCGAAACTCCCTATCAAAGAAATTATTACTACAATTGTTATTATCATGAAACTTGGAACCCTAATTGCAGTCAACGGAAGAAAAAGGGGGAAATGTAATCTATAATGTGGAACCTGGAGAAGTAAGCATGTTATGAATGGTTTGTGAAACCATTGCAGCTTCTTTATCAACCACAAATTCGAAACCCTCGGCACTGATCAGCTTCACTGTGTCTTCCTTCTTCATCTTTATGCTTTATTCTTATCTGAGTGCTCTCGTCCCGTCGTTCATAACAAACGATGCAATAAAAGGAACATGTAATGTAAGTAACCGATACCGTTACTTTCTTTGTTTTTGTCACAAACACCGGTCTTTTGGGCTGTTGGTGAAACAGAAAAAAAGGCCACAAAAGCCCAAACCCAAAAAAGAGGAAGAGGCCCGAGTTAAAAGATATGTCTGAGCCCGGGTTCGAACCGGGGACCTCTAGTGTGTGAGACTAGCGTGATAACCAACTACACCACCCAGACCCTGTTTGGTAATCGTAACCATAGATTATTAATAAAAATGTTTGAAGACCCGGAGACTATAAAATAACAAACTACTCGGCGGCGAGGTGAATTCGCAGACGAACGTTCCGTAGCATCTGTAACAATGGAGGCGCGCCATGCATCTCTTGGTCGACGAACGGTACATACAACCTTTCTTAATAGCCACACGCATTCTCTTTTCATTTTTATTTTCCTCTGTATTCAATCAGTTTCTTCGGTTTTTGTTTATTTTTTTTATTTGATTTGATTTGAATGTTTGATCGCATGAACAGTTGGAGGAAATTCGTCAAAAGAGGGCCGCGGAGAGATTGAGCAAAACGTCGTCGGGTCCAGATCTCAGCACGGTTCCGAGCACCTCCGGTGAGTATTATTCGCGAAGAGAATGAATCTACTTCATATATTATTCCATTTCTATATGCAATCAAACTGTTTTTTCTTTCCTTCAGAGATTGCCGGAATGAACAAGTCCGAGAGCGGAAATAGACTCTCCGAGGTAACATTTTATTACTTTTTTTTTTTGTGAACCAATTATTTATTGGAATTTATGTGGAACAAAATTTTGAGGGACACAATCTTATCAAGTTTGAACTTTTGTGCGTATACTCTTGTACAGACAGATGTTAGTGCTCTACTATCTCAACTTAAAGGTCTTCAGAAGAAGAACATAGAGTTGGAGGAAGAAAACAAGAAAATTAATTTAAAGGTGAAGCTTCAAATTCAACATACATGTCTTATTTGTTCATTATTTCTGTCTCAAAAGAAAAAGAGAGAAGAAAATCTAGGCTGATTGTATTTTTGTATATTATTTCAGCTTCAAACGATGGAAATTGATAATGATGCAATGCACAAGCAGTTGAGCGATCTGGTAAACAAAAAGGATGGACAATGAGTTTTTTTTAGTTTGATTTACAAATTTGATAATGACTATCACTTCACGAACATGTGAACCCGGTGCTAGTGTACCTGAATGGTCATAATTCCTACAGCTACAGAACTCCATAAATGGAGATTGTAATAGCTTTTTTGGCACTTGTATGCAGGAGCAAAATACGGTGCCATCTCTCAGGAAAGCTCTGAAGGATGTTGCAATGGAGAAAGATGCTGCAGTTGTTGCACGAGTAATTATATTCAAACCTTTATTTGTGTCTCCTGGTTGCTTTTTGTTTTAAATCTTTCACAATCTCTATCATACCTTACATATTAGTGCAGGAGGACCTTTCAGCTCAGCTCCGTACCCTGAAGAAACGTCTTAAAGAAGCAGAAGATGAGCAATATCGTGTATGGCAACTTTATTTTACTAAAAATCTATTGCAAGAAAGACCATTTTTTGTTCTTAGAATCTTATTGGCTATCATGCTCTAGGCTGAGGAAGATGCAGCTGCATTGAGAGCAGAATTGAACTTAATTCAGCAACAAGCAATGAATAATACAGTTAGCACAATATCAACCCTCGGTAATCCACCAGATCATCTTCAAAGATTAGAAAATGAACTGGCAGGTTTAAAATTGGAACTGCAGGTGATATTATGATTATGTTGTTTTCATTTTGCCATCTTTTCTTTAATATCTTTTCCTGTTGTTTGTCTGACTGATGGTGATTGAAATCTATAGCGAGAGTCACTATTGAGGCACCAGGAGCAGGAACAATTAGCAAAAGACCAAGCCCACATTGCCTCACTGATGTCTGAAAAGCAGGAGTTGGAGGAGAAACTTAACTCCATGTCTAGAGAGGCTGCAGGTTCCGCTCATGAAAACTTCTGTATAATCTTATATTAAATTTGTACCCGCTTATTGAAACAAGCATGCTGCCAATCCATTATATAAGCAATTGCTCTTCTAGGATGCTTTATGTCGTCCTTGGATCTTAATGGCATATCCATGAATTCAATTTTATCAAAACTAGATCGGTGGAAGCATTCTGTTTTTCAACTATTTGTTTACTACCACGATGTTCTCTTTAAGAAATGCATGTTTTATATTATAATTACCAGGAGTGGTCCCCAATAATTATTTTTCTGAATTCTACCAAGTAAATTCTTATCTGCCCATGTATTTGTGCTGTGAATTCTTCAGTGTATTTATGAGTGCCTATTTTCTAGCAAGGATGTCTATGGACTCTATTTAATACCAATTTGCATGCATTTAACTTTTCTTCTTGTTGAATTGATATACTGTAACATGGTATTTACCCTGGATTGTACATTTGCAGAAATCTCAGATAAAGTTGCTCACAAAGCATATTCTTTGGTGAGAAAGTACTTCTTTAATATGAATTATTCAGTGAATTTTCAAATTTTGGTATCTGTTAGCTAATCAATTATGGCAAGAAATTTAAGTTACTATGTCATTCAAACCATTGGTCAGGTATTAGCAATATTACAAGTATCTAGGTTTACTGTTTTCTTGTTTAAGGTTATGCATGGTTGAGGAGGTGGAAAATCAGAGAGGAGTTGTACGTAAATTAGATAGGAAGGTTTTAATTTTTACTAATCATATTGTTGAAGGTAGAAATCTCTTTAGTAGTGGCCAAAATTTGTGGACTAGATTTTTTGACACCAAGTTTCACGCCTTTTTCAACCTGCCCATATTTTCCATATATCAAGCAAGTGTAAAATTACTTTCATTCATAATTTTCAACTCTAGCTTCCACCTAGTCAAACATACATAGTCTCACAATTACGTAGGATGGATGTTTTGGCTGCTGATGATGAATGACCTAAATTTTTATCCCAACAACATTTCCAGACTAGTAGATTTGTTGCTTAATGGTCATCCAACCTTTTGCTGATGGTTAATATACTCTGTTTTAATGTTGTATGGATTTTCTAAATCTCAGGAAGATAAGCAGAAACTTGATAAGCAGTTGCATGATATGGCACTGGTTGTTGAGAGGCTGGAAAGCAGTAGGCAAAAACTTCTAATGGAGGTGAACTCTATATCTAAATTTTATTTGGTACTTTTCTATGTATATTTGCTTATTAAAAAGAGAAATTGCTGTGGATATTCCATCATCTTGTTGGCAGATTGACTTGCAATCTACAGAAATAGAGAGGCTTTTTGAGGAAAATTCTAATCTCTCAAATTCATACCAAGAGGCAATTGGAGCAGCAGTCAGATGGGAAAAGCAGGTAACAATCAGTATTAGGGGGTTTGACTAAATATAATTTATAAGTTACTGGTTTAACGTCTCTTTACAATCCTGGTTTACTGGACCTGTCTTCTAATTATTTAGAGTCGAGAATCTGTGTATATTTTGATTAATGAGATTCAGTGAACAAATTCTGACTAAGAATTTGTGCTCTGGTAGATGTATCAGAGAAATTTGGTACGAAGGCTCTTAAATATGTGAAATGTGTGTTCACTGTTGTGCTAATTATTGTGTTCGAGCTGAATATTCTTGTATCTTGCAAAATCTTGGTTCACTTGACAATTTATATGACGCTCAGTTTTGGGTCTTAGAAGTGTGTCAGTCATATATGTTACTATAGCTGGTGAAGTAATTTCATATATGGTTGTACAGTGAGAGGTGGATTTCTCTTGCGTTGAGTATTGTTTCCCTGCACATCGATTTTAGCCTGACTTCAGCCCAGACCCTAACAACCATGAATAATTTTTTGTGCTAGATTGGTGCTGACAATTTCATTTATTTTAACATCTGTGCTGTGTTGAGTTCTTTCTTTATGGGGTGTTCATTATATTCTTATGAACAAACATGATAGGTCCAGACTTAAAACAATTTTGTTTCTAACCATTATTGTGTTGCGAGTGATTCTTCAGGTAATGGAGTGTCTTAAGCAAAATGAAGAGCTTCGTGAGATTTTAGATAAATTGAGAATGGAACAGGCTAGGGGATTACCAAACTCCCTTAAAAGTGGCACAAATGAGATTACTTCCTTGGCCTCAACAGAAGAGATGGCATCTATGAAGGTCTGTAACTTACTCATGGCACAAATTTTCCTTTTTTCATTTCTTTGCTTCTTTCTTTCTCGCTTCCTCTTTTTCTCTCTCTTTTTTGTTTCTTTTGTTCATTATTTCTTCTTCTCTTTCTTACTCCTTCAAGATTTCTGAACATTTGAACCCTAATCCATTAGCTGACCTCACGGGATAAGATTTAGTTGTTGTTTTCTTACTCCTCTCTTTGTTTCTTTCTTTCTATCTTTTCTTCTCTTTTTTACTTGTTTCTTTGTTTCTCTCTTAGTTTCTTTATTTTTCTTTTCTCTTTGTTTCTCTCTCTCTCTCTCTCTCACTCACTCTTTCTTCGTATCTATCTTCCTTTCTCTCTCTATGTTTTTATATTTCTCCCTCTCTTTCTGTATTTTCTTCTCTTTTAGTGGGATAAGGATTCTGGTGTTACCGTCCTTGTGTTTGATTGAAAGTCCCTATGTTCTGTCTATGCTTTGACAAGTTGTCATTCTGACCTTACAATTTTGCTCATCTCTGTTTACTTGGCAGGGCCAACTTGTGAAAGAACAGAGCAGAGCAGAGGCACTATCAGCAGAAGTCATGCAGCTTTCTGCTCAACTTGAACAAGTCAAGCGAGCATATGATGGTCTTGCACGCTTGTAAGATCCTCTCCTTTTTTTCCCTGTAACAAGCACACATTCATTCTTTATGACATTTAAGTCTTTTACATCAGATGCTCCTTCACTAATGTGATCAACGATATTGCAGCTATAGGCCAGTGCTGCGCAACATTGAAAGTAATCTCATAAAAATGAAGCAAGACAGCTCGTTAGCTGTACGGTGATGGCAACGAGCGGTTTCATGATGATACTCTGGTAGTGATTGTGAAGCCCTTGTTTAAGACGCGAATTTGCAGTGTCCACAGAATTTTTACCCATTTGAAATTATTAGTTTCGTGAAAATGAAGCAACTGGTGGTGATGGGAACGAGCAATTTTGTGGCGATGCTCGGCGTAAGAAGCCCTTTTATGCAGAGACTCGAATTTTTAGGATGTGTCATTCTTTATACCGTATTAATTTATAAATTATATTCTATCCTTCTACATATTTTTTTAATAATCTTTTTCTTATTTTATAAAGTATTGAATTTTAAAAAAAGCATGTATTTATTGGGTTGAAAATATAAGAAATATGCAATCTTTTCTTCATTTAGAAAGATTTGTAAACAAGAAGATTTAAAACTAATCTTAATTTAGAACCACCGGGCACGTTTTTAATCCAATAGCAGTTCGGCGATTTTTTCGCGTGCTCTAAATTTGCTTCACATGTTTAAGTGACAAAGGAAAGTCATAGACGATTTACATGAACACATCTGACTCAACATATCATTTATTAAAAAAATCTCCATTCGTAGGAATCTGAAGAAGTTAAACTGAGCAAAAAACTGTACACGATCAACTTGTTATATACTTAATCAACCTCATTCGTCTAATTTTAAGCTTACGTTTGTGAATAATTTGTATATATATAATGATAAAAAAAAAGTTAATTTTATATATAAAAGACATGTTTAATAAATTGCATTCAAATACTCTGATTATGTTTCGCTTCTTACTTTTATCTCATCTTCTAACAAATTATCTTTTAAATTCTTAAGTAGTAAGCTTAGAAAACACTTCATAATATATTTGATGAATAAAAAACTAATCAACTTATACATGAAATAATCAAACCAAGTTCATATTTATCTTACAAACCAAGCTCTAAGCTTCAAATTCAATTTCAGATTTGATAAATAAAAAACTAATCGAAGTTATATATGCATTAATCACAGTTCAAATTTCATATTCATCTAACAAACCTAACTCTAAGCTTTAAATTTAGGCTAAATTCATTTGTACGTCAAATATAGGGTTCTAGGGCTGAACACGGCTTGACTTTTTTACATTCCTGAATGTACAATTTGTTCTTCAGATTGAGTTAACTGAATCTTCATCACTGCCTTCACTATCACTGCTGCTGCTGCTCCCACTACCACTACCGGTTTCACTACTTCCACTTCCACTGCTACTAGTAGACGTAGATGTTTGCTCATCTCTCCCCTCTGCATTCACCTGGGCTCTCAGAGCTTCTGCAGCATTGGGTCCTTTGTCCACCTCATCACCACTATCATCCACGTCAGCAATCTCATCGTCAGTATGGGGAATATTTATGTCAAATCCAACATTATCTTTCTCTTCAACATTATTGTCGTCCTCAGGTGTTCCACTGCCGAAAAGCTCATCAATATCTATATCGTGATGTTCCTCAACTTCATTTTTGGGACCTGGTGAGATAGCAGAAGTAAAGGGTGGTGGTTCAGATAGATGATCAGATGACCTCTTGGAACCAGATTTGAGGCCTGTCATATGATAAGTACCGCATTAAATTAATCTCAGTTCAATAGATGAATTACGAAGTCACTGCAAACCATTTCATCAATTGTGAATGCACCATTTCTGGAATCAACAAAGCAAGCACACATCTAGCAAAAAAGTCTTTTCATATGCCCAGAAGAAAAAGTGGAAATCTGTAGTAAGCACCAAAGACAGCGTGAAAATTATCGAGCTGGAAAGCATTCCAGAAGACATAACACAGCAATTCACTTGATATAACAAATAATCCCATTCAGATTTAAGTATATCGACAAAGTATACCCAGCGTCACCAAGTCATGATAAAAATGAAAAGCTTAGTGTATTCTCCCTGCCCCATATTAAAGAAAAAGGGGAAACAGAATTGAAATGGAAGAACCAAAAATAGAATACATTACAAAACTCATACCTTGGTAGGATATCTCACACGTAACTAGATTTATAGAAAATCAATTAATCTAGGAACTCAACACAAAGTCCAGATAAGCAATTACAGAAACCTTCCAACCATATGATACATACCAGTATTCTCAGGTTCTCCAATGTCAATACGTTCCACCTCAACCTGTGCAGAATCAATGTTAAATATCATTGAAAAAGAACAAGAAATAAATATTTGCTTTCCTTACATTACCACAAAAGAAATGATTAAGACCTAAAGAAAAAATATGTTCAATTCAACACCATGGAAAATAGATTTGCAGGGTATTTATGCTCCATTAAGAAACCCATGAACACAAACCTCAAAAACATGAAATAACAGGCTTCATTTCCTTTTATAATGGTCTTTCTTTCAATTAAAAAGGACTTCAGATATATTGATCAAGCACAAAAAATAGCTTACTGAGTAATTCAAGGATACAAAGATTTGCCTTGTCATTAAGAGAGAAGTACCTCCAGGGGAAAAAGGTTAAACAATAAAGTTAATATTTATCCTCTCCAATCAAATTCTATCTCTATCTAAAAACATGTTAAGTATAACACATCATAATGATATCAAGAAGATTGCATATGACATTCATACACACATTACCAACGTAATAAGCTTTTAACTTCCACAAAATTCACTAAATGTATAGCAAAAATAAACTTATTTATAATGGAAAGTCTCAGACTGTACACATTTCTATGATGTAAGGAACTCAACTACTAAACTAACAATTAAGCTATATATAGTAGGGGACCGCTTACTGGCATGGCCTGATATGAGCTCCTGCCAAGAGGTGGTGGTTTTACGGGCTTCCCAACAGGGGATGACCGAGGATCCAAAGCTGGTCCAGATGCAGCAGCTGTAGCAGCAGCTGTAGATTCACCAGGCATCCGTAGATGCCGCAGTTGCTTTACAGCCCTGTGAAGCCGCTCCAATCGAAGTGTCTCACCATCAAAGAACAATACAGCATCATTTTCCTTGTATTCCTCACTATTCCCCTCAAATGTCACCTTGGGTTTTCCTACTTGGTTGTTCTGAAATTCCACAGAAACCCTATTCTCTTTGGTCTTGCGTAGCAACCCTGGCTTACTCTTATCAACTGAAGCTGGCTTAAATTCATCTACACAAATTTCAAGACTTCAAAGTTTAAAATTCAAAATACACAAGGAAAAAGAATTAAAAATCAATCTCAAAAGCATAACCACATAATTATGGCTAAATCAAGAATGAACTTTCCATGTTCAGTTGCTAGGAACTAAGACAAAAACAAATAATGACTCACCAGACAGAGAAAAATAGAAAGGGCTTTTACATTCAGTAACTTACATCGCAGAGTGCAGTATTTGTTGGAGGATTCATCTTTGAAGGAAGGTCCTAGAGTGAGATTGTACCACCGACCAAACTCAGGAGCAGTCTTGGGCTCTTCTTTAGATTTGTTGGCCATGGTGGAAAGAAAGTTCAGGAACCTGTAGCAGCCTGTTTGGAACAAGTTTTATTGAAGTCATTCAAAAGGAAATGACTTTGATTAATTTTTATAAATATTCTAATGTCTGAAAAATATAAAAAAAAGCACAGAATTCAATTTCCATTATAATTTTATTTTATAGGCTTAAATCAACCAAATCAATTGAATATAATGTAGTAGGACTTCTCTATTCTACCTCCTACTTCTAGCTGCCTCAAACCATTAATTACCGAATTTACTATATGTTAATATATCTAAATAGTAATTCTGAGCTAACATCCTTAACCATGCAGACTCCACTCGTTGTTTTGGTTTGGATTCATAACTTTGTATAAACTTCCTTTGCTGGGTACATGAATGAAATCTTGTAAATAGATGAGAAAGCTACAGTTTCACACACGCAATACTAAACAAACCATGTGTGGCAATTTCATGACATAACCAATCTTTTTGTACTGTACTAACAGAAGATCAGGGAAGATAATGAACTTGCTAAATTAAAAAAAATAAATTCTGTACACCTCTTAAATTCTATCCCAAACCCACCCCATGAGCCAGCCAATTAATTTTAGAACAAAAAAATAAATAAACAAGCACATGTTTGAACACATTAATGCAGAATTCAATCTACTCCATGTTTTCAACATTCATTCCTATCATTTAGATTAGAATAAATTGCCCTTTTACTATTCCCACCCTGTAGGCCAGAATAACAGGATGTTTTACTTTTCAATTTTCACATGGATCTCCTACCTCCACAAGATCCAACCTTCAGTAGTAAAGGAATAATATATTTCATGCTCTGTTAATAAAATTCAAGGACATTATTCAGTCCATTTTCCTGAAACTCATTAAGGAAAGAATTCAAAACTCCACTAAGTGGAGAAAAAACTGTGAAGCATTGATATGCGACTTCCATGCATCACAAGTAGAAACCTCAATGACATCGTGAACAAGACAAACTTAACCAAAAACAATCTAGAGCTGTATAAATTATAATGGATCCAGGACAAGTTGAAAAGCCTATCTAAGGTCCCGTCACATATGTAGGTATGCCTATGTACAAAATCAACCACAACAACAACAGTAAAAACCATAAGAAAGCTAGAAAATGAAATGAGGAATCCCTCACGAGGTAGCATCATATACACTGCTACCATGTTTTGGCACATCTCTTGAATAACTCAAATCTTTGTGAATACTGCCATATTGGACCCCTAAATCACAACTTATGTTCAAAATCTCTCTCCCTCTATAATTTAGAGTTCAGACCACAAATTGAACAGTTTATGGGCAAAATAAAAAATAAAGGAAATTGAGAAACTAGAAACGAAACAAACCTGAATAGAAGAAACCGCGAGTTAAAGAAGAACAGCAAGCACTGCAAATAATAATAATAAGAATAACATTAATAATAAAACTAAGAAGATGAATCCATGGTAGAGGTTGACGTTAGGTTATTGGGGACTGTATTTTAAATTCTATCAAAAATTATATTTTAATTCACAAAAATAGTCGATCCAATTTTTTTGCGTTGCTTGAAAAATAATTAAATTATAAAACACAAAATTATAAAAAATGGAGTGGGATTAGGTTTTCGAGAGTAGCCGCTGGCAGTTAACAACACAAACAAAAGTAAAGCAAATGCAGATTGATGAATCAACCTTACGGCCCTTCCTTTTCTTCTTCGTGTTCTCAAGAACAAACAATCACTTTTCTCCGTTAATAAATATTTTACGTTGTCACAAGGTCACAACCTAAATTTTAAAAACATTATATATATATATATATATATATATATATATTAAAAATCATTATTCTTCATGTAATTAAAAAACTTACTTCTTTTTCTTAAATATACAATCATCACATTTTTAACATATTTATAAAAAAAATAATTCATGGTCAAAATAACTGAAGAGCCTGATTGATTGAGGCATAAAATCGATTTAAAAATTTCTATCACCCCATATTTAAAATTTAAACATTAATATATATATATATATATATATATATAGTTACTTTGTTTTATAAAATATTTTCTTAAAGAGATTCAAAAAACAAGCTATCATTCATCCTAAATAAAGTTATTCTAAATAGATAATTTGTCAGTCATTTATGGTTTAAATTCACATTGTATATACATGATAAAATATTTTAATATACACAGAATTAGTTATATTTGGGGTGGATTTCTTTATTTATAATTAATTTTCTTTCCTTCATAATATTTAGTATAAAAAATCAATAATAATTCACTAACTTGATGTAATTTGACAGTACTTATTATATTGTTTATTAATCTATTAAGGAAAAAAAATGGGAGGGCCATAGCACAATGAAGCTCTGCCACTATATTGCATATCAATTCTTCTTCATGTTGGCACATGGTGCCATCCAATGGAGGATTTGGTGAATTTTGTATTGCTCCTCCTTGCTTTCATCAATAGACAGCCATGGTCAAATGAAGTGGACCTCTACAGCATCATCATCAAGTGGTCCCAAAACCATGCCTCTCATACACACAAATCTAAAATTTTCGTTTTATATTGATCCCAATTGGACTAATCGAAGTTGTGAAGCATTGATAGGCAGTAATTTGGTCATCGTTTTGGGGTCAAATAGAATTGACAAAACAGAAGCAAGAAAAACCTTGTTAGATTTTTTTAGCATTATAAAATTGATAATAAGTTACCTTGCTGGCTGGCTAAGTATCCAGAGCAAAAAATGAAAATTCCAAAACAGATCATATTTCCTCAGAGTGAAAATAAGACAATTAAGTTAATAATATACATTATTAACTAATTTTCAATATAAGTTAGTAATATAATTCATATATGTCATTAAGAACAACCATATTAGTTAATTGTCTATTTATTTATTCACTTGCCAAAAAATGTAATTAATCAATTATCCAATTAAATTAACCATAATATCACATCATTTCAGCCACCTAAACTCCTTATAAAGAGTACTTACAACACCTAATTTATAAATTCAAGCATGTAAATTTTGAACTGACTAAATATTCAAATTTTGGTCATCGAAGGTTTTTTTTTTCCTGCTAAGAACTACCATGGGGTTCAGGGTACTTCAGCACATTAATATATATTTATAAATATAGTCAATTAATTATTATACATAAATTTATGTATACGAGTTTTATAATTTCTTAATACGTTGTGTTACATAACTAATTGGTATTTCGTTTTATACTTTATTTTTGTGTCAGTTAAATAAGATTCTTACACACGGTTTAACAAATCTCTCAATTACATATATTAAATCACGCGATATACCAGTAAAACATATATCAGCATTGGGAAAAGCTACTCCACAGTTTCATATTATAATAAAGAAGGAAACATTACTCAATAAATCACCTCTCACGTATATCTAAAATAAGACAAACTCTAATTAGATAACAGTAAAAAATAGTGATATAAAGTGATGTATACATAAGGTTAATATAACATCATTGTTAAAAGAAATGTTATTATCACTTGCTTATGCCTTACGTACCAAGGTAATTTCAAAGCTTAGATAATGTCCTTTGATACAACTCAAGCTGTAAAAGTCCTCAAGTTACATTATCATTCTCCAAAAAGATATACCCTACATTACATATAAAACCACCACTAGGTACATACCAGTTGACCAACTCTCTTTATCTCATCATCTAACTTAACTTCATAATTATCAAGTAGTTTGAAATTATCTAATTACATGGAGTCCAATGATCATATTCATGATACAACATCAGAAAAGGCCACCGATGGTGATGGTGAGCTAGATGGAAACAAAGTTATGAGAAGGTCCTATGAGTGCAATTTTTGCAAGAGGGGTTTCTCTAATGCACAAGCACTAGGAGGGCACATGAACATCCACAGGAAAGACAAGGCCAAGATCAAGCACACTTCATCAAATTCCAACCACACGCAACCACCTTATTCCTTGGACATTCATCATAAGGTCAAGCCTAGTGTTGAAAAGCAAAGCAACCCAAACTGGCCTTGGCATGGTGTTGATTCCTCAAAAGATGAAACCCATGTTGTTCACATCAAGAAACTCCCATTCTTTTTTGATTCACAAATGATTGGCTGCGAAACTCAAAAACCACAATATTGTCAAATTTCTGAGGAAAATATTGGTATCGAAAGTGAAATGGCTTTCCCATCTAGTCATGGTTCCTCATCGGAGTTAGACCTTGAACTAAGACTAGGGCCTCACCCTGAGGATTCATCACTTGTAACGGGTACCAGAAAATTCTTTTGAGAATGCACAACAAGTATATATTTATATTTTTCAGGTGCCAATTTCCCTTATATAGTTTTTTTTTTCCGTTACAAATATACATCTTAATTATGTTTTTTTCCCTCACAATTTTAAATTAATATTATGATTGTTTTTCTTGTATACGTCAGTTGTAAGTTTTCGTTTAATGCTAAATCGGATCAAAGGTTATTATTTTTGGGCTTAACAATTTGCATGCAAATCATACAACTGATGAGTTTCATGCACGGTATTCGTAGGGCATGCAATCCTTTCTATGACAGATTTTCATGTTATTCGTCTCAACTCCAAACCACATCAATATTAGAAACAGCAAATATTAAAATGCCGCTTGAACTTGGTTGCTTAATTAATTTAACTTTCAGATTGGATTATGATATTTTCCGTGGAGAAAAAACAAAGTATGATATTCCCATAATACACAAGATTTTATTCTCGTTAAGAACCATGAGAACTTTGCCTTGCATCTACAACTAGCCATTCAGGTCCATCGACAAGAACTAGGTAATTTCCTTACTTGCATCTTATCTGAAATTTATATAATTTCTATCGATCGAAATAATAAGTGCATTTTTTGTATATATTATATAAATTTTTTAATCGTGAATTACACAATTCATTTCTCCCTGGCTTATCAGCACGCACACGGTGATAAATCAGAAATCAAGTTTAAGCAGTTTTTGTTAAGAACTATCCACAAACCGCTTTTCTTCTATTATTTTTGTGCAAAATAGATTCACATCGTTTATATATATTTAAATTAAGCAAATATTAATCAATACTCTTTAAACACCGGTTAAAGACTTTTAAAAAAATGTTAAAAAATATATTATACCTTTTCTTGTTATTTCAATTATATAGCATTATTTAAAGATGCTAATTAACAAGAACTTGACAATAAGAACCACAAAATAGTTTAGCTAAATTTCTGTGTGTGTGTATGATGGAAGCTATAAGAATCCATCTGTTGAAGAAATCATACCATTCAAAAAGCATGCACTTCAGTATTTCATTCCTTTTACAGTGTACATTCACTTCAGCATTAAATTAATACACGAAATTGATTGTTCAACAATTTTCAACCCGTGATCTATCCAGAGTCTAGTATATTTATTATTATCAAATTATTGTGATAATAACCACCGGATAGCTTCGAGTTTTTGGTGATCATTATTCGATAATTTGTTTATAGGTCTATGAAATATAAACACTAATCTTAACAGTTTGCTCGACATTGTATAATTACATGTTTTTGGACGAGTTTGAGTTTGTTCTATCAAAACAATGCAATCTATAAACACAAGACTGCACAGAGCGAGCATCTTATCGAGATTAATACGAGCATATAAAGAAGAAAAGCAAAAGACCTTGTAAAAGTCCACATTCCTTAACGAAGCACTATTTGTGCATTGGCAAGGTTTCAGTTGTTGGCACTTGGGAATGTTTGACGTGTTCAATGTATAGACCTATCTGACCAAGATAATTGGATTGGAATGATTTAACCCAAAATTAGCTTACATGTTTTGACTAAGGTTTGTTTTTCTAAAATGCCTTAAGCATGTATCTATTTTTATTTGTTACTAACTTGAACTTCATTATTTTTTTTAACCTCAAGTCTTCCTTAAATACACTCGTTACCTTATATATCGTTTAATTTGTAGCTAATTCTTTTACATGTAACTTTATTATCTTAACATATTTCTTGATATTTGGACTTTCGATGGATGATTAGGGGCTGTTACCTTTTTCTGTAATTTTTATCTTTACTTCTAATAACTTCATAATACTGGTCTTTGCTTTCGAAAAAAACAAAACAGTTGAATTAGTACTAATTTCGATTCATACTGAATGTCACAATGTTTTCCAAAGTAGTTGGATAATTGGATCTTCAAGCTCAATTAAGATATTATCTATGATTCCCAGATAGGTGTAGATACAGTCAAGAAAATACAGGACAATCCTATTTATTATTTAATTTTTCGTGATGGAACCTTTATTAGTAGTTCAGAACAAGTCTTGCTTAAATGATGCAATTGTATGGCATGCATTTTCCACTAGGCATCGTCAACATAGATAGTCTCTTGCTTGAACAATCCACCAAAAACGTTCCTAACCTCCCCTGCTTTCTCTGCTTGTTTTGGTTTACCAGCAAGACTCCTTGAACTTTTTTGTTTAATAACTGCTTTATTAGGCTGAAGACTCCGAGCCTTGGCCTGTCCCCTTACAGTGGCAAGCTGCACTTTTGGCTTCACTTTCTCATCTGAGTCAGGCTTTTGGATTGAGGTACCAATCTGTGAGCTCAACCTTTGCCATGAAAGCCCTGCTCCAAAATCTTTTGCCTTATTCAATAAGCCTTCCATTGAAGCACCCGTAGCCTCTGCTTTCTCTTGCCCTTTTTGAGCTGCATTAAACGGCTTTTCCTCACCTTCTTCTAGCAACCTTGTAATTTCACGAGTTTTTTCAGCTACCACTCTTGCCTCTTCCTCTTCCGCTTTCTGGCGCATTTCAGCGTAGGCTTTCCTTCTGTTGTCCTCAGGAATAGTGCTGAAGGGCAATTTATAATTCAGATTAAGGTACTAGTTAACAAAATAAAATGGAAGAATGTGTAAGCAATGTCCCTATTACTTGGTTTCACACTTTCATGGAACCGAAATGTACCATTTCAACCTCATGCCATGTTCTATCCCTCTTTTTAAAAAAAAAATACACCAAAACATAAAATAAATTTGAGTTTGTCTAAGTTACTCTATGGGATAAATAATACTATCTCAAGTGAATTAATAAGACTTCGTTTTTAAAAAGATACAATTTTTAATACAACGTAATCTACCTAAGATGAAGTTATTCATGCCATGGAGTAACATAGACAAATCAAACAAACTCATGCAAAACAGAAACACTAGCTACAGATGCAAAATAGAAACAGCTAGCTATAATGAGCAGATTCACCTTAAAAATTCATCCACAAGCCTAGAGGGGGCTTCAGGATTCGTGAAAACTTTCACCACCTATTCAAGAAAAAACAGTATCTCAATCTGAAATCAACACGGACTATTAAACACAAGCTAGCTAGCTAACATACCTTATTTTCAGCCACCACTGTGTTTGAGAAAACACCAGCCACAACCGATGCTATCTTGAACTTTGCAACCTAATAACCATTATTTTCTAAAACTTGATATCTTCATAAGATGGAATTCAGAATAAAAAAATTATAAACAGAAAAAAATTAATGCATAAGATATATTATGTTATGCATACATTACATTACTTTATAGTCGTTTATAGTGGTGCTCGCTTCACTAGACACGACCACATTATAGGAACTCTCGGGAGAGAAATCATCAGTTAAACTAGTCTTGATAAAGGTGTAGCTGACGTTTGTTTCAATGATTTTCTGCAAGAGCTCTTGCACGGTCAAGGGCTGAGACTGAGAGAAGAGGTTGCTGAAGAAAGAGGAGATTCCATCCAGTACATTGTAGGTCGAAGTGCCCGCGGTGTTGTCGTCGTAGATGATCGCCACGTGGCTGGCACCTGCCAGCTGTGCAGCTTGAACTACTTGTAGAGCGTCTGACGTGGAGACTGCAGATGTTGGGCCATTCTCCGCGGAACTAATTGTGACAACCACTTTGCTCGCATTGCCTATTGCTTTTGCTATTGATTCTGCATCGTCAAAGCCCGATTCCACTGCGTTTAGACGCTTTGACTCTTCCTTTGATATAATCTGCGTTGCGTTTGTCATATGGCATCAGAATCGTTACCCAGCAAATGCTCCAATCACATGCATTACGATCATTTGTTACATTAAAAATATGATTCATTATACTAATATGATCCAATGCGAGACTGTAACCCGTGACCAACATTAACAGTTTAATTTAGATAAAAGGTCACAAGACTTGAGATTAATTTAAAGATTAATCTTGATTACTTTGTTTTTGACTTTTGTTGTGTGATAGAAGTTCAGGTGTGTTTAGAGTTAATTGAAAGTCTAACCTTGTACTGTGTAGCAAGGCGAGCGAGTTGTTGAGCAGAACTAAGTTGAGGGACACCAGCCCTTACAGTGAACCCTTCCCTGAGAAGCGTTTGTGCAATTCGAATGCCAGTTTGACCGGTTGCTCCAGCAACGAAAACTGTTGCAGGGTCCTTACGCCTTGGCTTCCCGAATGAGAAACTAGGGGAAGAAGGGATGCTCACAATTGGGACAAAGGATGCACCTTCTGGAGGTAACTTTTTCTTTCCAAGTTTGAAACGAAAAGGGTTAGAAGAATTGGGTGAGTTATCATCTGGTTGGACTCTTTTAGCTTTGGGCTTGCCCAACCCAAGTGGGGAGAATGATGGAGACTTCTTCTTGTTGGGAAAGACTCTTAGCCTTGGGTTGCTGAGGGACAACCAACGAGGATTGGAAGTGAGAGTGAGAACCATGGAGGACACAGAAGATTTGCCTGTGTCACCCTCCCTTTCTTTAACTTTGGTTTATTATACCACTGTACTACTTTCTTTGTGTGCGTTCACCGGATTTAATTTTGCTCGATCTTGCGAAAAAATGAGAATTATCTCGTTGGAAGAGGCAAGAAAAAGCTAGCCAATCCTGTGGAGCCACGTAGTCAGGGTTTATCTGCTTATACATCAAACACCAAGCACCGAAGATGACATGCCCTGCTCACAATTTCACCTCACACATGGTGGGGATAACCCCTGTGGAATGGATTCCCTATTTTCTTTCTTTGCTGTACTCTTTACGAGTTTGAACTTTGCCATTTGGAGAGAAAAAGAACTTTAATGTTTCAGATATAAATTTTAAATCTCATAATTTAATTTGTTAATATATTTATTAAAACTTTCAATCCGTTAATAATCAATATCTTAAAACTTTATTTAAGCGTTAATTTTTAGCACAATTAAAAAAAAACTTATGTAATGTTTATTTGTGAGTTTTTAAATAAAAAATGTTTATAAATCTTTTAAAATATTTGTAATTATATATTTTAAATTCTTCCCATTTTTAGACTTTATATTAATAATTTTTAAACTCTTGTTTTTCTCTCAAAATTCTCAAACAAAATTTTTAAAAAATATATATAAAAATAACGAGAGGAAGGGGAGAACATGTTTAAGACAATGTGTGCATAAAATTGTACTCAACTTATTTTATTCAAAATTTGTCATTTATTCGTTTAAATTGTCAATAGCAATAATAGAGCATATTAAACATTTACCAATACACAAAAGTCGAACACTAATAAAGCCAACTTTTGAAAATATGTGGAAGAGATATTTGACACCAATGTTTTAAAGATATAAAAATTTAAAATTGAGATGTGTCATAATTGGTGATTCATGCCCCCCTTTGCTTAAAGGGATTCAAATAGTTTGCAACGCACTCTCAAGCCTCTTTTACTCATTCAGGGTCTCAATATCATCTCTTCCATGAGGATCAATTATTTTAGCTTCCTTGACATATGAAATAAGATTAATTATTGTGCTCTTATTTTCAGCTTCTTAGCGTGCTATTCTTCCCTTTTGTATTATTTTTCTTAACATCTTTTGTGCTTCTCTTCATTCTACAACTTTTTTTTTCCGACCTCTTTCTTGTGATGCTCATTTTGTCTAGGATATTTTAAATAATTAAAACTTGAAAGTCATATATTATTCATATATTTTTTAATTAGTTGCTATTTTATTAATGTAAATTTTTTTATTGTCTAACGTTTAATTTATCAGTCTTTTTGGAACATTTTTAATCATCAATGACTTCTGCTGGGCTAAAATCCTTCATTTCAAAAGATTTATTAGCAAGATCATTCGTACAAAAATAGGACACAACTCCTTATTTTATCCCATAATTATCGAACAAAACATATAAAATAATATCACATTTATTTCATTTTATTAAATACTAATAATATATTCATTCTTAATTGATTAAGTATAACCATTTTTGTATACTAATATAGACCGAGTAAATAGAATCTAATGAAATAAAACCAAAATAATACATTCAGTCACTAATATAAAAAAATAAAATTCGTGTCTTATTTTGCATTAATACTTGCTAAACAGAATAAAACATTATTTTATTGAAATTTGACTAACATAAACCTGACAAATTTATCACGCAAAATTAATCATAAAAATTAACGATGAGAAAACCATATAATTTTAATATTTGATTTGATTGACTAGCTTAATCCTGGGAATTTGGACGAGGAAAGGTTAACCCAAGAAATTATGGGGTTGGAATAATGGAAAGATGAGGAAGAAGCAGATATTGACACGTGGGGCGTTGTTTAAAATCGGATGCAAACCTATTTATATTCCTCTCTTTATTCTCTGTTTCTGGTCCGCCTCTTCTCTCTCTCTCTCTCCCTCTGCCTTACTCTTCACCCTCCCATCGCAAACCCTAGCTACCCTACACACCTTCTCGATTTTCCATGATTACTCTCCATATCTTCAACTGAGCTTTCTCTTCCGATTCGGTGGTTGAGGGAGGATAATTGGTGAAACCCATTCACGCAGAGCTTCGTGAGAAGAATTTTCTGATGGCGGCTTCCACCACGAGCCAGGTCTATATTGATGTAATCGAGGATGTCATGGTCAAGGTTCGGGATGAGTTCGTTAACAACGGTGGCCCCGGGGAGGAAGTTCTCAAGGAGCTTCAAGCTGTAAGATACCATCTTCGCCTCTGTTTTTCTCATATTTCTACGATTGGTTTTTAATGTATAAATAAATGAGATTATTTGACGTGTATGCATCTATTGAAACATGCATTGGATTTTGGTTTGGTTTTGAAGAGTTGTTATTTCTCGGCTGGCTGGTTGATTTAGGGTTTGGATCCGATCGATTGTTTTGTGGGTTTTCTGTTGTGTTTATGGGATTATTTATTTAATTTTTATCGCAGCTGTTGAAGATAGTCATCGTTTTTTGTTTTGTTGGAAATTTGTTTAGATGTGGGAATCGAAGATGATTCAAGCTGGTGTTGTGCTTGGTCCCATAGAAAGGTCCACTGCTGCTAAGCCAATGCCTGGTGGTCCAATTACTCCGGTTCATGATCTTAACATGCCGTATGAGGGGACCGAGGAGTATGAAACTCCTACAGCTGAAATTCTTTTCCCCCCTGTGAGTTTTAACCCAAACCGTAGGTTTGGCAAGTGTGTTATCCTTTTAGTGTTCTTTTATGGGTGAAAATTGATTGGATTGTTGATACGAGGCCGTTGATACGAGGCTTTTAATGTACAGACCCCATTGCAAACTCCAATTCAAACCCCTTTACCAGGAACTGGGGATAACTCAACGTATAACATTCCTACTGGACCAAGTGACTACCCCTCTTCTGGAAATGACACTGGAGGAAATGGTGATGTAAAAGGAGGAAGACCTGGTCCATACATGGTAAAGCTCAAATCATCTGTTTTCATTTGTTTTAGTATGTCAAATGCCATTAGCAATTTATGCAATTGATTTAATATGTAGTTACCAATCTCCGATAGTGGCTGACCTAAAAAATTCTATCGTGGGATAGCACATAGCAGGATAGCAAGTAGTCTGATTTTACTTTTTTACATATTAAATAATTTATAGAATATACATATAAATGCTAAAAAGATCTCAATTCATGACATATTCATAATCAACAATAAAAAGACACAGGCCTTAAGCAAAACATACAAGTTAATAGCAACGATGTCAAGGAAACAAGAGAAAATCAAAAGACTTGTTCATGCTTCAAATACAAGATATCTTAAACATTCAGTAGAAAGTAAGGTTGTATGTCGCATGGTGAAAAGAACAGAGAAGATTGAGGATTCAGAATTTAGAACAGAGGTGATTCAGATTTCAGAACAGACAAAACACTGGAGGGTGAATGGGTGTTGCCGGAAATGCTGGCAGAGATGAATAGGTGTTGGTAATCACGAAAGAGAGAAGGGTGGGTTGATTACTGGTCTCATGGTGGGTGTCACACTGTAGAGAAAAGTGCAGGAAACTACATCTAGTTGGAGTTTTTTTTAAATACTGAAAAGTGGGAGGGTCCTAAAAGAACACCCCAAAATGGCATTGTTCTAAGGGCAAAATTGGGTTTCTGAAATGCCTCACTGTAGTGCTGCTATTGTGTCTGCAATGGATGCTATTTGAAAATGCACTGCTATTCAAACTTTGTTGCAGCAGTAGCCACTCTACACCAGTATAGTGCACTGCTGATATCAATGAATTTAATCTTTGTGGATAAACTGTTTAAATTTGTGCATGGATTTTTTTTGCCCCCCTAATATTGTCCTTGTAATCTTTTACAGCAACCTCCTTCTCCTTGGATGAACCAGAGGCAATCACTTGATGTCAATGTTGGTGAGTTCCATTTTAACTCAGCACAAAGTGTTTAATGAAATGTCATTGTAGTAATGATGGATGTATTACTGTAGCTTATGTGGAAGGGCGGGATGAGGCAGACAGAGGAAATTCTAATCAACCTCTGACACAGGTAAGCTAAGTCAGTGAGGTCTTACATACAGACGAATGCTTGCTCTCTGTTAGAATTTGGAGATCTTGTGGTAGACTTCTTTTATGAAGCTAGCAAATATTGTTATTTTCTTGTTGCAACACATTTTATGGGTATTTTTGTCTAGAATGTTAAATCTGAATTTAAATCCATCATGTTTAGATATTATTGATGCTTTTACAAAAATCCAGGACTTCCTCACAATGTCATCAGGAAAGCGAAAACGAAATGATATGACTTCGCAGTTTAATGCTGGTGGATATATACCTCAGCAAGATGGAGCTGGCGATGCTGCATCTGGAGTTTTTGAAATTGAGGTATTTTTTTCCTATTGGTCAGTTGCATGCCATATTTAAGTAGTTTTGTGATGCTGTTAATAGTTTAATTTACTACTGTTGTTTTTGTTCTAATGAAATTTGTTATTTTTGACTGAATGAGAGCAAGGATATGATACTAGTTTTATAACTTTAAAGTTTGTTGGGTTTGGCACTTCCCTTTCCTATCTCGTTTTTAGGGGTGGGGTTGAGACAAGATGGGACATGGGGGATGGTGGAGGCATGTCTTGCCAATTGCCGTCCCTTGAAAGTTTATTGTGCTGAGGTACTTTCCTTTCCTCTTCTTTTTTCAAATGGGGGTTTGCCATAGGGTTAGGACAAAATGGGGGCATGAGGGATGGCAGATGATGGAGGTAAGTCTTGCCATCTCTACCTGCATTGCATCTGGCAATTTTCAAAAATTGGTGTAGACAATGCGGAAATCTATCATGGGGAAATCTGTCCATAGTCACTCTATTAAGGGAAAAATTAGTTGAAGTCTATGTCCACTCATCAGATATCTAAGTGGTACCTGTTCTATTATGAATGGAATCAACGAGGGTTTGTTTCCTTTGTTCTAGGCTCTTCATTTCCTTTGTTCTATGTCTGGTTTCATACTGATTTGTCCCATATCTACTGTATGCCTTTGTCCTGTAGTCTTTTGGTCTTAACATGATTAACTTTTGTTATAACTTATAAGAGCTTGATCTATTACTATTATTTGGACCCATTGCATTTTAATCAACTGCAGTAAGGCTAACCTTTATTTGTCGACCTATCAAGTTGTCCTTCTCAACAATTAATTATGGGGAAATAATAAACATTCACTGTTGAACTGATCTGCTGTATGGATATTTGCTCTGATGGCTTTATTCAGAAGTTTAGATTGCTAATTTCTTTCCCATCCCACTCTTGTATTAAATGTACATTGTTCTGTTGGTTTTTTGGATATTTGCTAGTTTCTTTTCAGTACAAATGCATTCTTAGTTTCTGTCTGGCTATTAATTCATTGACTTGCTTGGTTGATGGAAAAGTGTAATCAGTTACTGAACTGTTGAAGATCCATATTTCAGGTAGATGGAGGGGGCATCTCCATTCATTCGCATCATACTATTTTCAAAGGGAAAATGCCTACAAATTTGGAGAGGCCAGGTTCAAGGATTCCTCAACTTGATGGACCAATTCCTTATGATGATGATGTGCTGTCTACCCCTAATGTTAATGTGAGTAGTGAATTTTTTCCTTTCCTTACTGCACTTGTACAATTTATAATGAAACATTTTGTCATTTGTTCTTTTGCCCTACACCAGATATGCATTTTTACTTTGCTTGCTTGTTCTAGTTTTCTGTTGTTCCTCTAGTTTTGTGCATACCCCCTGCCTCCTTTTTAGTTCTTGTTTAGTAGACACCATGGCTTATAATTTCTGCAATTATGCATTCAATGTCAAAAAGGGTTTCAATAGCCACTTCTTTATGCGTATTTAATGGGCGGTTCCTGTTCGTAATTTGAGTTATTTTTTTTGTGCAAAACTATAAATTCAGAAGTATATCATTTTGATATGCTCTAAGTAGTGAGAAAAATCATAGTTCTAAGTTCTCCCCTTTACATTGGGTCTGACTGGCTGTTCAATTTAGTGTAAATATGAGCTCCATCTTCCTGGTCTGTCATTGTTAGAAGTCAGAATGACTCTGTTACTGTGATTCTGAGTAAATATATAACTCTGGAAGTGATTTAAGGTATTGAAATAAGTATTTCAAATGCTTTAAGTGGTTGAATTTTGAATTCAAGGTTGATAATGTAATATAGTGATATTTGTATAATTTGAAACCTGAATTAGTTGCATTTTAATGATGAGATGGCTTTGATATATCCACACTTAATGCTACTGTTGATACCTGAAAACTCCAATTCATTGGATGTGCTAATATTTAGGCCAAAAAGAGAAGAAGATTGAATGGTAAAATTCCAGTTAATTCATTTTAATTCTGTGGTTGCTAACTTTTTTGTGTTTTAACTGCACCATGCTTCATTTGACACCTTCCTCACCATGTCTTGCATTCCATCATCTTACTGGGTTAATTTCATCCTGTAGCATATATACAATTATGGAGTCTTCAATGAAGATTACAACATTTCCAATACTCCAGCTCCTCCTGGTAAATTGAGAATGTGAATATAATAATGATATTTTGAAGATTTTTATGAGCTTATTAATATAATATATATTTTTCCGTCATAGTTGTTACTGATTTTTTTCTCTTTCTTAATTATTAGAAGTACCAGCAAGTACCCCTGCTCTCTTGGCCCAAAATGAAGAGGGAAATGATGATGATGTTGATGATGATGATGATGAACCTCCATTAAATGAAAATGATGATGATGATTTGGATGACCTCGAACAAGGAGAGGATCAAAATACACATCATCTTGTTTTGGCCCAGTTTGACAAGGTAACAATCTCCCACTACTTCGGTGAATTAGATGTCAAGTGTTTTATTATAGTAAGGTGATATATCAGTTAATGATTCGGTGTTTGGATAATTATTGTGGCTCTAATAGGGTTGTCTTGCTACAAATTTAGGTGACACGTACCAAGAGCAGGTGGAAATGCACATTAAAGGATGGCATCATGCACATAAATAATAAGGACATTCTCTTCAATAAGGTTTGTTGATCTTTAAGGAGAACAAATAATGATATTTTCTGTTTATCAAATTGCCACGATGGGTGATGCTATTCACACCTCTGCAGGCGACAGGAGAGTTTGACTTTTGATTTTGTTGGGGGGGGGGCCAGTGCTTTGGTGTGGCATGATACAGAGGTGTCATTGAGTGTTTCGTGATCTTTCTTTGGTTATAATTATTAAGTGAAAGATTGATGAAGAGAGAAATCCTTTACACTTTTCGAGACTGTTGTTTTGATGTTGGCCTCTTGTACATAAAGGATGAGCATTTTTGGCCTTTACCTGATGGTTAGAGACTGACATTTCCTTAAGCCCACCATTCGTCAAGTATGTGGTTCCTTCAGTTCTTCTGTATACTTTGGACATTTTGGTTAATGTAAGAATCCCAGTGTATGATAATGATGGTTTATTAGGCTTGGTTTAAATTGTGTCTTTCTTGCTTAGCTTTGGACCCTAAAACTGGGAGATAACATTGTGTACTGTGTAGGTCTTCTAAGTTCTGGCGTAGTGTATTGATATTTGAAACTTTAGACGATCAAGAAAAAGGAAAATAAGAATTGATATATTAAGCTTCAAAAAAATGTTTTCTATAATTTTGTCATGTATATGCTCTTCTTGATTAATGACCGATTTTAGTAACCTTTTTTTATTCGTATATCATGTCGGCTTTACGAGTTTAAAATGAAGACCCTATGGTCTGTTGACTACTATTATTTGACCATTAGGATAAGCGAGTTCGTCCTTCAGGTTGACGAAGGCTAACAACACATTTGTCTACAGCACTTAATAGGGTGAAGTTATGTGTCTCACTAAATGTGGCCTTCGCTCTTTATTCAAAAGGTTTTAAATTTTATTAAGTTTCACAGAAGTTTGATTGAATAATAAAGAATGGATTAGAAAATGTTATTTCTCTTGTTAATTTTTTCCCTACCAAATTAACAACTCACTGAACCGAAGTAGAATGTCTTGAATCTCATTTTTGTTTGATACTATTTTTATACCTTATTTCGATTTATGTTCGTAGTCCAATTCCCGTTTGAATTGAAATAGTACCAGTCAGAGAATAGTACATAATCTTTTCTCGAATCTGTTATACAAAATAAGGCAATAACTTAAGATAATGATTATAATAAAACAGTAGGACACGCTTTCACGTGTACTATTTAGTATCTCGTTTTTCTAATGGCAGTTGACTGACAATTTTAAATGGACAGGATTTATTGATTCATTTGCTTTAAACATGATTTGTGGCATAGCCCATATTTAATTAAAGAAATATTGTAATTGGTAACAAGCTTTTCCTCCCTCTTGGACGTTTTTTATTTTTCAAATTTGCCAGTCTCATCGTGTAAATCTTACTAATAAGACATGCACACTAAAATCCACATGATTTACACAGCAATGGAGTTAAAAGAACAGAAAGAGTTTACCAAGTGTAACTAAGATTATCCCTTAAAACCGTAAAAAAGCCGAACAGAATGTTCCTCAAGTATGTTAGGATAAATTAATTTTGGAAGGGAATGTAATTTTTAATGAATTTAAAATGCAGCGTTCAAAATTATTTTGTTTAGATATTTAATTAAAATAATTTAAAATTTTTACCAATTTAAACTTAGTATTTTAATGCCTAAAATTAAGGAATTTGAAATATCAGCAGTGTAGAGTGTAGGTGGAATTTTTAAAATTAATTGTGCTTCCTTCTCACAATCCTTGGCAAGTTATTAAGGTAACTGTTCTTCTCTAATTCCTTCATGATCCTTTTCGAACTTGCTTCTTACAAGTGGTTGCATTTGAAGTCCATCACCGAAAATTTAATACAAAGAGCTCTATACTGAGATTAAATCAACTTTTGGATAAGAATTTTTGCACTCCAATTTTAGTGTTCTAACTAGTCTTTCTTTCATAGAATTGTCTCAAGCGTGCTTGAGGGGAATCCATCCCTGTAGTTTGCCGGTCACAAAAATAAACACGGATAGATACGATGACAATCTTGAAATAGGTGGGCACTTCTCAAGTTGCTTTAGTTTTTCTATACTGCAACAGAAAAAGAAAACCATTTCTTACCAAACTTTTAATTCTAATTGCATTTGGAATTAAATGGAAAATGTTTTGTAACGTTTGAATTGGCAGGAATTCATCTGTAATCGAACCTTAACAATGCTAAATAATATATATCGTAATTAATTCACTAAATCAAAAGATGGGGAAGTGTAGGTCCTGCGGAAACACCCCACAACTAGGAATAAAATGAAAAAACGTACAAAATATTACAATAACATATCTAGTAGACTCTAGAGACAAATTCACTGCGCATGGTTCACAAAAACGCATTGCTTTTGGAAGAAACTAGACAAAGATAATGGCTCCGGAAATGAAGCCATAGCTGGATGTTCCGACCCTGTGGCTGGTATACCCTCATTGATACTACCATGATTCACACTATTCTCCGATGTTGGAGCTTTTACACTAATCTCTGCATATGTAGGTTGTGGGGATAGAATGAGTGGGGATAGTAATGGAATAGCCTTAGAAGCCTCAGCAAAAGGGTTAGAGGGTCGATCAATGTCAAGAGATGCTGGAGCATGCTTCTGTAGCCTTGTGGGGCATCCTTCCCCTCTACTCTTCTTTATCAAGTTATCTTTGTCTTCCATCTTTTAATAATCTTCAATGTAATCAAGTTGCATGTATTATGTATACGTTCCCTCTTAAAGACGAGACAATAATATGAATCACCCTCATATTATCCACGTCAAAATGAAGTTCCATATTTAAAATGAATGATGGAGAACATGACAAGACACTTGACTTTCCTTCCTTAGCGGACATTGGCTGAAATGTATTTTAACAACAAAATGATCCTACGTTTGGGACTTTGGTTGGCTTATAGCTTTCGTAGGAGGTCTTGTCACTCTATTCTTTCATTAAAAGTTAAATATGGTTTTAGTTTTTGTATTATTATTGTTCTTGTTTAATGTTTTCTCCCAGAAAAATACGCAGCAGAATGGGAATGCGCGTCATGCGTAACTTGACTCCATCTCTCTCTACTACTTTTTCAGTCATGGAGTTTTGTTATGGACGATCCTTATATGGAAACAGTTAATAGTTGTAAAAGTTTTCCAGAGTAAATAATGCATGCTATTTATACACTGCTTTATACGAGACATTTCCATCTAGGTTCCCATGCATTTGTAGATATACAATTATATATGTTTAATACGATGTTAAATTTATTATATATATATATATATATAATCAAAATAATCAATAACTTAAAATACTGGATTGTACTAGTAATAGAATTGATCATTATTTTCACGCTTGAGTTCAAAAACTTAATGCCGGTTCTGCTTATTGAAAAGGGTGAATTCTGAAACTTAATTAAAAAAAGGCTTTATTTTTTATTTTATTTATTTATTATTGTTGTTGTAGGCAGATTCTTTGACTTTATGATCGGCACCGACTTGTGATAATATACCCTATTCACAACTATGTAAATAAATTACACTGAAGTCATGTGATGCCAAAGAGAGAGAGAGAGAGAGAGAGAGAGAGAGAGAGAGAAACAGAGTATGAAAAGAAAATCATTAATAATAATTTGGGAAATAATTATTAGATCAATAATTAAGTGATTTGATTCATATCTTTGAATAATTATGCAAAAATTTAAATATGGAATGGAAGAGTTATCTTATTTCACTCCAATTTAAATATTTTAATAATAATAATAATAATAATAATAATACTTTATACAATTTTATCATAAATGTAATTTGAATAAAGAATATGTTATTGCATATGAATAAATATCAATTAAAATAATGTAACTATTTATAAAACAAACACCATTTAGAATGATATTTTCTTAAATAGATGCAAAGGTATTGTATAGGGATATCTATGAACAAAATTAATCCCTAAAATGTTAAAAAATCGTAACATGAGAGACGTGACATCTGTTCATTTTATGTCCAAAACACGATTGCATAAATTTGATTGCCGTCAGAAACCTAGTTAAATTGAATGGAAGCGATCTTTTTTCACTTTATCAAAACTGAGTTTAATTAGAAAAATAATTGCGAAAACAATCAAGCTTGTAGATATTCTAAAATATGTGAATTCATTTGTTTTAATTTTAAGTGCATAAAAGATAAAAAAAAAAAATAAGGAAAGAAATTATCATCCTATAAATATTATTGGTGTCTTAAGCTTTAAGAATGGAAATTAAATTTAAGGGACTTTATTCTATCCTAAAAATCATTTACCCAATCACGTCAAAATGTTGTGTGTTATATCTTTTGATTTAAACATGTTTTTTTTATTTTTTTTTGGTAAATGAGAAGGGCTACAATCTGCTAACAACGAACAAATACATCAAAATAAATTCGGATCGAGTCTCGTAAGATGTAAGGCGAGCAATTTTGTGGCAGCCAAAGGCTTGAGATCGAGAGAGCCAATAGACATGTGAAAATAGGGTTTTGCATTATTTAATGCTTTTATCTTTAAGAATGACGTGATTAATTAGAAGATTGTCAAAAACATTAATGCTTTTTTTATTGGGCCGAGTTATCACTAAATATCAAAAACATTAAATTCTTAAAATTGGAGAGTTAAAAATATTTTTTTAAAAATAATTTAAAATCTCACAAAATAAAAAATATATTTAATTAAAAAAATATTCTCTCCTTTGTTCTATTCTTGAGAGACCATACGTACCGACAGTAAGTCATAATTAACCAATGCAAAAATGTTGATGTTCAAAAAAGTAACAATAGTGTTCTTCTAATGAATCCCTCCACGTTAACTAACAAACACTGTCCCCACGGCACACATTTTTTTGTGGATAATCACAGTACACAGTTAATTTATTAGTTACATACAAATTGAACTTAATACAATATTTGAAATTAATGATCTTTCCAATCTAATTATTGGATACATACACAAAATGGCGAAAAAAAAGAAGAGAATATACATTAATTAGATACATATAGTCATACACAAAAGTGTAGAAAGAACGTTCAAGGGAAAAAACTCCCCCTTAGTCACTGGAGAGGAGTAAGAGAGACAAAGACATACATTTTGTTAGCCTTACAAATTTTGAGACCAACAAAATGTATGTGCTTTCTCTCTTGGTGACAAGAGAGAGTCCAAATCCCTTTAGAGGATCGATGTTTAATTTGCCTGAAGAATTCTCCCACGGTTCTCTTCCTGATCAACTGCAAAATGTGGAATGATCACATGAATTATGGTTTTTCTGTAACGACAAAGTAGTATCGTATGAAAAGAAAAAAAAAGGGATGATAGTGTCCAACAGAGATCATCATACATAGCACAGCAGGAACAGTGGATAATATTTAATTAGTTACCTTCTTGAGTTTGCGATGAAGAAAGTGTGGTAGGAGTTTTAACTGTATATTGTTGTGATGGCTCCTCATTCCAGAGCAAAGAATTCACAGCTTCTTTCACCTTTTCAATCACACCTACATTACTAGTATATATACTTGGAGTTGTTTCTTCATATGTCACCGTAGCACCATTTGAGGATGTATTTCCCCCACTCAATGAAGCATATGGGGATGATGAATATTGCACAGGAGATGGAGCTGGTGAACAAGTTTGGCAGAATGTGTTGCCTTGAGGAGTTGTGGAAACAGCATGAGTTTTGGAGGATAGTGAATTAGATGAATCTGACCCTCCAACAATGATAGGTGTCAGTTTCTGGGCTATGGTTGCATTCATTGTGCAGTTTGGACCAGCATGAGTTGGAGTTGTAGTTTGAGGTTGAGTTGTGGTGGTGGAATTGACAAGACCAAGTGAATTTTCTCGATCTTGTTGCACCCCAGATTTGATACAGGTTTGCAAAACATGCTTCTCGGAGATTACTGGATTTGCTCTTGGATGCTGCCTTGCATTTTCTTTGTATCCCTCAGGTGCCAGCTCCGATTCATACACTGAAATATTAATATGATGTTCATGCAAAGAACTTCGTATAAAAAAGTAAAGGAAAGAAATTAAGAAGGAACAAAACAAATGTTTGTGAAAATGAGTAAAATATAATAACGTGGAGGCCTTCAATGTGCTTATTATTACTTGGAGCTCCAAGGTATTCAGCATCTTCTTCTTCTTCCCCATCATCTTCTAAGCTAACACCCCAAGACGGTGTGAAGTTCTCATCCTCAAGTTTCTTCTTGTTGAGGCTGTTGCGGAATCTCCTTGCCTTCTCCTTCACTTTGGAGAGAACTGATGATTTCTTCTGATAGAGAGCATGATCTTCTTCTGGGTCTATGCTCTTCAACTTGTCAGAGTGTGGAGAAGAAGGGGAAGATGAGGTGGGAGAGTAATAGGTTGGTGACATCCTTGTGGAATCCCCTCCTGTACGTACCCGGAAACAAGAACTAAGAATATGATTTTCCTATAATCAAACAAAGTATGCATATTTCCTTATTTACTTTGCATCTACAACATATGATATAATGTATTTATGAAAATGGTTTATAATTTTATAATGGTTTTTTTATATAACTTAGTAAAATAAGTTTTGTTTATTTATTTTAATAAATTTTACAATCAAATTATATCTTAAGTAAACTGTTTAGTCAAATGCATTCTAGTATTTTCATGGTAATTTCACATGCTTTTTGTTAGTAACCAGCATAACATAATTAAGCTTTGTCTTAAGCCATGATAATCGACAAAGGATTACCTCGAATGTATTGCTCCATGCCATTGATGGTAGAATTTCTTGAAGTATTAACTTGTCTGTACGTGCGTTCTGAAAAAGGCATTTTTTTCTGACTAGCTAGTTCCCTTGATCGCAATTTGTCTCAGCTTTTGAAATAACACTGCTTTTATATTTGTAATTATAGGGTTAAAAATGATAAGCAGAAATTTGACACAAAATGAACCGTGGTTAAGCAATTGGTTCCGGGGTTCTTGCACTGCGCAATAATCTAGAGGCTAACACTTGAGGGCTCATTTTTTACACGTGGAAACTAACATTTTATTTTTTTTGCTACTAAACCTCACAAATAAGTGCTTTCCTGATATAGTAAGTTGACCAGGCCAGGATGAGAAAAATTGTTGAAACATCTAACTCGTAAGTGGAATGGATAAATTGTAGGAGGTGAATAATTTTTAGCTTGTTCTTTATAATGTGATATCAGTCATTAAATAAAATTTATAATTTTAAAACAATTAATATATGTCATAATTTAAGTAGTTAGGATTCCATGAACTCAGATCATTTAATAATTTTTTTCATAAGTTGATCTAATATTTGAATGACCTGTACAATACAACTCCTATAACTAGGGTTCACATTATGCTAAATCATAGGACACTTTTTTATTTAAATTCTTTTCTGACGTGGCCAATAAGAGAGTATGCATGCTGCGAAAAATTAAATCACAAATTTTAACTTAATCATGATTATAATGAAAATCATATATAAGCTAACTATAAAATACAAATGGGAGTAATGATAAAGGGAAATTGGCCTAAAGGAATATATAGTTAAAGGCTTATCTTCAAAGTTCCAACTAAAAGTTGTCAAGACTTGGTCTTGGGGAAGCACCAGATGATTGGACAACCTTTTGGTAACCATGGACACAGGTGGCAACCCTACACCTTTTTCCAGAACTTCCTCAAGTTAGAATTAAAATTCAATTAAGTGAAAAAAAGAAGTATTGTTAGTGCAATCGAATGTAAAATATTGGTATTTTGCGTTTTGAACTCTATATAATTTATATAAATTGCAATGTATTTGTACTACATTACATTTGACTATACCAATAACACTGTTTTTTTAATTGCAATAAATCCGGATTCCTGAAGTTGTTGCTTTGAAATTATGAGCTGAGCACCTGACAGAGAGATGTTGCTCCATCCACGTAAACAATGAATAGAAAACCTTAAGCAATTTTTCATGAATATTCATATAATCTTCTTTTCAATTGAACAGTGAGTCTGTCTTAACTAATTAAAGGCTGCTGAATATATTCACTTGAAGTCTTAACAGCATCAGTTTGCGCTTTGTGGTGCTTTCAGAAGATCAATAGAATTTTCTTTTCCCTGTCATTGGTCAGGTTCAAGATCAAGGGCTAGATTGTTCAAGATCATATATAGGCATATTGTCTTACTATATAAGTGCTGTTAAAGTTTACCCTCTTGAATTGCTAGATATTAAAGTTTACCTTCTCAATATGCCTATTTATTATTTAATTTAGTTTACTTTTAGAATTAATTTTAATATTTTTTATAAAACTTTAAAAGTGATTATTATCTAAATTTAGATTCATTTATTTTTTTTTAAAGGATAATTATGTATATAATTGTTTTTCATTTTTTTTAAATATTACTATCCATTTTTTATAATAGCTTAATTTTTTTTATTTTTTAAAGTTATATAATTATTATAATTTTAAAATATATTCTTTAACATAAATACTATAAAAACTCTAACAACTTACCTTTAAGCAAATATAGGTCGTTCATCAATGCTTAACATATTAGACTTAAATTATTTATTTTTTATTTAGGGAGTGTATTGGATTAGAATTTTAAAGGATATTTTTTAAAAAAAGTGTTACAAATTTTAGAAGACTTTGCAGGATTTGCATAACTTTTAAAACTTTGCAGAATTCTGCAAAACTTTAAAGTTAGGATTTTTAAAATTTTTAATGAATTCTGCAAGATTTTTAAATTAAGATTTTAATAGATTTTGCGAGATTTAATAGACTTTGCAAAATTTCATGGATTTTTAACATAAAGAGTTCAGGATTTTTTTTCATACATTCAAATTTAAAAAAGAGTCAAAGATAAAAATAATAAAAAATAATAATATTTGAATAAATACTAATAATAATTCTCCGTAATATCATGTCCGCCTAAGTAACATTCACCCATATATCCATAGCTCTACTAGTCTTCCAAGCATTAGCTTCCTCTTGCTCTTATTCTTGGATTTGAATAACAGACTCAAAATTATGATCTTTATTAACTGGTAATGTGGAAGATGAATGTTTATTTATCAGTTTAATTGAAAATTCATAAAAATGACATGTTTTGCGAAGAAAGTTATGTAGTGCTACACATGTTAACACAAGTTCTATTTGTGTCTTAAATAAAAATGGAGTGCTCACTTAAAAATTATGAACCTTAATTTAAAAATATCAAATATTTTCTCGATCACATTACTTAAAGACACATGACGAAGATTGAACAATTTTTTCTCATTTTCAGGGTTATTACCTTGACCTGTAAATTCTTATAGATGATATCTTACACCTTGAAATAAAGCTAAAAATTGGCATCGCTTAGGAAATTCATAATTCACCAAGAAGTATTTACCTAATTATATATGCAATATTATTATTATTATTATTTAAAAATAAACACTTACCTTGAGCTACTTTAAGTTCATTCCTCCTTATTATAGCATCATTTAGAGTTTAAAATCATGAGCCAAACCCTCTCACACACTAATAATGTATATGAACTCCAAAACAAAATTACAAGCAGCTAATACATTTTGTAATATCTTTTCATGACGATTACGACAATTGCTTACATCTCGCCTTGTCACCATTGTTGGAATATGTGTCTCGTCAACAGCTTCAATGCAATCCTAAATGTGCTAGTTAACTATTTGAAGATTTACAGTTGATTGTAGAGATCATGATATCAATTTCAGCTTTCACCTTTCCCTTTTCTTGACACGTGTAATAAAAAAATTACTATTTAAAAGTTAAAATTTCAAGCATTTTCTATGTTATATATCTTAGGAATAAACTCAACTAAATAGAGTAAATCAATAGCACTGTTATTTACGTTTTCACCAAATAAGAGAATGAAATAGGAACTGTAGTACAATATTATATATGAGTAGTAGTGCAGTATTATTAGTAGAAAAAAAAAATGAAGAAGACAAGAGTATAAAAGAAAAGATGAAAAACTTACCTGCAAATTCTTGAAACACTTAAAAAGTCACTTCAAACAATCATCCAAAATCTGATGGGTTTAAATAGAATTGTTTTATGAATTTGGTATTTATAGATAGCACTAAAAAGTTCTTCAAAATATCTCTAATATAATAATTCTTTAAAATTTTTATTTTTTTTAATACCAATGAATTGTTTTTAATTGTAAAAATTTTTAAATGAATATCAATAGATTTTAATGGACTCTTTAAAAAAATTTGAAAATCCAGATTATATATCAATAAATTATTGTTAAGTGACATATACCAATAAATTTCTTTACTTAATTTTTTTTAAAATCTTATAAAATCCTAAACAAATATATTCACCTAAACTCGCTTTTACTATTTTTGAGAGGATTCTTAGAGTTGTTTTGTTGATATTGTTAATCAAAGGAAAATTAGTTGTTTCCAAACTTGTACTTTAACTTGATTTTATTTAATTTCTTCAACACATATTATTTTAATTTTTAATATATAGATATACATATTATAAAAAATAATCATGTTCAAAGAATAATTAAATATTAAATGTGAATGTTTTTCACAGTAAAAAGATAAATTTAATAACGTTTTAATTAAATACTATTCTATTAGTTTGAATGTTTTAAAATTAGGAGAAAGTAAATTTTGTTTCACCCAAAAGCAAAATTTAGATTCTATTAATCGCGTGTTAGAATTCATGTGTGAATCAATCACAACCATCAATTTTATTTTAGAAATGGTTTTAAAACTAGAATATACCAATCTTAAAAGGAAAAAGAAAATTCATAAAAAAATTATACAATTCTCTTGGTAGAAAAAAAGATCTCATACATAATTAATAAATTTAATTTTTATCATATTATAAAAAAAGAGACAAAATAACAATCATAACATTTATCGAGTACAGAACAGTAGATACATGCATTGATACATAACATAGGTGAAAACAAAACACCATACAAAAACGAAACCCATCAAAAACCCTCTCTCTTATCTCTTTCTGCTCCGTCGTTTCGCCGAACCATGTCATCCTTTGCCGCCTCTAACACCCTCCGCGCCACCCTACCGCCTCGCCGGAAACAACCCTCTCCACCCTCTCCGGTCAAATGCAACCTCTCTCCCTCCCAATCCAACGATTCACACTCTTCTCACACCCCTCTCTTCAAAGCCATCGCCATCTCCTCCGCCGCAGCTTCTATCCTCTTACACTCCACCCCTCTCACTCCCTTCCTTCCTAAATTCTCCACCTCTGGCGGAAATGGCGGCAATACTGGCAACGGCGGTGACGGAGGCTGGTTCGGCGGGAACGGCGGCGACGGAAACGGAGGGTTTTGGCACAGAATTTTCGCGCCGGCCGCCGCTGTTGCCGACGAATCTCAGTCTCAGGAATGGGATTCCCACGGCTTACCGGCGAACATCGTTGTTCAGCTGAACAAGATGAGCGGCTTCAAGAAATACAAAGTATCGGAGATAATGTTCTTCGATCGGAGCCGAAGAGTGAAGGTTGGAAGCGAAGATTCGTTCTTCGAGATGGTTTCTCTGAGACCTGGTGGAATATACACAAAGGCGCAGCTTCAGAAGGAGTTGGAGACTCTAGCGACTTCTGGAATGTTCGAGAAGGTTGATTTGGAAGGGAAAGCAAACCCAGATGGAACAATTGCGGTTACGATTGGGTTCAACGAGAGCACGTGGCAGCAAGCGGATTCGTTTCGATGCATCAATGTGGGTTTGATGGCTCAGACGAAGGCGGTGGAGATGGATGCTGATGTTACTGATAAGGAGAGGCTGGAGTATTATTTGAGTCAAGAGAGAGAGTATAAGAGGAGAATGGAGAGAGCTAGGCCTTGTCTTTTGCCCAGTTATGTTCATGGTGAGATTCTTGATATGCTTAGGAGACATGGGATGGTGAGTGCTAGGTTGTTGCAGAGGATTAGGGATAGGGTTCAGAAGTGGTACCATGATGAGGGTTATGCATGTGCCCAAGTTGTTAATTTTGGGAATCTTAATACCAAGGAGGTTGTTTGTGAGGTTGTGGAAGGGGATATCACTAAGTTGGATATTCAGTTTCAGGATAAGCTTGGTAATGTTGTTGAAGGCAACACTCAGGTTCCTGTTATACAAAGAGAGCTTCCTAGACAGGTATAGCTTCTTTTTTCTGGTGGTTACAAATTTTTTAGATCACTGATTGGTTTGTAACTTGTATGATTATTTTTTCTTGTCTCAAGGGTTTTGGTGTTTGGTCATTGAGTTTTTTTTTTTTTTCGGGTTTTTAATACCTGATGATGAGTTTTTGTTAGTGTTTCTCAATTGGTCGGTGTTTGTATTTTTGGAATGATAGCTGCGCGCGGGTTATACTTTCAACATTGAAGCTGGGAAGCAAGCTTTGAGGAACATAAATTCCCTTGCTTTGTTTTCGAATATTGAGGTGAATCCGCGACCTGATGAAAACAATGAGGGAGGCATAATTGTTGAAATCAAGCTCAAAGAGTTGGAACAGAAGACAGCGGAAGTCAGTACAGAGTGGAGTATTGTCCCTGGACGAGGAGGGCATCCCACTTTGGTATTTCTGACAACATAAATATTGAGTTTCTTCAACAACTGTGGAATTTTGTCTGCTCAATTTGTTTGATTGGTTTTTATTCAATTTTTGTTTGTGCAGGCTTCGCTTCAGCCAGGGGGAACTGTTACTTTTGAACATCGGAATCTGCAAGGACTCAATAGATCTCTTACTGGTTCTATAACGACTAGCAACTTCTTAAATCCTCAGGTAGATACACTTGAGCTAGTTCCTTGAGTTTATTTGATTTGATGAGTAGTTTTGTGTCTAGTTGATATATTGGCATTGGGATGACAATATGTCCCTCCTGTTTTGCCCTAGGATGATCTTGCATTTAAGCTAGAGTATGCACATCCATATTTGGATGGTGTATATTATTCACGAAACCGTACTCTCCGTGTAAGCTGCTTCAATAGCCGAAAGCTGAGTCCAGTATTCACTGGGGGGCCAGGTGTGGATGAAGTGCCCCCAATATGGGTTGATCGTGCAGGTGTTAAAGCTAATATTACAGAGGTAATTTTACTGTTTCTTTTTTTATTAACATAAACCATGAGTTGGCCATTTGGGCTAAGTGGGAGTCCTTTTTTATTAATCTTAATGTTTTTTGTCTTGTGTGACAAGCAGAATTTCACACGTCAGAGTAAATTCACTTATGGACTTGTAATGGAAGAAATAACCACTCGGGATGAAAGTAGTCATATCTGTGCAAATGGTCAAAGAGTATTACCCAGTGGAGGAATTAGTGCTGATGGACCTCCAACCACCCTCAGTGGTACTGGTATTGATCACATGGCATTTTTACAGGCAAACATCACTCGTGATAACACACGATTTGTGAATGGAGCTGTGGTTGGAGACAGAAATATGTTCCAGGTTACTACCTCATCCTTCACTCACTGCCTTTGAAGTTTGTCCACATAGATCACTGCACCATTTTATCATTTTTGTGGATTTCTGACATAGTGAGACAAAACAACGATATATATAAAAACTGTTGAAGATGCTCTCAGCATTTTTCTTTTTCTAAGAATTTAAATCATGGTTTAGGTGGGGAAAGAAGAAAGGAGTTCCGAAAGCATCAGGCATGTTCATGGAAGTTTAACAAAAGGCAAAAAAGCCTGTAATTTCTATGCAGATGCCATAGTCTGCCTAAATGTTTAACAAAATCTTTTAGATCATATATTGTCCTTGCAAACACCTCACACTGACACACATGTTCATGGAAGTTAAAGGACAATTCTAACTTGCTCTTCTTTACATCTTTTTAACCAACAACCAAGTTTTATCTTATCCCATTTTATGGTGTTGGGTACATGGATTAATCAACATCCAACTTGCAGCACCTTTGAGGACAAGATGTTGTTTTTTTCTAAATTTCTGGTATTGGGATATTCTATGTCTATGCTTTCTAATGATGATGCATTGTTCACATATGCAAACTGCAGGTAGATCAAGGCCTTGGCATTGGCAGCCGTTTCCCATTCTTTAACCGTCATCAGCTAACTGTGACACGATTTGTCCAGCTGATGTCCGTGGAGGAAGGGGCTGGTAAACCACCACCACCAGTGCTTGTCCTCCACGGCCACTATGGTGGTTGCGTGGGTGATCTCCCAAGTTATGATGCTTTTACTCTTGGGGGGCCCTATTCTGTGAGGGGTTACAACATGGGTGAGATTGGAGCTGCCAGAAACATCCTTGAGGTAGGAATGAGATGACTGAATGCACGTTATGAATCCCCATGGAGGCTTAAGTTTAGATTATTTTTCTAATCTACTATCCACTACTCAGGTGTTAACTATCTGATTTATTTTTCTTTCTACAGCTTGCAGCTGAGTTACGGATACCTGTGAAAGGTACACATGTGTATGCATTTGCAGAACACGGCAATGATCTAGGGAGTTCAAAGAGTGTCAAAGGGAATCCTACAGAAGTCTATAGGCGAATGGGTCATGGGTCGTCTTATGGTCTTGGTCTCAAGCTTGGTTTAGTGAGAGCAGAATATGCCGTGGATCATAACTCAGGAACTGGTGCATTATTTTTCCGTTTCGGAGAGAGGTTTTGAGGTGCAAATTGGTCACTATATTGCTGAGTATGTTTTGTTCTTTTGGTTTGCGGAAGAATTCTTGCAGCCAGCAGTTGAGCAGAGGGGTTCTACAGATGCTTGAAAACGTGTTGGTTCAAGTGGACGCCAAGCCGGTACTAGACTAGTTGTCTGCTAATATGTTTTTTATAGTAGACTTTAGTGTTTTTTTGTTTGTTTCCCGTAAAATTGGTATAGGGTTCTGTGGAAATACTAAGATGGCAGATTATCTTGATGTCTGTTATTCAATGGATATTACTTATTTCTGCGGCTAGTGATCAATAGACAGTTCGTGAGAACAAATCGAACATTATAATCTTTTAAACAAATTATTTTTTATTTGATAAATATGATTGTCGGATTATTAGAGGTTAAAAATTTTCTTTTGTTGTATTATATTTTAGATTCTAGGTGTAGCAAGATTATGCATAACATATCAAGCATTTTCACACTAGATTTTTTCGACTATATGGATCAAATAATGTTGTAATATTCTATTGTGAATCGTAATTATAGATAAACTGACACCATAAATCTTTTTTGCATGTAGTTTTTCTTGGTCTTCTACTAAGATAAGGTTACTTTTCATCTGATCTACATTCCTTGTTGGGGCATGTGCAGGTCTTTGCAAGCTTGTCTGAACCACTTAACGACGAAATTCTACCATTTTTTTCAATTATAGGATCTACGTTAGTTTTCGTTTTTCGAAGCATTCATTTTTAATTCTGTCCTGCGTATAATGTTTTTACATTTAATACAACATTTTTCATGTCATCCCTGTTCTACACGTTCGTATACAAATATAGTAGAATAATTTGATTGTTTATTTAATACGAACTGGTAAGTTCATGATCTATATTATGAAAGGTTTGCGTTGGAATGCTTCCTATCAAATCGTACATATATTTTTCGACAGATTTCCTTTGTGTTAACAAAATGATGGTATTTCTTGAACTCGTGTAGTCGTTGCCATGTTAACTGATTAAGGGGTTATTTCTAGGCGTTCTTATGAAAAAGAGAATAAGAAAAAATGGGAATGCATTTAACATTTAAAAAATACAACCAATTTGTATTGTTGCATGTTAGAGAGGCAAAAATGTTTTACAAACTAATTTAGTTTTATAGTCCCTTTACATTTCCCTCGGTTCCATCTCACCTAATATACCCATGAATATGATTGAAGTTTTAGTGCTGTTATGTGTATACCTACCCAACTCAACACTGAAAATAAATAAATAAATATTGCTGGATGAGGAATGTCCAGCATGAAAAAGCAGTAAAACAGAAGAAGCCCTTGTGTTAGTCAATTTTATAACTTTTAAGTTTGCAATGGCCCCCAAGAGATATGCCTTCAATTCACATAAAGCCCATATGCCTTGTGCCAAGAATGAGGTAATACATTTTGGCCTTTGCTCTCAACCAAATGAGGAACCAAATCCTTTTGTGCTACAAGCCTAACTCCTTTTTCAACTGAGCAAGTGTTGCTTCTATTTCATCAAGGTTATCCTCAACACTTTTGTTTCCCTTGCTAGCTTCACCTTGAGTGCTATTATTCCTTGGTATCTCTGTCCCAGATACGTTAGAATCATTTCCTCCCTGAGGCGTTTTATAATTGTCATTTGCATCAGTAATATTGAGTTCTTTCTCAAGGAACTCCACAAATTCTTCTCCTATTTCCTGAAATTTAAATTTTTAATTATTACAATTCCGGATTTAATATATATTTGTAGACATCAGAATTCAATTCCAAAACAGAGAGAAATGTAAACAGGAGTATCACCGCCAATTCTTCCCATAGGCTCTTTGGCTTTCCTTGTGAAGCAGCATTGGCTTCCCAATTCCTGAATTCTTCTTGAAGATCCTTAAAGAAGTCCTCTGTAATAACAAATCAGGTCTTAAACACTACAATAAAGGAATTATAAAATTAAGTTGCAATATACTAGAGACATCCTTTTCCCATGTTGAAAGATTTAAATGGGATAAAATCAATGGCCAGCAAAATTGGGAAGAATGCAGGCTAAACTTATGGTCAAAATGATCATGTGATGTCTACCAGAGAGTATATATCTACCTATTGATATTTGAACATCCCTCAAAAAATTACCTGCAGCATTAAGATGTTGGACAAAAGAAGATTAAAAAAAAAAAAAAGTAGCTAACTTAATAAAATGATAGGACAGGAAGCATATAAAAATTGTAAAATTATCTCTCAGACAGTTAGGGAAAGAAATTAGTATTCTCTCAGACAGTTAAAGGGAAAGAATTAGAATGAGAAGAGTGTGCAAGGACAAAAAGGAAACATAGATAGAAGCTGTTGGCTTTAGGTTTTCGCTAGCTAGTGTCTTCAATTATCAGAAAAAAATAGAGAAACCCTCAGTAGTATCATGGTTGAGTCCAGAAGACCAGAACTTAACCAATCACAATCCAATATGCATCCTGAAAATATTTAACTGCACAAAATGCACGAATGGTCTAATGATGAAAAACGTTTCTTGATATCTTTCAATTGAGCTGTATCTTGGGCACTATCTCGTTGGCTAAGTTCCAACAGCACTAAAACCACTTTGTTGTCGTTAGAGAATATCTAAGACATATTTAAATCATCTAAGAATAACTTTTATGGCTTGTTTAGGTATCATTCACAACTATAAATACTTTGGTACTTTGAGATGTCCTTTTTCTTTTTTAGACGTGTAACAGCAATGATAAACAACGTATTAAAAAATGAACTTTTGTACATTCAACACAAGATTGCAGATGGTTATTAATATTTACCTAATCCATAAAATTCTTCTTCAGCAGCTTGTGCATTCCTACTTCGGCTTCTTCGAGAAAAATCAGAACCACGATTTCCAGAATCATATTTTTTGCGAGAACTGGAATTTACCAATGTATTGTATGCATGTTTTATCCTCATAAACTTCTCCTGTGCCTTATCCTGTGAAAAGTAACTTAAAAATACATCAAATAAGCACTACAGATTCCTATCTTACGATGGTTAATTATTAATGTGTTAATTGGAAATGTAGTAAAAATGAATGTGAGTGGTCACCAACATACAATCCAAGATGCATCACATTTACATCATTTAAGCACTATCAGCATAGTAAATATGATATGCTTTTACTCCTTATTTGTTGTCCTTGTGATTTACATTTATTTTCCCGTTTCTTTTTTGTGTCTTTTAGAAGTGCAAAGACATCACCGCCACTATAATTTTTGCTTGAAACTATAAGTAAAAAATGTAAAACAACTTGAAGAACAAAGGAAAATTCAAGATTGGAAGACAATGAGCCACTTACAAGTTCAAATACACGAGATTCATAAATCTTTTGTCAGTTACGATTAGATATGTGACATTCAGGTTATTAACCTTCATAGATCCACATTTTTAATAACATTTGAGAATTGAAGTATACATGTAATAGGGAGTGAGTGTGCTTTCCAAACAAGAGGAGGCAATGATCAAGCTACATATTAACGATGGATCTAAACAAATAGTGTAATTCATCTTTTCATTGAAGATCAACATAGTAGCCATGTTTATATTAAAAGTGGAGAGTGCCAAACTATAGTTTGATGATCAAACTCCATATTAGTTACCACATTTGAAATCTAGCATAAGTGAAAAAGAACACCGACAGAATACACCAAAAAAACTTAAAAAAAAAAACTGCAGCTTAAACTGAAAGGGATAAAATCCCTAATTGTCAAAGTTTTCCCCAAATCATAAACAACATATAAAGTTATTTTTCACAGATATCAAGAGAAAAATAATTGCTTTTGCACTTAACTTCTGAAAACTTAACAGAATAAATGGCATCCAACAATACCTGGCCTGCTAAACCTCAACATTTTCAAACAGACACAGAAATTTTAGAGAGGAATAACAAGCGTTAAACATAGAAACTACCTCTTTATTGACATCGGGATGATACTTGAGAGCAAGTTTCCGATACGCCTTCTTGATTTCATCCACAGTTGCGGATGGAGACACACCCAAAACCTCATATGGAGACTCGCCACTCCTTGCTCTCACAACCACCATTCTATTGCCACCTCTTTCTTTCTTCTCACGCTTCCAAAGTGAATGGAGCACAAGGGAATTATTGAAACCACTTGCAGAGCTGATTCTGCAACTGGGTATGGCAGAAATTGGAGAAGGAGTAAGAGGTGGAAGAGATCTGAAGGGAAGGTGAGTGTGAGGACAAGAAAGAAAGGTGTTTGCAGTGAGAGAGAGAGTAAATCCATGCATGTTATCTCCAAATCTTTGTTCTATCATCTCTTCTTGTCTCTGTTGTCATTGACAGGGTTATGGAATCTGCCTGGATCAACTTTCAACACCACTCTCTTATCGCCCAAAGCTTTGGATTGAAATTTGGAGTATCCTCTTCGTTAACTTGTTTAACCCCCTACCAAAAATTAAAAAAGAAAAGAAAATGATAGCTATTAAATACCTGTTTTTTCCGAAGAAAAAAAAAAACTTATTGACTTGTCTTGTGTGCATGTGTTGTGTGTGCATGTGTTGTGTGTAATATTATCATACATCAACAATAAGCAAAGGTCACTAAAAACAATTATTTTTTATTTAAAAAGACTGACTCTTGTATAGATATATCAAACTAAACAAACTTAGCTTTACATGTGATTTCTTTTTTGCAGTAATGAATAAATTTTGCATGTTAGTTACATTTGTAGATATGGCTCCTTGAGTTCTTCAGGCCATTGAGATTGTTATTCTCCTCTATGATTCTCCTCTTTGATGAAAGTATACTAAAGCATTGAAAATATTATCATAGCTAAAACAAACTTATAAAGAAGTGAACTTATTTTTTAGATAAGCCATTTTTTATTCACACTGCCACTGAAATATATTAAATATGTTTTCAAAAAATAAATTTTAAAAGAATAAAAAAAGCAGCTAGTAGAAACGATAAAAAGTAATCTCCCTTCTTTTTTTAATCGAAAAAAACTAATGTTCCTTTTGTTTTGGTAAAAAAAAAAGTAATCTCCCCAAATAAATTGATATATCCATAAGGGAAAATGCAAGTTGTAGTAATAGTGTAGTTCACAAAGAGGATCCAACATCTATTTCCTCCAAAAACACCCTTGAGGTCACACCACAAGCCCATACTATTAACATGTTATAGGGCCTAGAATAGTCTGTATCAGAAATCCAAAACAAAACGCAACCAGTGACCCATATTCCATTGGACACAGCAAACTAACAAATATGATCCAAAAAGAAAAGCAAACCAGTATTAGAACATCCTAAAGCCTACACCCACCAATCACAGTCCACAAATGCAAAAGCAACCCAGACGGACCCAGGTTGTCCTTGGATGCCACGTCAGAAAAAGAAAAGTGGTGGGAAGCCGCGGCTGAGGTGAGGATTGCAGACAGATAATGAAATCATGGCCACTGCATTTGCATCATCCTCGTCTCCACAGATTGCAACCTTCCTTTCTTCTTCTAGTTTGCGCTCAAACACACGCTCATATTTGTCTCTTAGAACAACTCTTCTTCCACCTCCTCCATCTATCTCCCCCATAAAAAAACTCACCCTTTTTCGGAATCCACCTCGACCCATTCTTGCTGCTGCCGCTGAAGATGTTGTTGTAGCTTCGGAAGATGCCGTGGTGGATGCTGCGGACCAATTGGTGTCCAACACCGATGATGGGGTGTCCACAGTCGTATCAGCCCTTCTCTTTGCAGCGTTCATTGGTCTAACCGCTATCACTATTGGGGTATCACCCTAAAACAAAAAGTTCCCTTTTTTACTTTACTCTTGGTTTCAAGTTTTTCACTTTATTGATTCTGTTATGAATAAGGGATGGGTGTGTCTGTGTTGCAGGTAATATATCTAGCAGTTACAGATTTCCTGCAGAAGAGAGAGAAAGAGAAGTTTGAGAAAGAAGAAGCAGCAAACAAGAGTAAGAAGAAGAAGAAGAAGGTGGGAAGGGGCAGGGCAGGGCCAAGAGGATTTGGGCAAAAGGTTGTTGAATACGAGGATGATGATTAGATTAGGATGCAAATTGCAGATTGAAAAATAACACCGCCAAAGCCATTTCAGGTCCTCTTCCTCTTCCATTCAAATCGCGAATTTTACTTTAACTCTTTTTAAGTCTTCACAATGTGATTTCCAGTTTCTATAACAAACATGTTCGAATTAGGGAAATTCATTGCAATGCATCGTTTCAGACATCCGAATTTATCGGAATTTGCCATGCCTACGCTGTCGTACTTGTCCATAACCGATCTACCGGTTATAATTCCAATTTAATGTCATGAATCGTTCATTATAAAATGTTGTAACGGAATAAATTTATAAACTTTTACACTAAATATTAACTTTTTATTTAATTTTCATCTAACAACGCCATTAAATATAAGTTATAATTTATTATATTTAAAGAGTTTTTAATTTTACATTAACGTAAAAAAACTCTTCATATATATATATATATATATATATATGTCAAGAGTAATATTTACTTTTGTTCTAATATTTTTTGTTATTTTTATTTAAAAAATGTATAAAATATCTCTATTATTAATATAGGTAGAAAAAATATTTTAAACAAAACTTATATAAATAATAATAATAATAATAATAACTACTTGAGAGTAATAATAAATATCGTCAGAACCATGAGTGGTATGAAAATGGTAATAGCGACGCTAGTTCTTGCAATGCTACGTTATATTTGTTTTTCTTTGCTACCAGCACATATGTTGCACGAAATTATATCTAGTTATTTCACTTGTGGGGCTGGTTTCTTTAATCTAATTGACTAAAATCCCCTACGGGAGACCCAGCCGAATACAGGGGTGGCAGATTTCTATGAACCCCCTCAATACCACTTTCCTGCTCGCAGTATATTATCATCCATTTATCTAAAATTTAAACACATTGATCACAAGAATTAGCATGTCACTATTAAATATCCATATGTAGTAACATTAATTTTAAAACATTAAACGTGATTATAATTTGAAATCAAAATTATTCTCAAGCGCATATTTTATATCATATGAATCGGTATGTTGAATCAATTTTACTTGTACTAGTTGTTAAAAGAAAGTCAGCATAGTATCGCTATCACAAGACATAAATGAAAGGGAAAGTGAACTTGAAAAATTTGGGCATAAAGTCAATAACCATACATGAAAGAAAAACCCTGCTCTCACCTAAACATAAACAGCTCTCCACAAGGCAACATTTTTGTACAGTCGCGTCAACTTATAAACTACCTCACCGTTTAATAAAAACTTTACATCCTTAAAAAGGCTTGGTATTGTCACTTTTATCTCCTCTGCAGGGGCATCAGGTGTATTACACATCTGAGCCTCACCTCACTTAAATTCTATGTATAACCTTAATACTACAAAATGTACAGTTCTGCATTACAACCGATAATTTTATTTCCAATCGGCCACAACCCATCACAAGAGATAGGTAAACATAACCTCTGGATGTAGGAAAAGAGAGGAGGAAGCTCACACTAGCCTCAGTTAGCTGTACAAACAACATTCTTTTTCTATGCCCACCTAAGCAGGATGAGGAGACTGAGCAGCAATTCTCCTCTCTGCAAGAAATTAGATGATCAGTTGGCAAACTACACGTAACACCTTAGCATATGATAACTAAACAAAACAAAAAGTATGCAACTTAAAGAATATAATGGCACACATAGCAGCATCAGTTCATGTGTATGTTCTATTCATGAACCTATTTAGACAAACATGTACCTAAAACCCCACATGATGCATCAAAATAAGTGGTAATGCCAACGTGGAATAAGTACCTCCTGCAGCAACAAGTTTCTCTACACGGGCAACAATATGCTTTCCGTAGGTGTACTTTTTCAAAGCGTTCAAGTGAACTTTAATTCTTGAAAGAATTAGCTCTCGCTGTTGGTCATCACAAGTCTCCAGCACCTTTTGTACAACATAATTTGCAAATTGATCTTTCATCATTGCCTGTTTAAAAGAGGAACCAGATTTATCATTTGCAAGATGAGAAACTCCTATAAATTTTGTCAAGGCACGCTGAAAGTTTGATAACCAAAGCACCTATCAGTTTAGGGTCACCAGTGCATTAAAAAAGGGGTAGGAAAAAATATTAACCATCCTTTTACTTTACCAGAAAAGTTTGGTGATCAAAGTCCAACACTGAATATGTGACAACACAACATTGTATTTAAAGACAAAACAGCCTTGAATGCATTGAGAATATTAGGAGCTGTTCAGTTTCAAGAAATGTTTTGTTTTCATTGTTTTGTCTTCAAAGATTTGTATCAGAAACAGAGAATAACTTTTTTCTGCTTTCACTGTTTCCTATACAAATTAAGGAAAACAAGAAACAGAATAAAACCATAGCGGCAGATTTGTAACTAAAAATGAAAACAGAATGTTTTCAGAAACCAAACAGGCCCTTAACTTTTAAAATAAATTCCTAGGACAACACCTTAAAGCTAAATTGGACAGTTTTTTAAATTCTTTAGAATAATCACCTTGTGGTCATTGCAAGTTTATTTAGACAAAAATTGGCTTTTCATGCCTCGGATGAGCAAGGAAAATAGCCCCATTCCATCATCATCAAATCACTTTTTTATCACACCTTTAATCTAAATATATGCCAATTTGACTCAAAGAAAAGGTTTTTTTTTTTTATGCGTGCGGGGAGGGCATAGATAGTTTATTAAAGGAAGTACTAAAAAAAACCTGAAGAGGCTCATTTTCATCAGTGGAACCAAGCATCTCATTCACAAGTAATTGACGTTCAGAAGGACCTCCAAATGTCAAACACTTCTCCACCACATTTGATGCAAACTTCTGCTGACTCATTTGAACTATCTTGCCTGCTAATTCCTTGATAATAGCTGAACGCTCGTGAGGCTTCCCATGTTCAAGTACATGCTGTTATTTACGAAGAGAAGATGAAACAAAACAAAAGATCAGCGGGCAAGCATAAATGGCATTTTATATTGATATAATTTTAAGTAATAAAGTAGTTTCATGTATATTGAGTACAGAATATTGGGAGAAGGAAGCAGAAGCCCATATATCACAAGAGAACAAAATTTGGATGGCATATTTTAAGCACAAAACCAAAAAGACGGCATGTTATATCATCAAGCAACAAATTCTAAAAAAAATTGAATTGACAGTAACAAATGTGATTTAGACTGAAGAGCACACGTTCACAATAAAACAAAGTATTAAATCAAAAGCCCCCATAAAAATCCTAAGCAATGACCTTGAATGATGAATCATAACAAAGAGAATCATAACTTAAAAAAGTCAACTGACAGAATTGCAGATAAAAAAAAACCATACAAAAGGGAATGGTTTCAGAAAAAAAAACTCGATGAGTGGAGAGTTACAAGGAAACTCAACCAAAAATATACACAAATTGTAAGTACAATCCATAATTGCAGCATTGAAAATCCCAGACTGTAAGTAACCAGAATAAATTTACCTGGACAACATAGTTGCCATACTGATCCTGGGCTAACATGCTCACTGACCCTAAAATCTCATCCATTACTTTTTGTTGGGTATTAGGGTCTTTGCAATGCTCCAGTACTCTCTGCCATAAAGTTATTATTATATGTTCGCAGATTTTAAGTACATAAAAGGAGTAACATAAGTACAGAAGAAATATTACCTGTATCACCCGGCAACCATATGGATGGGTTGATAAAGTCACAACTTGATCAAAAAAAGTTGAGACAATAAAGTTGATTGCATCTTCAGGGACGCATTCAATACATTTCTGAATTACATGATTACCATTCTGATCTCGTACACAGCGCATGACATTACCATCAAGTTCTTGAACCATCTTTATCTTCTGGTCCAGATCAACAACTTCTATGGCCTAAAGAGGGACACAATAGAAAAAAGAAAAAAATGATGACAAATTCAGAACATCTTAGAAACAGAGCCACATGTAGGAATATCAATCACTAGATCCAAAAGCAATCAATACCTTCTGAATGACCCGACAACCATACATTTGAAGGCTAAGTGTCAGCACATGGCCAAAAAGCTTGTTGGCTAACTCTCTTCTCTGGGATGCAAGGCCATGCTCAAAAAACTGCCATATACCAATAGTCACTCTAATACGATCCATTTAAGAGAATCATTTCAGTAGGCATAGGCAATACATAGAGAAAGTAATAATCACCTTTTGAACCACATAATTACCAAAGACATCAGTCATCAAAGCAAGAGCTTGGGGCATGATTTCTTGATAAATCATGTTTTTTTCTTCAGTAGTTGCAGTTTCAAGCTTTTGTTGAATAAACCGGCTTCCATATTGATCAGCACTGCACATTAGAGAAAATACATTTAATTTAATTCTTCAGTAGACATTAGGGAAATATAATAAAACTAAAAACCCGAGCAACATAAAGGAAAAAGAATATACCTGAATTCAACAACATGACCAGAAATTTCAGAAAGCTCGAAACACTTGGTTTTATTGCTTTTAAACTCTTCCAACAGTGATGAAGTAAAGCTTTCATCCATGTTCCCAGCATCTAGGTGCCATGGCCCCATGACCCCAACTAAATTCCTCACCCCAGATGCAAAACGCATATTCAGGTCATTGTGCCTAATAGGACTTCCAGATCCAACTGGAGAAGTGGATAAAGAGTTTGCCATTGGACTTCCCGGGTAAGATAAGCCATAACCAGGATTTCCATAATAGCCATGATGATTGGAGCCACCTGATTTACCACCCATTGGAGCATTGTATTGTGATTTCTGAGGTGAAAGCAGATTCCCAAGATAAGCTTTCTGAAGCTCAAGTAAATTCATGTATGAGTTGCTTAAATAGTTCCTATCTGCAGAAGGATCATTAAGAGCAGCAAGTTGTGCAGCAGCATACTCAGATGTCCTCATGTATTGAAGATACATGGGATCAACAAAAGGTGTTTGGAGAGCACCACCCGCAAGTTGATTTCCCATTCTACCATGACCATGCAAATCAGATGGAGCAGCAACTCCAGAAGCCAAACCACCTCCAAGAATTCTTGAGTCCATTCCAGGGGTTCCCATTGCTGATGCTGCGGCAACATTTTCAAATAAAGGTGGCAGATTACCAGTTCCAAGTTGGCTAGCCATCAAGGATCCCAATGCTGGATTTCCAGCATACCCACTCAGGCCATAGTTAGTAAATGCTGAATTGTTACCATCCAAGGGCTGGTACTGAGCAGGCAATCCACCTCCAATATTAAAAGCTGAGTTAGGTGATCCCTTGAAATATGAGTTATTGGGAAGAACAGCAG